AATTAATTATTATATATTAACTAAACTATATAGTTAGTATATAATTATATATAATATTATAATAGATAAGTCTAATAAATATCTAATAAATATCTAATAAATATCTATTTTTTAATAACTAATAAATAATTAATAAATAATTAATAAATAATTAATAAATAATTATTATATTATAAAGTAATAATTTTTCTTTTATTCAAAATAGAGCTAGTATTATATTTAAATAATAATTTAATTATTATCTATTATTAATAATAGTTATTAAGTTAAAAATAATTAATAACTATATAATAATTTAATACTAGTTTTAAAACTAATCATAACTGTTTTAAAACCTCAAAAAACCTTCACTAACCGTCGTTACTAAATGGCCTGGGCCACTACGTATGTAGGGAGGCAGTGATAAGGACTCAAGCAATAGTCAACAGACCAGGCCGTGACAATCCTGATCCTTATACTTATTTCTTGGATATATACACATGATGCGTTGTGATGTGCTCGCTCGCTTTCCCCTTGTACTCCACTGTTACATGATCTCCGAGTTTCCTGTCATCGTTCCAACCTCCACTTTCTTGACGTTAGCAAAATTAAATGAAAGGGATGGCTGGATTATCATACGGAGGTGGTCGAATGTGTGCCTCGTGTACTCCTCGATGTTGCAATCTTCGAGCATCCTCGATCACAGGTATCTCGACAGAACGACGAAAGTTCTCTACCGGAAGACCTCCGTCGGGTTGCGAAGGGTAATAGATAATGCTGTTCTTGTCGATTGGCATTCTGGAGTATCAGGAAGGCTATTTTTGAATTTCAGAGTTTCTTTCTTGGGATATTGAAAATTAAATCACCGTGGTATATCGATCAAGTAGGAAAGGAATGGTATTCGATGCCCTTTAAATAATACATTATGGGGCCTGAGGCCGGCGGCAAATACTTACGCAAGCCTATAATAAACCCTAAAGTAGCGCTTAGTAGTGCTGCTATTTATATTGCCAGGTGCATTTGGGCGCGAACTGATGCAAAGCTCATGTGGAACGCACCCTCAGCGGCTCAGCGTTATATTGAATATTTAGAGGATACGGAGAGCCAACAGACATATCTGTTTCATCTACATGCGATTCAACCTCATCAGCCACATCAAACGAACCCTGACTGGCGCCCAAATAAGGCCTCCGTCACAGTGTGAGGGGATGGGTTGATACTAGATAACCCCACCTTGGAGCTGCCCATGTCCATCCAATCATTGACCTCAAGTATAATGGTAACTTGGCATGGTTTTAGAAATATAGTTCAAGCCAGGGTGCTTACAAGGACCGGATGTTTAGTTTGTAAGGCACATCAAGAGCAACAATTAGTGAAGGAGCTATACAGGCCTAATACCACTCAGCAGATAGGATATATTTAACTAACAGTGCCAGCAGCCAGCGCCTGTTAGTTATATTAGGGGATTAAAGTTATTAGGCTGTTGAGGCCCTTGGCGAAGGATATATTTTTATGTTATATTAAGGAATATTCTTACTTTTCTTCATGATATAAGAGTTCTAGACCACCTATATGCACGATGAATCATGACTCTAGAGCTATGACGTTGACCCCGTCGGTTTGTGTAACAAGCCGCATTCAGGACGCAGCCACCAACAGGACTCATCAGCTGTAAGAACCATTCAGAGGTATGTCTGATACTCAGATATCAGTCCACCATGTCGAGCACTACTACAACCACGGCTCCAGCAGCAGCTGCCACAGCACCCTACCTTGACAGCGCCGAGTTGCTCGGCCAAAGCGTCAAGCTTCTGTCTGATGGTAATGCCCCTGATAGAACAGATAATATGACAGACAGCACTTGCTGACGGCAGGCAGACCACAACCCCTTCGACATCACCAGACTGATTGCGGGAAGACGCAAGATCGTGCTGCTGGACGTCAAGAACACCAAGGAGGTCGGCACGGCCAGCGGGGTGGGCTTCAAGATCCCCGCGGGGATCGGCTTCACAGGCATCGGTTCGACGGAGACGCACTCGCTGACGGTCGAAACGGGCACCGAGCTGGGCAAGTCGCTGGACGCGCAAGCCGAGATGAGCGCCAGCTACGCGGGCGTGTCGGCCGAGGGGTCGGCCAAGTACAGCTACCAGACGGCGCTGAGCACGTCCAAGTACTACGGTCTGCTCAGCTCCGAGACCCAGTCGTTCATGCTGACCATGGAGCTGGCCGATCTGGACCTCGCCGACGGGTTTGTGACGGCGGCGCAGGGGCTGCCCGACTGGCCCAGCTCGGGATACCCGAGTGCGGCGGTGTATGGCAAGTACCACAAGTTCTTCAAGTGAGGGGGAACCTATGTGATCCGGTCGTGCACGTTTGGAGCGCGATACCAGCTGCTGGTGGAGAACCACATGTGCGACACGGCGTCCAAGGAGGAGATGCAGGCGCACATTTCGTGTGAATGCAACGGCATCGCCACGGCCAAGGCATCGACAGATCTGAAGACGTCGGAAGGATACAAGAAATACACCAAAGTGCGCAAGTTCAAGGCGACGGTGATCGGCGGCGACCCCGGCAAGAAGACCGACCTGAGCAGCTCTCCCAACGACGCCGCCAAGTTCGATGAATGGGAGAAATCGATCAGCGACAGCACGGCGCACAGCCCCATCAGCCTGGGCGTCATGAGTCTCGGCGATATCGTGGCCGAGTGTAAGGATATCGAAGACAGCGAGGAGCGCGAGAAGCTGGCAGACAAGCTGAACGCCGGCCTGTCCTACATGAACTCCTTCCGGATCGTGCAGGGCTATCTTGAAGTCAAGTCGGACTATTTCTGGGACCGCAAATACGACCTCCGCATTGATGGTCCTCCGGGCATGAAGCTCAGCGCCTCGGCCTATCCTACCTCCAAGGAACATACGACCTTTAGCCAGGAGTCCGACACACACGTCAAGATCGCTTGCCCCCGACCAGGCAACGACAAGAAATACGACTATAAGCCGGACAAGGCGTGGTTTGACTCGCACTATCTGGCCTATGTTCGGCTCACAGCGCCTCCCTTTGCGGTGGACTGGACGATCACGCTGGAACCCCGGATGGCGATGAGGATCAAACTCACCAACGGGCCGGACATCAGGACGGCGGAGATGACCGAGGACAGTCTGGTGGAGGAAGTGAGCGTCAATCCGCTCAAGGCTGGTGTTTTTGGCAAGAGTGAAAAGACTTTTAAATAGGTATCTCCGTAGTTCATGCACACAGGATGATATACTGGACGTCTAATGGAAGTAATACTACTATTTCATAAACAGTCAATGTCTATTAATTAGAATATCCTATTATATAGTGGATTATAGTAGATATTCCGCTGGATGATTAGAACTATTTATTAATGAACATTCATGCTTATAGATTAAATATATGAAGCCTATAATGTCATCCTTCTAAGCTGATATACAGCTTGTGAAGATTTATCATATAGAAGGAAACACTGATATATACAACCATAAGGTGATATTATAGAATATCAGTATAGTCACTATGCCTGCATGATGGCTTTCTCAACCTGCTTGAAACAGTCCAGATCCTGATTCTCCTTCTTGATAGCGAGACATCTCGTCTTCATCTGGCTATCCTTCAACACGCCGTCGACGCTCTGCTTGATCTGCTCGACGCTCGGCCTGTTGGTCTTCAAGTCGACTGCAATCCCTGCCCATTCGCCTCGCGTCGCCACCTCGGCTTTATCCTCTGGTATCGTTAGCATCATTCAAAAGCCTATACGGTGAATCAAGATACGTACGTCCTTCCCCTGCAAGTACCATCGGCACAGCATGCATCACCCCGTGCAGAAAGCCGCCGTACCCCCCATTCGACACAAAGACGTCCGTGCAAGGCAGAATGGCGTCGTAGGCGAGATAATCAAGGACCCTGGCGTTAGCCGGGAGCTTTATATCAAGCGATGCCCCCTTGACCCCCAACACGCCAATCACCAGGAGATCCTCGCGGTCCGCCAGGGCTTCGATCGTGGGGACCAGCAGGGCCGTGTAATCGAGCGAGATGGTGCCCTGGGTGACAAACACAATCTTCCTGGTGTTGCCCTCCGGGATGAGCCCCTCCGGCAGCTCTGACGAGAGGTCTTTCCGTGGCAGCGCCCCGATAAAGGTCACGGCAGGCGAGAGATCGCTGCGCGGGTACTCCAGGCTCGGGCTACAGGGCTGCAGGAACCGACCTGTTCCCAGACTCCAGTGGTCGAAGATGGCCCGGGTGACGGGCTCGGTGGCGCCCAGCGTCGCGTACGTGGAGTTGGTGTACTGCAGGAAATCGTCCATGAGCGGCTTGCCCGCGGCGTACATGGCGGCATGGCGGGCGCGCCCCTCGGGGCTGGCGTCGGGGGGCAGCCCGGGCCCGAAGGGGGCGGTGTCGATGCTCGAGATCACCATAGGCACGGTGCTGATGGTGATGACGGGCGGGAAGGTGGTGTATCCCGCCGGTAAGGGGGCGCCCTGCAGGTACGGCCACACGCCCATGTACATGAGCTCCTGGAGGATAACCACGTCGCGGTCGGGATGGGCGGTGCGGAGAGACTCGAGGAGGCGCTTTAATGCGTCCATGCGGGCCGGGGTGGTGTCGACAAACACCTGCTTGAGCTCGCTCATGAATCGTTCCGGGGTGGGCGGCAGATCGAACAGCTCCAGCGGTAGAGGGAAGTCTTCGGTCGGGTGGAAGCTGGCTCCCGTCTGCTCAATCCCCGGGGCAAAGGCCTCGCCGCCGATAAAATGCACCTCGAAGCCTTGTTTCGTCAAGTAGGCGGCATGGGGGAGGAGGGGGTTGGTATGCCCGGGGTGGGTGGGACACGCAATAACCACAATGGGAGTCATGAAGGATGTATAGTGGAGTATGTGGAGAGTATGATGGTGGATTGAAGGGTGGTACTTTTTATTTATACCCTGGGGATAATTCACTTTCAGCTCGCTTCCATCAAGCTTAAAACTAATTAGAGTGTCAGCAGGGACTGGATTAGGCTATTGCCTCTAGCAGGGCTGAAGAGGCCTCTACGTGTGGGGGCCGACTCGTATCCTCCATCCTTCAACACAGGAATATATGACCATATAGGGCCCTAATTAATGTCTGGTCTAGTGGCCCCCTGGATTTTGTCAACTCCTTCAACACAGCCGGGTCTATTTTCTTACTTTCACATGTTATTTCTTCATGCTTGGCCGTTTTTGAGTCTTACCAGATGGATCAATTTGGATGTTCTTGATCTTACCACATGGATCAATATTTAGAGCAGGTAGACTTCACTAGCCGAATGCAGTATGTGGTTCGTAAAGTTAAATCCTAATTATAGACCATTGCATCTCAACTTGCTATCTATATACCTACAGCAGAGTTTAACTCGGGTCTCCAAGAGGGCCAGGCGTGGACCTGTCCTATCTATAGTAAGATAAAATCATTGTAGTTGCTGATATTAGAAATTGATTATGAACGACTTACTAGACATTTATAGGCATATGCACACTGGACATGCATACCTGGAACTCATTATAGGCTTAGGGTTAGTTTGCTTCAAGTATCTAAGATATAGTATATGTTTATTCGACAATATCATGATACTGCAGTTGTATCTTATCAATATCCATTAGCTGCAGCTGCAGCTGCAGCACATGGCGTCAACTAGTAGGTATGTCTTACTCTCATGCAGAGAGATGCAATCTGCAATACAGGGTCTACCCCTGCTACAATAGGTTCCAGAATCGCCTCTACTCTGTGTACTACATACTACATACTCGAGTTCTTTCAAATTACTAGGGATGAAAATAAGGCATGGGAAATGGATGAATTGGAAAAGTGGCTATGGCTTCCTGCCATAAATCACATACAGCTTGTTATACTGGTGCACACTCAGATCCTTAAGCTCATTCTTCACCTTGGCCACCATCACTGTGGTCTCCAATTCCGTCCAGCCAAGAGTGGTACTGAGGATGCCGGGCAGGTAGGAGCTCAAGCCCTGGCTATGTACAGACTGGCAGTAGCGCCCGATGTTCTTCTGCTTCTCGTCCTTGGGCCACGGGCTGAAGGGCACCTTGAACACCTGTGTCTTGACATCCAAGAAGCCTGCCGCCTCCAGCGCGGCGGGCCAGGTATCCATGTTCTGCATTGGCTTGCCGAATTTCTCTCCGGCCTGTGCGATCAATTCGCACATCTGGACAGTGAACGGGCCCCGCTCTTCAAGAGACCCGTCGTCAGAATAGACCTTGACTGTGAATGCCTGCAGCTCAAAGTAGCCGCCGGACTTGATGTTGTTAAAGGCCTGTTCAGCCAACCGGTTGATATCCTTCACTGCACCAGCCAGTTCACGGCCATGAACATAATCAAACGGTCGGTTATATTCCCATTCCGCCTCGAAGTCGTCGATCTCAAAGACACAGTTGGGGGGCAGCCTATAGGTCTTCAATCAATCTAGCCTTCTCCATCAGGGGTATCATATGGTCTCTTACCATCCCGGCTGGATAGGGCTCAGGTCGTTTCCAACCACTTCTGCGCTCGGATATTGACTGCAACCCGTTAATTGTATAATCAAAACGTGGTTAAAATGTGGTCAAAATGTGGTCAAAAATACTCTGCAAAGTCCATGGCCCAGATGCCGGTGCCGGTGCCAATGTCGAGCACGCGCTGGGGATTCTTGATAGGCGCAAGATGCAGTTCTCCACCCAGGATCATACCATACACATGGTGGAGAAAGTCCATCCGATCCTGCTCCTCATCATCGTTGGGCTAGCCAGACAAACAGTCAGCAAGCAGAGGTCTTGATATATCTCTATAGCATCACCCGGTCAGCTTACAAACAAGTATTCTCCTTTACGGTAGTTTTGATAGCGGCGACCATTCTAAATGCGCGGTTAGAAAGACAATGAGATCTCAGGGAAAAAAACAGGTATCGCACTTCATATCTGCATCATGGTCAGTATGAATGAATAAATACAGAGTAGACAGGTTCACGCACTGATAGTCGAGGATGCTGGACCGCAGAGATGTGAATTCCGACCCAGAGGCGTCGAGCGAGGCGTTGTCGCTATCATTGCGGGGATCGTCCTGGATCCGTTAGAGGCAGAGACAAAGAAGCAGGTGGAGGGGCCTGACGTTGGCAGCATCATCCACGACAAGGGAGGATTCCTCGGCGACATTGACCGTAGCAGCGTTGGAAGGGATGGAAGCCATTTTTGCTGCGGAGAGAAATAGTTGAAGGAGACAAAGAGGGACGAGAGAGACACGCCGGGTTTTATGTAGATCCTTTGGGCAGTCGCCAGTTGCATTAGTCCCTCCGACCGATGATGAGCGTAGACCCCAATAGTTATAGACTGTCGCCATGGGAAGAGCTAGGAAATCAGCAGAGGCCTCTTTCAATATTTATTATAATCCTGTTCTTGATTCTTAGCGTTTTAATATAGTCAATAGGGATGAGCATAGAAATTGAACATGCAATTGCAACGTAAATATATTCGAGAACTTTGACTAGGCTGAGGCATATACGGCATCTACCGAATATCTTTTTGATAAAAACAAGGCTGCAAGCATGATTTAATTGGAAATACCACCTACCGAGGTGGTTATATTTATTGATATGGATAGTCATATCTTATTATTCTACTATCCTACAGGCAGTGATGTGGATAGGGAAATTATAACTGACAGCTATGCTGAATTACTCTCAATGCACTGCATGCAAAGTTTACTTCCAGACCTTGACGTACACGCCCAGTCTAATCCGCTCATAAGTGCGCTCCTCGCTGGGTCCTCCTGCGGGCGGGACGGCGGCCCGCACCGCGTGGTTGCCACTCCCGGGCGCCACGGGGGACTTGTCCAAAGCCGATTCCAGCTCATAGACATTGGTGAGCAGATGGAAATAGTTGCTGCTCATGTCTAGTCTACCGATATATCAGAAGATCTGGATCAGTTCACTGCTGCTAGCAGGCCGCCAGTGGAGCTTAAATAGTCTATCATAGAGGGGGTCTTTGCGGTATGTGCCTTGATCATATTGCTGGGTCTGCAGCTTCGATTCATGAATAGTTGGCTTATGATGGGGTTGCCTTTGATATGGTAAAACCCCACGATGAGACCCGAGTAACAGGCTGACTATATATCTAGAATATCTACTTGGTTTTGCCACCTTCCAGCTGTACACCATTCACTTCTCTCAAAGCAACATCCGCCATGGCTTGGTCTCTCTTGGCCTTGCCGCCTTCCAACTGCACACTGGATGTATCGCCCTCCAGCTGGATGTCGGGGCGTGGAACTGCGACAGCCGTGGCTCCCAGAGCGAGTGTCAGAATCGCGAGGAGGTATGTGAATCGCATCTGGAAGTTAGTATATGAAATGTAGTTTTTTCAATAACGTACCTTGAGTATATTTTATTTGATAATCGACTTGAATGATTCCTGTTAACTCTGGTTCTTGTCTACAACCTACAGAGGGTATTTATATCTGATTGTATTCTAAGCTACCCACTGATCCTGATGTAACTGATCCTGATGTAACATTGATCCGATTTTGCCACTCCTATGGAAGCCCCTCGGTATAGACGATCCTCCCAGCCTGTGTCATCATATTAATTAGTCTGTGGCTATCTCCGCACTTTCGCAAATCATGTGCCCCGTCGATGAATGTAACAAGACTTCCATTGGCCAACATGTGCTGCCGCTCGAGGGTGCCGTCAGCCCAGCAGAGAACAGTCTGACATTATTGATATTCAGTGGCAAGTCAAATTGATGGCAGGCAGGGTCCATCGACCAACCTTTCGCATGTAGTCCAGGCAATGCGGCCAGTGCGAGTTATCCTGCCAATCGAGACCAGGATCGACACCCTCACGAGCCATCTGGATGGCTGACCGGAAGGACGCGAGACAGTGGAGCTGATGAAACCTGGACGGACTTGCATCAATTGAACCGAAAACGAAACCAGTACGAAGAAGGATGCATGCGTACATGGACAACGCAGCGGCTGTGTCTTTTCCGTCGAAGCGGGGATCAGGCTGAGCAAAGACGGCCGATCCGTTGAGATCCGTCCACAGCGAGTCGAAGCGGTGGTCGATGGACATGTAGTCTTTGTCAGCGCCGAGGATGGTGTGGAGTGTATATGTTTGTGATGGTGCGGGGTGGGGATACGTCGCTATGAGGAAGAACAAGACAGTCGTTGATAGTACGCAGTAGACGAGCAGGAGCAGCTGGGAGAGGCGCCAATGGGAACTGCCCTTCTCCTGCTCATCACTGGGTACATCTTCATCCAGGCGCTGGTATCTCGTTGCGCTCATTATAAAAGAAGCACACGTTGAGGATATAGAATACTTCTTGTTGTTGGGTATACTCCGATGGCCATTCCTAGATAGATAAGAACCATTGCGTAATATAGACGCCTCAGTAAAAGAGTCTTAGACATGCAGCATTGAGTAATGCATAAGGATACCCATGGGCTTGATTGGCTAGGTCTTATTACACATTTGCATATTCAGCAGAGAACCAGTGGGGGGATATGACAAAGCATTGTTACTAAGTATAAGATGCATTTAACCGAGTCTCAAAGGTAATGTCTCAGTCTGAGGTAACTGCAGAGGTTGTTAGAACCCTGGCCATCTGGATAGTGCATTATCATATCAGAGACATACTGCTTCCTTGAGTCCTCTCAGCCATGGCAAGTGCGTGTCTTATAAGAGGAGAAAAGGACTGCATTGAATCATTCATGTGCATCCGCAAGGCACTTCTAAAGCCGTCCAAGCCCTCATCATTCTGCTGCAGGTACATCTCCAAGTAGAGGGAGAGAACCATTCCGTCTTGTACTAGAGAAGTGATGCGTTTTAAGATTGCCGGTATAGACTCGTCTTCTCCACGATACGCGAGCAACAGGTATTTTGCCACGTCACTGGTGATAGTTTCTGTCTTGGCCAAATCATTGATCCTACCCAGCTCAGACTTCCAGATTTCAAGAGTGTCAATGAGAAGAGCCTTCTGGAGAGTGTGGTGGTGTTCCTCGTGTCGAAAGATCCAGATCGACTGTACGATACCGCATAGACCTAGGATGATATCCTCTACTAGGAGCTGCGACGCCGCAAATGAACTCGGCGCCTGGGTCATTTCAGAGATCAGGAATCCAGACCGTCCGGCAGGCTCTTCCGGGAGTCGCTGGGCGAAGATATCCAGCCCATGAGCATTCCACAGCGCAAATGTCGTCGGTAAATGTACTCTGACCTCCTGGCGGTGCAGGATGGGCGGCTGGCCATATGCAAGAGCGAAATAGGCGTCAAACTGATACGTCAAGGCCAGCAAGCGGCGGAACTTTTCGCGCATGCTTAATGTATACGGCGCGTATGTGCCGCTGAAATGCGTTTGAAGATGAGTGACCAGCTGTTCAGCATTGAACGCCCCGATCTCACGGAGACGGGAGATGAATGTGGCTCGAAGAAGCATCGCGCTGGACAGGACACTCTCATCGGTGCGGTAGAGTGAGAAGACCAGAGTCAAGAGAACGGCCTGGAAGAGGTCGATTGGCCAGGCCTGTCCTTGGGGCATGAGGCCAGGGTCAATCTATCGACATTAATAGACTTGACAGCGTATCAAGAGGTATGGAATGCCTACCAAAGCACGGAGCAGCTGCTCTAGAAGAAGGTCGTGCACTTGATCGGCCCAGAGTCTTTCTGTTGACCTTGAATCCTTTTGAAGCTGTGTTCCGATAACACACACCGAGGCTGTCAAGGATAAAGAGGCAGTGGTCAAGTCGAACGAGGGGGCGTTTAGAATCGGCCAGCGGAGATGGAAGCACTGAAAATAGGTCTCCATGCACCGAGTCCGCCATTCCCGCCATTCATCCGACTCTTGGATAGCCTCTTCTAATGACGAAGGCTTTTCCGCCACAAGGACTTGGTGTATAGCCTCCATTCCAGGGGAGAGGGCCTCCAGATCGCCTGGATAGATCTGCTTAGACGGGATAATCGAGAGATTCAGAAGCCATTCATCTCTAGCAGGGAAAGAAGAGGCAGATTCGGTAGTCCCCCGTTGAAAGGTGCAGTTGATGCCTCGTCGCGCACAAAGTGAGCACCGAGGGCCACCAGAACATTTGGTTTTATTCGCATGGCATGCGTTGCAGGACACAACGGCGCGTGTATAGTTCAATTCATGTACCGCTGCATGGCGACGAAGGAGCTCTTTGCGACTGAAGCGCCGCTGACACACCTCGCAGCCGTAGGCCAGTTGTTCATGGGTGGCTTGATGTCTGGTGAGATGTTCCTTGCGGGCGAAGCTCTTTCCACAGTGACAAGCATGTCTGTCAAGAGACATGCTGGAAGATGAATAGTATCATAAGATATAAGATCGCATGAATAGAAATCGAGTGAAAGAATAGAAAAAAGACTCCCACCGGCAGTTTATTAATCAAGTGCTCCCGCTTACTTAATCCGCCTCACGCTCGCCGGTGGGATGGACGCTTATATAAACACACATTGTGTCCTGCTATCACCAGTACACTCTTCACTACACAATCACCTCCACCATCATCATGTCTCTCAAGAACATCACCGTTGTCGGCGGATCCGGCCGTCTGGGCACCTTTATCCTGGAGAAGCTCCTGGCCTCCGACCGGTTCAATGTCCAAGTCCTCAAGCGTGTCGAGTCGTCGTCTGCCTCCTTCCCGGCAGGAACCAGCGTTGTCGAGGCCGACTACGAGGATCCAGAGTCCCTCCAGGCTGCGTTGAAGGGCCAGGATGCCGTGGTGGCCCTTGTCGGGGACGCTGGAGTCCTCAGCCAAAAGGCCCTGATCGACGCCGCGGTCAAGGCTGGGGTCAGACGCTTTCTCCCCTCCAACTTTGGCTCCAACATGGCCAATCCCAACTCCCGCAAGCTGCCGGTCTTTGCACGCAAGGTGATTATTGAGGACTATCTGGTTGAAACATCCAAGACCACCGACCTCACTTACTCGTTCGTGTACGTCGGGGGGTTTACCGACTTTGCCATCCGGAACAAGGTCCTCATGGACTTTTCCCAGTATACGCCCACCATCTTCAACGGGGGCAACACGCGGTTCAGCACCACCAGCATGCCAACCGTCGGAGACGCCGTCGTCGGGGTCTTGTCTCATCCAGAGGAGACGCGCAACAGAGCCGTGTACGTGTCGGAGACCGTCTTTTCCCAGAACCAGCTCCTCTCCCTGGCCAAACAGATCGCCCCGGACAAGCCCTGGGCGCCTGTGGATGTGGACTTGGATGTGGTCGTCCAGGCGGCAAAGGAACGCTTGGCTCAGGGAATCCACGATCTGCCAACGGTCATCCCGATCATGCTCAAGTCCATCGTGGATCCGGAGTATGGAGTCGAGTTCATCGAGAATGACAATGAGCTGTTGGGGGTCAAAACTAAAGGGGAGGAATATCTGCTGGAGCTTCTTCGTCCTTTAGTCGGTTGATTCCTTGCTTAGAGATCTTCTATATGACGAGCTGGTTCATACCTTGTGAGACTTATCTTCATAAGAGACCTCAATGCCTCTCTTTGTCTTTCTAGCTTTACACCCACGCTCTGTGCCTATTCTAGATAGTATAATTATAGGTAGAAGTAGAGATGCTTTTGTCAAGTCTCCATTCAGTCACTCTTATATAAATATATTGATATACTAACACTAATGCGAACTCTAATGGTGGAGGAATATAAATATATAGCTACCAAGATAGCTGTGTAGTCACTAGATAAGTGTTATTATGGATATTTCCATATATTTCCTTGACCACTCTCCCTAATGTTGATGTAGTGTGTACACTGTCAAGTCTGAGGCACTATCTCTGCCTCAGGCAGACGTTGTCATCTTATCTTATCTATTCCGCGGGCAACTGTTGATCCTCCGCAGCCCCTCATCTCCTCTTCTCTCCTCCTCTCTTCTTCTCTCCTCTCTTCTTCTCTCCTCTCTTCTTCTCTCTTCTCTCATCTATTTCTTTCTCTCTTCTCTTCTTCCACTTCATCGACTGCCTTCAAACATACAATGTCCCTCGTCATCATCGGCGGAGGCATCATCGGCCTCTCGACAGCCTACTACGCCTCCCAGTCCGGCCAGAAGGTGATCATCATCGACTCCGCGTCGCAACTGCTCCTCTCCGCCTCGGGGTTCTCAGGCGGCTTCCTCGCCCGAGACTGGTTCGCCCCGGACGTGCTCCCCCTCGCCGAGCTGTCCTTCCGTCTGCACCGCGAGCTGGCCGAGGCGCACGACGGCGCCACCAAATGGGGGTACCGTGCCAGTCGGTCGTTCAGCCTGGTGAATCAAAACGGCACGACCGTCAGAGGCGAGGACTGGCTGCGGCAAGGGTCCAGTAGGGCCAATGCCTCGAAACAGACCCTCCAGAGCAATCGGGCTCCGCCCTCCATCTCCTGGATGGATCTCCCCTCGGGAATGAACCTCGAGTCTATCTCTGAGGACGGCGATTGCGCACAGGTCGACCCGCGCGCGCTGTGCGAGTGGTTGATCCAGCAGTGTGAACGGAACGGCGTGAAAATCCACCTCAGCACAAAGCCCACGCGGCTGGTCTCGAAAAATGACGGTGGTGCTGGTGATCGGTTCTCTGCTCTCGAGTGCGTAGACGGTCAAGGCAACACCGTGATCATCCCTTGTGCAGACATTGTCATTGCCGCGGGGGCTTGGACACCCCGTGTGTTCCAGACCTTATTGCATCGCGCTCTGTCGCCCGATATCACCAGTCTGGCAGGCCACAGCGTCGTCTTGCATTCGCCCGTCTACACGGCCCCAACCGAGGGGGTCCATGCCGTCTTCTGCTCGCCGGGCGAGCACTGGTCCTTTGCCCCAGAGCTGTTCAGCCGCGTCGATGGCGACAAGAATGGCGCCGAGATATTCGTCGGCGGAAAGAACAGTGCAACCATGCCCCTGCCCGAGTCGGCGGACCATGTCGCCTCTCACCGCGACGAGAAGCAGTCTCGCGAAATCCGGGAGACGGCGCTACGGATCTTGGCCGGCACTGCAGAGGTCGTCCGCGAGAGTCTCTGTTTCCGACCGATCTCCTCGTCGGGCAAGCCCATCGTCACAGCCGTTGAGGGCGTTAGAAGCCAAGATGGAAGGCTCTATGTCGCCAGTGGCCATGGGCCGTGGGGTATCTCCATGTCGTTGGGGACAGGATATACAGTGGCCGACATGATCAAGAAGAGAAGAGTAAAAACTAGCCGTATATAGAGACTTACCACATAGCCACGTCCCATAGACATAGATAGAGCAACAACTTGAAAAGATAGTGCTAGTAAGCTACTTCCCAACCACACTTTCAACACTCTCCTCCTCTCGCGTTGGTACGCGGATGGAGGAGAACTGCCACAGGCGAGCCCCCGAATCGAACATGTAGTCCACCTCTTCCAGCGTGCGGCCTTTAAGCTCTGGGATGCCAAACCATGTCACTACCACGTACGCCCAACAGATCGACCCGTACACGAAGCCAACCTTGCCGCCGAGGTTCCCGTAGCCCGCGTCAATCAGGTACGGCATCGTAAAGGTGGTGACAAACGTCGTCAGCACCGAGATGATGCATGCCAGCAGGTTCGTCTTTTCCTTTACCCGCGACGCGGCGCTTTCGCTGAGCACGACATAGGACCTGTAGTTGATATGAGCAGAGAAAAGCGACAAAGCTTTCGAAAAAGAGACTGCACATACACCGGCGCCCACGAGACACAGAACATACAAGTGTAAAGGGCGAGAGAGGCGACCTAATCAGTTAGTCAAGGTGTGTCACTTTGTCTGAACAAATACCCACCATCGTATTCCGCGCTGCCTGGGGAGGATGTGGATTCGTCGAGATGCCTCCGACAATGAGGAGAAACGTGCCCATCAGGGCGCCACCAACCAACAGGAGAGGCCTATGTGGAATGTCAGGAATCCATTCATAATAGTCCTGTGCGGGAAGATCGCGCGCACCGACGACCCATTCCATCCACAACCATAAAGGCAATGATAGTCCCTGCCACACCACACACATTATTGATGATGTTGAAGAGGAAGGACTTGCTGCCGAATCCCTGTCCCTCGTAGAAGACCACACTATACTGGCTGATAAATGCCTGGCCGGTGATCTGCTGTCCGAACATCGCCAGAATGGCTACCGTGGTGCGACGCTATACATGACTTAGTGACAAGCCATGGGAAGAAGGAGAAAGAGAAAAAAAAAATCGCACTTTATTCTTCTTGCTGAAGACCTCTTGCCAACTGCCCTTGCCATCGTTGGTATTGGCCAACTGAAGCTCCTGGATCTCGTCTTCAATTCTATCGTTACTGACCGCCTCGCCTCGGAGCCGACGTAGCGAAATGGTCGCTTCGTCGATGCGATGACGAGCAAGTAGCCTGCCCGGAAACAGAATGGTCAGTGTCACTTCTCTCTCTGTTTTTCTATGAACTTGCGTACCAGCGAGGAGACTCTGGGATCAAGGGAAGCAGCGCCAACAGGATGAGCGGAACCAGGAACTGCAGACCGGTAGGAATCTGCCAGGCCTTGTTTCCTGAGAGCTTCTCCGTGCCATAGACCACCAGAGAGGCAATTGTCTGCCCGCACATGATCATCATCTGGAGTGTGGAGTTGCAGAGGCCCCGAATAGCCTTGGGGGCGCATTCGGCCTGGTAGATGGGCACAACCACGATGGTGAAGCCGGTCATGCCGAAGTTAATCACTCGGCCCAGCGTGAACTGGCCCGCCGTCGTCGCGGAGACTTGGAGCAGAACGCCGCTATGAAGAGATAGTCAGTTCTCCCTCTCTCTTCCTTAGTAGCAGAAGCTTACACTAGTGAGGTAATGGCGAGAACAGCTACAGCGACCTTGCGGCCATATCGTTCTGCGATCCAACCGCAGCAGGCAGCGCCCTATTCAGTGTCTGTGTAAGAACGGGAAAGGGCGAAGACAGGCAGATAGATGGCTGACGTACAATTGCTTTCCCAAAAAATGGCATGGATGTCATGATAGAGGAAAGATAACCAGGTATCGCCCAGGTATCTGTTTTGGCATCATACTTGCCAAACTGCCGCGCAAAGCCTGAGAACCCCGTCAGACACAGCCAACACAGTCTTTCTCTCCACGGACGAAGATCAACAGAGAGACCATACTGCTCATTCCTTGGACCCCGGAGAAATTGCCTAGCCAAGCGTGGCCCTCGCATTAGTTACTGGCATGAACAACTTCGCGATGTATCGTATCCTTCTTACCAACATCGTAGCCAAAGTTGAACGCGCAGATGGACATATAACTGGTCATTGAGATTAGCAGATAGCTTCCCCCCTGAGAGAGTGATAGTTGAATCAACAAACAAAGTAATGAATGCCACCATGGGCGTAAAGTGTTGGAAGCGCTCGCGCGTCGACATCGCCGGTTTGTCTTGCGCCATCTCGCTCGTCTGTGAGACTCTCTTCTTGTTTTTTTTTTCCACGTTCGGAGTCTTCGAAAAAGGGAAAGAGAGCTGCTGTATATAGTCAACGGCGGCACCTTATGGTGAACGGGACGATGACAGGATATTTAGAGAGATAAAAGATACCCAGTGCCATGGCAGAGCGAGCCGCCATCACGCAATCAATATGGATCCACGCACCATCAGGATTCTTCCTTCGCGCCTCTTATTCTTGAGCGGTCATGGAAGAAATGGTGTAGCATTACATTTCTTTATGCCTGTATCTCCCTTTTTCCCTCCACGTGCTTGTGCGAATGGGTGGAAACCGAGGCGGGGGAAGTGAAGAAGAGGGGAAGCAGGGATTGAGGGGAAGAAGATCCCTCTTTTCCTGGTCGTACCGTCATCCCCAGGGATGCAGGAAGACAGACTATCGCTCTTATTCTTGTCAAGGGCTTTTTGTAAACCTTCAACAAATGTACTCATCGTTGTTTTCCTACCTGCAGCATGTCTTCCCACGACGCACGTCCCAACTTCCTGGTCATCGTCGCCGATGATCTTGGATTCAGCGACTGTGGCTGCTTTGGATCCGAGATCCAAACACCCAACATCGACGCGTTGGCGGCCGAGTCTGGTGCGGTTCGCTTCACAGCATTCCATGTCGCAGCTGCCTGTTCGCCCACGCGATCGATGCTGATGACTGGCACCGATCACCACATCGCAGGCCTCGGGGAGCTGGCCGAGTTCACGCGCAGTTCGGCGGCGCATCAGGGCCAACCGGGCCATGAGGGGTATCTGAATGACCGGGTGGTCGCATTGCCTGAACTGTTGAAAGACGGAGGCTATCATACCATGATGGCGGGCAAATGGCATTTGGGACTGCGAAGAGAGCATCACCCTCGGGCGCGAGGCTTCATCCGCTCGTTCGCCCTTTTGCCGGGATGTGCAAACCATTATGGTGAGTCTGCCTCCTCTTCCTCAGTATCCATCCCTCCATAAAGATGCCGTCTGTCTTGAAATAGTGATTAATTGATGGGCGCGGGAGGATTGTACGGGATGAACAGGCTACGAGCCTCAGTATGATGACCCAGCCACGGAGCCGAACAAGTTTTTCGAGACCGCCACGCGCGCCTTGCACGTCGAGGACACCGATTTCATCTCTCAGCTACCAGATAACTTCTACTCGTCGGACGCCTATGGCTCAAAGCTGATTGAGTACCTGTCCCAACGCTCCGCCGAGGAAAAGGAGAAGCCGTTCTTCGCCTACCTACCATTTTCGGCACCACACTGGCCGCTCCAGGCCCCAAAGGAAAGCGCTGATAAGTACCGAGGACTCTATCATGAAGGGCCGGACGCTTTGCGCCGGCGGCGGCTCGAACGACTCAAGCAGTTGGGGCTCGTGGCGGTAGATGTGAAGCCGCACCCTGTTGTCACCAGCACGGGCGAGCCGGAGGCGTGGGACGAGATGGACCAACAGACGCGAGATCTCTCTGCTCGGGCAATGGAGGTCTACGCGGGCATGGTTGATCGGATGGATTGGAATATCGGGCGGGTGATCCAGTATCTGAAGGATACCGGTGAGTACGACAACACGTTTGTTCTCTTCATGTCGGACAACGGGGCCGAAGGGGCGTCGTACGAGGCGCTGCCGATTGTCGGCCCTGACGTGCTGGCGCACATTGAAAAATATTACGATAATTCGCTGGAGAACATCGGGCGCAAGGACTCCTTTGTCTGGTACGGCTCACGGTGGGCGCAGGCGGCCACTGCCCCGTCAAGGCTATATAAGATGTTTTCAACCGAGGGCGGTTGTCGAGTACCCCTGGTGGTACGACCGCCGACAAAGGCCAGTGCTGATGGGAACATACGTGATCGTTATCCTCAGGAAAGTACTGTCAGTGAGGCATTCTGCACGGTGATGGATATCGTTCCGACGATCCTCGAGTTTGCCCGGCTGCAACACCCAGGAACCACCTACAAGGGTCGCACTGTTGCCTCTTTACGCGGCAAGAGCTGGAAGAAATTTCTCTCTGATGTTATAACGTTCAGCCCCTCTACTAGTGACTCAGTCAGCAATCCTTCGTGTCAGATTCACGATGATGACTATGTGACAGGATTCGAAATATCGGGTTCAGGAGCTGTGCGCAAGGGTCGATGGAAGATCACCTTTGTGCCTGCACCCCGAGGACCCCAGCGCTGGGAGTTATTCGATATCAAGGCGGATCCAGGCGAGACCACGGATCTGAAAGAGCAGGAACCAGAGGTTTTCCAGGAAATGTTGGGGCTATGGGACGATTACAAGAAGGAAGTTGGCGTCATTGGGCTGGCAGGAGAGTACGAGACAGTGGTGCAGGGCGATCTCGGTGTGAAGATTCGCGATCAGTTTGATGACCCATATGGTTGGATCAAGTTCATCGGCCGCAAGGACCGGATCCCCGAGCATTTGAAAGGCGTGGTTCCAGCCTAAGGGCGGTAGAAGGATGATGTGACATTTAATTTCAATGGAACCTTGTTAGATTGGCACTTGTCTCACTGAACAGGTGAAATGGTGATGGCTATCTCAAATCTCCATGGCGTCGTCGTCGGTCGAGCTCCCGAAACACAGATGGTATGGCCGGCCCATTGACGAATGATCCCTGACCTGCCGAACACTCTTTTTCGGTGAGCGTCGAGAAGATGACCTGGTTGCGTGACGAATGATGTATCTCAAATGCGTGTAGATTCTTTTCCGGTCCAGCTCGGAACCTAGTGGCTCCCATTCGTAAGACGATTTGGATACCTAAAGCATAACGCCGTATCAGTAAAAGTGGCGACAAGATGGATCGCAATAGCCTGTCATTATTGAAAGGTGAATGTATCTTACCCTTGACTCGTTGTCAATCCTTAGGACGGTGAACTCGTAGCCGTCAGACGAGCAGCCGAAGACGACCGCGTTCTTCTTTTCAAAATCCTTTCTGATCTGGTGGACCATGGCTATATCAGTGTGATACTATCAGTAAATGTTCAATTTGCAGCCACGGCGATTATATTCTTACCCATGTAACCCAGACATTGTGTCACACCATCACTGGATGTCCCAGCCTTCTTGGCCTCAATCACGACCAGATGAGTTGACATTCCTGAATCATCATACCAGACTGTAAAGTCAGCCTGACCGTTGAGCGACCGTTTCTCCCCCTTGTGCCTGACTTCAAGGGCGAGGGACGTTTCCAACGAAAGGGAGACTGACTTCCGGTCATGTTGAGCATGGCTCTGGGCGTAGAGTTGTTCTTCATTCACGCAGTCGATGAGGATCGCATTCAGGCGTAGTCTCGAGGCCGCTTCATTTTCAGGGTCGCGCCCCAGGACATCTGCCACCTGATGTAACTCTCTCGCTTTTTAACCACTTAGGGCGATGAACGACGGATAGGAATTGGACTGATACATACCCAGGCTATCGGGAATATCAAGGAGAAATGATTCATCGAGCGCCCAAATAGTTTCAGCTCTAGAATCCGCTTTGAGATCAAACATTCTCATAACATCCCACCTTCCCAAAGAATTAACCGCTAGACTTCTAAATTGCTCCTGGGTTTCTAACTCCAGTTGGTCGATGTACTCGATTATCTTCTTGTGGTCTTTCTTGGGGTCTCGTAAGAAGTTCCTGAGTTTGGCAAACAGCCGGCCCGGTCTTTGGGGCATGATTGAGAAAGGGGCAATTACTCAGGGAGGCAAAGGTGTGACAGTGATAGAAACACCGTGATGGGGATAGGAAGAGTATAGGGGTACAATAGCACACAAGATATTAATAGCCCCACGCGATATTGACTCAAAGGGAGGCTTCAAGAGAGAAATCTGTGAGTGAGTGTCCAACAGTAAAGAGGAATTCAAACATCTCAAGTTTTCACTGCTTTGATAGGAAAGGCTCACGTTAGATTCCATGAAACTAAAGCAAGACTGATGGATACTCACCCTGGATCACCGAGTCTAGGCAGCAACATGCGTCAGAGATATATCGAGGTCCGCTACCATGGACACTGAACGCGACGACCACCGTAAGCACGATGGATGAAACTGAGACCAGCTTCAGGACCCAGAAGAAAGAAGTAGGATTAGGACGAATCAGTCAAAGAGGCCGATTCGAGTTGGGAAAGAAAAGTTGCAGGTTGCAGGTTGCAGCAGAGGAAACGATCTCGACGTGACGAGGGAAGGAGGAGGAGGAGGAGGAGGAGGAGGGTCAGGTGACCATTACCGCTGCAGAATCGTAGTTGGTGTTCCTCTCCAACGTTACCGTCTCTCCTTCTCTCTCTTCCATGGAAGCTTTCCCTTACGCTGCCAGGTGGAGGATTCTTCTCACTCCTGCTTCATCCGGCTGTCCCAGTTCATCCCACGGAGCTCAGTACTAAGCCCTTTACGTCCAAGCTATAACGAGAGCTCGGTGATATATTAGCAGTTGGTGACGAAACATCACATATTCGATATCTCTGCTTGAAATTCCTACTTATAATTGAAATGTGTCCGCCCAGGACCATCCGTCATCCAATCCTCGGTCCATACAGCCATGCCTCCCAAACGACCTGCCTCGTCAGAGCTACCACAGCGCAAGTCGGCGAAGGTCGAACAGACACGCCAGAGTTTGATCAAGGTGATTCTCAGACTAGAGCTCAGGATTAATAGTACTGTTCGATGTTGTCAAACTGATTCATCGCGGCGCTACAGGACTGCAAAATCGACGCCTGCCTCGATTACTACCTCGAACATGTCAGTAAAATCACGAAGCGAGGACTAGATCCTCTGTCCGATCTGGGCCGGCTGAAGGGCAGAAACGCCAGCCGGGCACAGGACCTTGCGGTGAAGCTGCGGAGCGACTTGGACCGGTTGGTCCCGGAATATGTCGGAGAGGTAGAAGCCGGAACCAATATCCTCCAGAACCAGACCGTTAGGAAGAGGCTTCAGGAAAGATGGGACAGCCTGCAACGTATAGAATCGGAAGATGAGGAAGAGACAGTGCCCCAGAGTTTCTGCGACCAGCTTATGGACGTGCTGATGGAACAGCAATCTCAACTGGCGTCCGAGGACCTGGGACAGGAGCAGCCTGACTTCGTCAATCGTTGCCGTTGGTTGAAGCATTCTATTGAACGCCAGAGACAGGCGGCGTCCTTTACTTGTGGCGGAACGATTCTCGTTGGATCGGATAATAAAGAGAAGACGGAGCCTCCTCTTTCTGGAGTGCATTCATCTACCTCTGCACCTTGTCCATCCTCGCCCGTCAGCATCCTGTGGGCAACGTGCAACGATTCGACGGCCCGGAAGCTCGTCCTACCACTCGATGGTGTCTCTCAGGAATCTAGCACACCGGTCCTCCAGCAGCTAGTGGCCGACTGCGATCCTGCTACCTTTGGAAGGGGACAGGAAGATATCCTGGACACTGAATATCGCAAGGCCGGAAAGATGGATCACGGTCATTTCGCGACCAGCTTTCATCCGGCAGACTTTGGGATTATTGAGAACGTCGAGAGGATTCTCCTACCCAGCATCAGTACAGCAACCGACAACCAGATGCCGTTCCGGAAGCTCACGGCAGAACTCTACAAGCTGAATGTAAAGACTCATATCAAGCCAGATTTCAAGCATTCTTTTGCCATATAGGAGGCTAATGTTATCTTTCTAGGCTTACTCCGGACCCTCTGGCCTCTTTCGAAAACACGTTGATACTCCTCGCTCAAAGCATCAGATCGGATCACTGGTGGTATGCCTACCGTCTGCCTTCCAGGGAGGCGACCTGGTGGTCCAACACAATGGCCAGACCGTAGTGTTCGATTGGAGTATGCGCAGCTCTAATACTATTCAATGGGCTGCCTTCTACAGCGACTGCGAGCACGAGATCAAACAGATCACCAGCGGCGACCGGATTACACTTACATATAATCTTTTCGTCACTGAGCCGGTGGGAGGCGCATTCCCACTCAGCAATGGAATTATCAATCCCAAAACCCTGCCGCTTTACAGTTCCATAGAGACTCTTGTGGGTGACCCGTCATTCATGGAAAAAGGTACGATATCCCGGGGGCCGTATTGTCCCCCCCCCTTTTTTTTTTTCATTTCTTTCCCGACTATTGACGGATATCCATCAAGGCGGCGTTTTGGGCATTTATTGTTCCCACGCCTACCCACATTCATCGTCGATGGCTGAGGAGCACCTGCCGGGAGGGTTGAAAGGCTCTGATGTGGTTCTTTATTCTATTTTTGAGTCCCTGGGGATTGAAGTCAGTGTGCTTCCGGTGCTGGAAATAGAAGGCGAATATAATTCGGATATTCCCTCGTTCGAGCTCAAACTCCGGAGTTATACCTATCCAGGTCAAGATCTCAAGGGCAAAAGCTTGCAAGGAAATATTGGTAGAGACAGAGAACTGCTGTCTTACGATTCATCTGCATCCGATCTATCTGGCGACGAATGTGTGGAGCGCCGATGGCGGACTCTTTTTTTCTCCCGTCGAGTGTGTGGCATTCAAGATCTACTCCGCACTGCCACAAAAAGAGAAATCAGCACCCAGCGGTTGGAAGGTGCCTTGGTGGGGACAGGCCTCCATGAGTATGACACAACAACCTTCGGACAGGACATGGAACCGGAAGAGGCAAGTGGTCACCTCCCCAGAGCTGCGCAATGCTGCCCATTCAAGGATGCTGATGTGGGCTGACAATCAACTAAACAGGTGGCTGATCAAGTTTGGCGCTCCTGCCACCTGCCCGGTATCACCTGGATCACGGAACCGAAGCATCAAGAAATGGCCTTTTCGTACATCGCATACGGCAATGAAGCATCCATCGGCACCCAGTACTCGTGCGCGGCCATCCTAGCGGTCATTCCACCGTTTGATAGACGCTAGGGGGGGATATCCGATAGAGTATGAAGTTTGAATGAATTTGCTTGATTATGAATCTACTATGAATATGCCTCCACCGTAGCCGCGGGTGCCAATCCAGCGCACACTGTGTAGTAACTGCTGTAAGCCAAGTAGGGTGTCGCTTGGCGGGGGGGGGGAATGAAGTGGGAGAACAAGGATACGATAACGGCTTTAAAGCTCCCAGCATGATAGAGGGGTTGAATTCGAACAGCTCGTTGACAGCCGTTGTAAAAGAAGATCAAGTTGTTGCCATTTGCCCTAGAAGAAGCTGTTCATAGAGAGGATACATCATTCCGTCTCAGTCCTGATTACAGCGAATGCGTCCAAACAGAACATAGTAGGAAACAACCTATTGACAGAATAAGACATGTCCTGTAACAGCCAGAGAGGAGTGTCTTACCCTTTCCCCATCTCACCTCATAGGAATTTCGGCAGAGTAAGTGAGCTCCCCTCAATGAACAGGAATACCGCCACTGTCGTGCCGACTGCCACGAGGACTAGAGTTATTAGATACGACCGGAGTGAGAAAGACTTGTGGTCGAAAACGACATCATCCCACTGATCTTCAAAGTACCGGATCGCAGTCATTGGGAATGATTGAGAAGACGGAATAGGATAGCGATGATGATGAGGATTTCAAATTTTTTTGGAGAGCGAGGAGGCTGATGAGGAGAAGATGGCTAAAGGCAGCACTACATGCTTGTGTCACTCGGACTGGCGGTCATCAATGAAAAGGATTTTGTGTTGTATGCATCATGTGCGTATCGCATATCCCCCTCCAGTCAGGTGAGCCTAGAACAATAGCAGCATGATGATATTGTCCTCGCATTCTTTGTTGAATCACTCTGCGGGATTGTGTCACGTGGAGGGCGGGAGGCCTGGTGCCAAATAGAAAGTACCTCGGTGCAACATCGTCAGGTCTTCGAGTTTCGTTCGCTTGGCATTTTCCTTGTGTAACCTGCGAGCAAATTCTTGCATCAGCGCATATTGGAGTTGCTTATCTTCTTATCACAGGGCAACTGCAGCAAGCGCAAAGGAGTCGATCAGACAGTCTTGGGTAATGGGCCGCAGGCCTTCAAACAGGCGGCCTGCATCACCGTTAAGGCTTATAGTAGATAGTTTCACTCGAGATGAGGTTCCCTATATACTATTACCCATCTAGTTCTCAAATATAGAGGGTCCGTCCCGTCCGAGGTCGCCCGATGAGCCTGGAGTCTGACTTAGGGTTCACGAGGAACGCTCGGCGCAGAGCTTGCTAGATCGAGGTGTTGTGGGCCGGGTAGGCGACCGGGATACTGAAACACGGTAATAGATCTGGAACGACACTCGTAGGCAGTACGTACGTTGTTCCTCATGACGACCACGGTAACCCTGATTCGACACAGACGAGATGAATCTTCACTGTTGTTGTGTAACCGCCAGTCCGCAGGCGTCGAACGGAGCCGGAGCCCATTTCCCACAGGGAGTGAAACGAAGTCCAATTTCATCTGTTATAAGTGTTGCCGATACGATACCCCTTTTTACCACGAATATATCCTGAGGAGTCCGAAATTCTTTGTAGTAATAGCCCCTCGCTATACTTATTAGCAAAGGATCGCTGTCTGTCTTCGACTTCTTCCTCCTTGCCCCTTAAAACTCACCGGTGAGATGCCCCCAGACAGCCCAGCACTGTCTAACTGCGTCCACATTGTAGGAGAGCCCTTCTCCGGCTCGTTCCGCGATCAGCTCATCTGCCGTGTAGCTAGGAAGCACAGAGCACCGAAAGGCCTTGGTGTCCTGTTGCTTCTGACGCAGGCACGATCGGTCGTTTCATCAGACCCGACGGGCAGTTGGTAACGAGATAAGAACAGAAGAGAACGACATAGAGGCGAGGAGAAGAGACTGGCCAGGCCTAATCCCCATTGTACAGTTGCAATCGACCAAAAAAGGTCCGTCTCGAGGCTATTGCGCGACGCTGTCGGTGAAGAGGTGAGCAGACGAACGGAGGGACGCGATGGAGACACCAACGCTAGACCACCTTGGGGAAACAGGCAAGTTAGTTCCGAGTCCCTGGTTTCCCTGGTGCTCCTGGCGTGTTCTAGTCTGCTCGTCTAGCTGTGTGAGAGAAGGTGGTTTTGTGAGAAGTCGGGAAGTCCTGATGGCCTCTCAGGGGGCGCCTTCCCTTTCTGGGAGACTCGAGCCAAACGAGGTCACGTGTGTGGATGCCAGAGATCACAGGCAGCAACATTTCCCCCCTTCCGCTTGTCAACCGCCGCCTGTTGACCGTCACTCCCCAACAACTCTCACCTCTTCCTCGAGTCATGTCCGTCCATCCCCCGCCGTCGGTTGGTGTCGGTTGGTACTGCAGTGAGACGTGCTACACACTACATAGCGTCAGGCCACCCCCAACCCAGAGAATAATCAGCGCCTCCCCCCCCCTCTCTGCCTCCCGATCGACAAGGGTGGGGGGGAGATCGACCGAGTGAGAGAAGCATGTTCGTTGCTGGCGAAGGATCGGGACAAGCCGCCCGGCTCAACGGGAACCATTGGGTGACGATATAATAGCCGTGGCCAATACTATATACAGCCTTGGGACAAATACTCTCACTTTTGATTACAGGGCGATGGCGATAATCGACCTGCAGATGAGCTGCCTATGAGATGGCCCATCGCTCTTAGTTCGGCCCCGAACCTATCTGTCTCATCCTGCCGTACCGGGGGGACAGGGAGTCTCGGGATGGATTTGGCAGTCTGCAGTAGGCCAGCTCACCCAACGTGTTCCAGCAAAGTGAGAGAAAGACCGGGTGGTGGTGGGCAGCAGCGGCGAGGGCCGTGATACTGGTATATGATCGTTGTCTGTTTGCACCGAGCGGGGGATTTCCAACAGCAGCGAGCAGCAGCCATCGATCGTTCTCAGGATCCACATCTTCGACTAAACAACACACACACACACACACACACACACACACACACTCGTTCTTTCTTTTCTACAACTTACTCCTCTTTGCCTTTGACTGAAAAAAAAATAGTTCTATTGTTGTTCCTTCAAAAACCACCACCAAACATGGATCTCTTCAGCTGCATCCAGATGTGCATCACCGGGACGACCAACGAGGACTTTTGGATCACCAAGTCTCTCACCACACCACCGGCGAGCAACATGGAATCGGCGTCGTCTCGCTGCTCGGAGAACGACGTTGCGGCTCGCGTGCTGACCACCCTGTTCAACGCGGAGCACGTCACCATCACCACCCGCAAGGAACTCGACGAGATCGTCCGCCCCTACAGCTGGACGCTGAATATCGCCAAGGCCATCTTCGCAGGACTAGAACAAGCCATCAAGAAGGGTATCCAGGCCGGCCCCGCGGTGGCCACTGCGCTCGAGAAAGCGACCGCCGCCGCCGTCGACTTCGCCGCCGATCATCCGCTCTATTGCGCCATTCTCGCGATCGGCGTCCTCGTCCTACTCACCCCCTGGGTCATCGAGATCCTGGGCTTTGGCGAACTCGGTCCCATCGAGGGCTCCTTCGCCGCCGCCTGGCAAGCCAGATACGCCGGCTACGTGCCTAAAAACTCGCTCTTTTCGTACCTGCAGCGCTTGGGCATGGTTTGGAAACATTAATCACTTTAACTTTCGACGATCTTTTCCCTCTCTGCAGGCGCATGGGGGGCTGGCACACGACTGTCCATCCACACGGCTTTCGGTTTTTGTTAATGACAAGCGCTTCATTTAGGATACATCTCCATAGCAATAATTACGGGAATTGTATTAAATTTAGGTTTTATACTCTCCTTCTCCGTAAGGCTGCCTTCTATATACATGGGTTATGGAACAACAGAGAGGAATTCCTTGGCAAACGCTGCAGCTGTAGCCGCCGCGTACGGCTGCCAGGTCTTCAGTTTATGCGAATCGGCGTAGTCGCAGATTCCCCGGATAACAAGACACGGCAGCACGTCCATCAGCCCGGCGGCTTCCATCTCGACGCAGATAACGCCCAGCTCGCGCCGCAGCTCGTCGCGCGTGACGGCGTCCTTGATCAAGATATTGGACGAGCCGATCGTCCCGTAGTGGATTTGCGGCGCCGTGGACCCGCGCGGCGGGCGCGTCACCACCATCTCCGCTCGGCACCGTTGGCAGTCCGGTCCCCTGTGGTGTTGGTGCGGGTACGTCGACTGGAAGAGTACATCCTTCTCCTCGCCCTGGTGGACGTAGTTCCTGTCTCGCATCTCCGGGTGCTTGCGCAGCATCTCTCCCAGATGGTAGTCCAGCTGGTTCCCGTTCACGCTGTGCTGCGCGATTAGTGTCTCTAGCGTTGTCCGCACAATCGGCGGCGGCTTGTTCAGCGACCCGGTTCGCTCGAAGGTGCTGTTGGGGTTCACCTTCCCCCGGTCAAACTGTACCACTCCGCCAAAGGTATCTGTCGGCTTGCTGACCACCACGTCTCCCAAGCGAATATCTAATTTTCCAGGCTCGGCAGAGGGAATCCCGCCTGCAATACCCACCAACAAACCGAAGCGGAGGTACGGGAAATCGTTCTGCAGCTGATTCGCTACAAAGGCGGCGCTGTTGGTTCCAGTCTCCGGCATTACGGCCACGACCACATTGTGATGACTCATTTGTCCGAAAATATACGTGCTCCTCTCATGCGTGGTCGACGGACTGGTGTGTCGGTGATCAAGCATGGCGAGAATGGGCGCCATTTCAACAGCCATCGGGCAGATGATTGCAACCTTGTACGCATCGCGGGGATCCATGCTGGGGGAAAGCGTCGTTAGACTAGTCTGAGATGTGGTCGAGGAATGCGATATCGCGGCTGATGAAGTAGTGTACTCGGTAATGGAACTCTCGGCAATTGAATGGGACCGCTGCATTCCTTGGTGCTTTCCTGCTTGTGCTACCGTAGGTGGTGATAGGTGGATAGCGGTTGACTGTTGGGCGGGCGCATTTGTCTCTCGCTGAGTAGCAAAATCGAGCTCGTGGATCTTGATCTTGAACCCATTGAAGAGTTCATCCTCCAACGGGGACACAACATGTTTGTAAACCAAGTTGCGGAATTCAACATCATCAAAAGACAGAGTTTCAGGAGGCAGGAACTTGTCACAGTCGAGACATGCCTCAATGGCCGCACGATAGTCGTCGTACATGTCCTCCGAGGTCTCGTCCAATACGCGACTCAACATGAAGAATGGAGTGTCTGGTGTCTCCTCCTGTGTGACCGCGTCGTAGTCTTCCTCGGTTGACTCGATTGTCTCTCCATGATGGAGTTCAAGAAGGAGGCGCGCAAAGTCCAAGATGAGAGGGTATTTATGGAGTCGATCTTCAAAAGGTTCCATCTTTTGCGCCCTCTCAAGAGATTTTAGAGAGCTTGTGATATATGGCTGCCGTGTATTCGGCACGCGATCCATGGAAGGATCACACTGAAAGAAAATCATGCCCGCATCCCAGGCGTCCTGGATCCATGGACCATCACAGAGCTGTAACATGGTATGCGCAAGAATCACGGCAAGGATTCTCTTCTCCTTGAGCGTAACCTTGGAGCGATCCTTTTTAGTTTTCTTCACGAAGAGGTGGCCATTGTCTAGCAACAAACGCAGTGAGATGATGGGAGACCACTCCGGATTTGGCCTTCTTTCCCGCTGGTGAGAACGATCCCACAGCTGCTCTCTAGCAGCCAGAAGACGTAACAATTGTCTCCTGCCCTGAGAGCGAGTGATGGTATCGCAAAGGTTCCTAACTTCGGAGTCTCGTTTTCCTATCTGAACTGAGCTGACCAACAGCTGTCAGAACCGACATTGCTATTCAATAGAGATAGAACCCCCAGCTACATACCTTCGAACGGAACATTTGGCCTCTTGCCATTTCAAGGGCTCTTGACATGTCGACAAGAACATGTCTACCTCCAGTTCGGGATCCGTCGCTTGATGAACAGGTAGGTATAGCCTTGCTACATGATCCCAGCAGCAGCCCTCCAAACAGCCTGTCAGAGACAAATGTAGATTGTGCAAAAGCTCACGGATATCTGAATCTGAACAGTCGTCTTGTTGAATCTTATCCTCGACACGCTGCGGCTTTGGTTCATCAATAGTGATACGCGGCTCCGCCTTCGACCGGTACGCTTGTCTAACAACCCGAACAAACGAACCCATCTCCTGAAGAATTGCCACATAGTCCTTGTCTTCCAGAGCTCGTATTGGGCTATCCAGATCTTTCGTACTGCCGCTGTGGCACCTTTCCATCACGATTTGCAGTTTTGGATAGAGAGAAGCCGGGGCTTGAGGATCTAACGGTGGCGATGGCTTTCTCATATAGTCTTGTAACGATCCCTTTGGTTCTCTTTCTGCACGAGAATGTGGGGAACGGCCAAAGAGCTTTCTGAAGCCTTTCTGTTTCTGCGGCTTCTCCGAGTCCTTACCCTAGATCACTACCCGTCAGTTTCATCCGAACCTTTCTCTTCGCCGAACCTCATCAAACGTACCAGATTCTCTGCCAACAAAACTGGACTCTCGCTCTCATTGGAGCACAGCAGGCTATCGTCCAGCAACTGTTCAAACGCTGCGAGAAGACTCTTCAACGCATCAAGACATTGCCGGAATTCCACGGCCGATAATTCACAGTCGGGATAAACGTCAAGGAGAATCATCCGAACGTCGATCTGGAAGAAATCTCGGTGATTCGTCTCTCTCTCGGCCTGGAGGACTTTCTCTCTCCCAGTGCCCGGCCGTTGCTTATCGTCGCTGCGGGGAGGGGAAGAGCGGCTGAAGAGGTGATGGGCTGCCTGGAGCAGCTCCCACTGCTCTGCGCCCTCGATAGCCAGTTTCATCGTGGCCAGAGTCGTGTCCCATCCCCTGCCCGTCCTCTCGCAGGCAACGGTCAGCCTAAAAGATCGAGGGAGGGAAAAAGAAAGTGGTGGGAGCTGACACTTCACTGACACCTGACAGCACAGACCACGTGCCAGGGCGGGGGAATCCCTGCAGCCTTGCCTTGGCTCTGGTCAAATCTCGCCCTCGCTCTTCTCCCCAACAGACGAGATGGCGTCCGACAGGTATGATGGACATGTTGACTCCTCATCGACACGATGAGCACTAAGGGTATGGGAGTCACAGGAAGCGACGGCACGTCGGTTGCCAGCCCTGTCGCCATCCATGACATGACGGCGGCGTGTATCTCGCTGTTTGAGGAGGTTCTGGCGACACTGCAGCCTGATACGGAGGACTTCGAGCTGGTAGAAACTGAGCTTGGACGTCTGAATATCTGGGCGAGCAATATCGGTGCCCTAGCCCAAGAGACAGCGTCCCTAGATTACCGTCTTCGCCACAGCCAAGACATCAAGGCTCTGGTCGTACAGCTTCTGGAGGTGCTACGCCGCAATCTCAAGCATGGTGAGAAGAACTTGCTTCAATTGTCTTGCCTGGCTGACTTTTCGGTAAAGCTACAGTGGCCAGCGCTGAAGCTCGAAGTGTGGCTGCGACAAAAGCGGCAGAAGAGGGACAGTACTGGTCACAGTCACTGTCAGAGGCGATACAAGCATCAGGGGCAAGCATCGACAGATTACACACGCTGGCAGTCGTGATTCGGAAATCTTCGGCACAGAGCAGAAGTCTCCGCGCTAAAGCCTTTGCAAGTGAAGACGACAAGGAGAACTTTGAGCAATTCGCTTTGACCATATTGAAGCACCGGTTCAAGGAGGCCGCCGGACCCTTGTGTGAACAGCTTGCCAGCTCAATCGCTATGCGTCGCAAGCAGTTTATATACAAGTCGAAGCATCAGAAGAAACTTGCGTTTCAAAAGACAACGAGAACGCCAAATACGACAGCCAATGCTCAAAATCCGACCACTCCACACACTACCCGGGAAACCGAGGGCCATGATAGTCCGTCTACCTTGAACCCTGAACCGTCCTTGTCATCTCAAGGGTTTCAGCACACACCAAGGGCACTACCCAGTAGATTTGCTCCTTCGCAGACCAATGCATCGACGCTGGATCCAAAGCAATTCTACAGGCTGCTGCAAAATCCGCCTCCGTCCATTGCCAGCAAAGGAACGTCCATTCGTGACACAAAACTGGATTATCCGCCAGCCCCAACCATTAGAGAAGGTCAAAAGGAATGTGTCTGTCCATATTGTTGTGAGATTCTCCCCACAGCAAAAGCGAAAAACGACCGTTCGTGGAGGCATCATGTAGATGCCGATATCGAGCCGTACGTCTGCATTTCGGAGAAATGTCGGGCGACACCAACTCAGTTCGTCAAGTTTGAGGATTGGACTCAGCATATGGCCCAGCATGGACCATCGGAGCATGCGTGGAATGTGCACCTTGCTCGATGGCACTGTCCTGCATGCGAAGCGCAGGAAGCGTTCCGGTGGAAGGAGGATTTTGGGCACCATATGAAATTCATTCACGCCGAGAGATTCACACCGTCCCAATTGTCGACTCTCGTCCGGCGCAGCACGCTATCAGTACCACGGGAGGCTTTTGTCTGCCCTTTTTGCAACTGTCTCCCAGAAGAGATCGAACGCATCACCCCTGATAATCGAAGCAAGATGCCGGACCTGCTGCCAAAACATATTGCCGGTCATTTGAAATCTCTTCTTTTCCTATCCCTGCCATATCGGGATGATATCAACGACGATCTGTCAGCTGCCAGCAACCATCCGTCCCGCGGCGGTATCATTCCAGGGGACAACGAGGACGAAAGGAGTGTCGCGGACTCCGATTTATCTAGCATGTCGCTGATATTTAATGGTCACCAGGCAGCAGTACACGAAGAACTTTTGCAAAATGAGCGACTTTTGAAGGAAGAAATATTCCCCCACGAATATGAAGACACGGACGGTGCTTGGGCCTTTTTACCTGAGAGGCCGTACGAAAGGGAAGAGGACCCTATAATCCAAAGATTTACTGCTTTTTCACTCGAGCAAGGAGCTCTTATAGCCCATCATGCAGCAGTCAACTCTTCTGAGAGGAAAGCCCATTTTCCATTGTTCCTAATTCCTATTGCTAAGCCCAGGTGCTTTGTTGGCCGACAGGCTGAGTTACAATCAATCCGCGAAGCCCTGGACGGACACGGAGGACAGGGTCGTGCATTGACATTGTCAGGATTGCAGGGTGCAGGGTACGTGTTTTCTCCTCTCAGTTCTGTTCAAGAAACTGATAGTGCTTGCCGTTGAAAGGAAGTCGGCGATCGTAGCTCAATACTGCTACTTACGAATGGCTGAAAACCCCAACTCGGACATTTTTTGGATCAACTGCTCTGACCAGGCGTCATTCCTTGAGAGTTGCCTTTCCATAGCCAAACTGCTAGACCTCATCGTCGAAAAGGAATTCGACCCTGTTTATATTATCAATGCAATAGCCCAGCGGCTGGTGGAGTATTCAAGAAAAGGCACCCTTTTTGTCCTCGATGGATTTGATCACTCCCTTGAAAGTTTTGGCCCTCCGGATGTCGTCCCACTAGTATTGGCTCGTTTACGTCGAGACGGCCAATCAATTGTCATCACAACCTGCAACAAAGCTAGTCACAGAATGCCAGGATTAGATTCCATCCCTATAACTCATATCGAGCTTATGGGCTCCAGAGATGCCACTGAGCTTCTATCACAACATTTGACGAGAGGGGAGACGAAGGATATGGAAAAACTTGCCAATCTCTTGGGAGGAAGTCCATTCGCCATTGTCCGGCTGGCAGAAGTCATCAACGCATCGGCATCATTCCCTCTAGAGATATACGTGAATGAGCTGGAAACCTGTCCTTCAACACCCAGCTCTGTATTGGAAGAGTTCGGCGGAGGCCTGGAAGAACTATTTGATAGAATATCTGAGACTGACCGGGAGTTGGCTGCAGCAATTCAGCCCGCAGCATTTCTCGACGCAAAGAATATTCCGTGGTCACTCTTGCAACTTTTACCAACAGACCTCGTGCGTGTTATCCGCAGGTTGGAGGAACTATACCTTATTTCAGTGGATTATAGCCATCGTACCCTCACGTTGCGCACACATGTACAGCGGGCAATTTACTTTTGGATTAAACTCAGAGACCGATTTCAACCCCTGGTTGCTCTCGCGGCCAAGGCGGTTCTTCGAGAGTTTCCAAAGCCAGGGTTCGAGACTCGGAAAAAGTGCGCAGCTCTTGTCCCGCATGCCAGGCGTTTATTGAATAGTGGACTCTGCGACTTCATCACTGCAACAACCCTCCTTCACAAACTATCACATTATGAATACGGAGAAGAGCTGTTCATAGCAGCCGAAAAGGATGCGCTTGAGGAATGGGCGATGTACCGAGACCGTCCCAAGCCCCATCAGACTCAAGACGAATGTGCGCTACTCCTGGGAAAGATAAGAGGCATTCGAGGAGATTATTTGGGTTCTATGGCGTACTTCAATGAAGTTTGTCCGTATTTAACGCCGGATAGGATTCCGCCACGAGAGTTGATGGAACGCGACCTTGAAGTGAGCCTGATGCTCATGCGCCAGGGAAGAGTCAATGAACCAAAGGGTCATCTAAAGGAAGCAGAGAGATGGGTAAATATCAATACTTCAGATCAAGAATTTGCTCTCAAAGTCAAGGATGCCATGGGCCTGCTCTACGTGGAGGACGGCGACCTAGGTCTGGCAGAAGCCACACTTCGATCGACTCTGGAAGAAAAGGAAGAATTCTACGGTATATCACATCCTTCCACTCTGGCGACACGATGTAACATCATGCGAGTACTCTCTGAAGATATGGAGTATGAGCAAGCGAAGGAAGAAGCTGAAGTGATGCGGAGACTATACGAGCAGATTGGATACCCTCACTGCTCTGGGGCTCTCGCGTGCATCAACAATCTAGCATGCATTGCATGGAACAACGCAGACTGGGAGCAGGCTCAGCGACAGTTCCAGACGGTGGCCGATGGATACGAAAGGATCTTTGGTCCCCAGCATCTGAACACATATCAGGCAAGAACCAATCTCGCCAAAACGATCATTAAACTGAACCACACTGCGGAGGCTGAGAGGATCTTCCAGGAGACGCTGGACCAGATGCGGACTGACAAGTATTACACGCCGGCGCACGACAAGCTTCGCATGAATATTGAGAACAGCCTGGCAAAATTGTTCAAGGCGCAAGAGAAACTCGAGAGCGCCGAACGGGTGTACAAGAAGATTCTGCGTGAACTTGAGCAATCTGACCCAACGAGGCAATGGGACACTTCAAAGTGCCGAGCGGAGCTATTGAAGATCCAAACAGAGATGAAAACTTTGAAAGCAGCTCGAAACCCGTCTATGACAGATGAAACGAACAGCGAGGAAGAGAGGGCTTCCAAATCGGCCTTTCGCCTAGACTACATGTAGTGACAAGTCATATTCCTACCATATACATGGTTACAGACAATCTCAAGCCGATTTCAAACAAGGCTAGTCTCATCAACAACTTCAACCCCTGCTGAATTCAAAAGCCCATGCCGTGGTGGTATCCGTCTGATAGATGGGAAACACCAGAGTGTCATTTGCATACGTGTGGGCGACGATGCCGCGGTTGGACGGAGCCCCAGTGACGGCGAAATGGTCTGTTCCAGCAAACCCCCAGGTCTGGATGTCGACGGTCCCCTCAGCTGGCAGGCCGACGGCAGTCATGCCGTTGACGGTGATGGCCCAGGTGCCCTCTGTGATGCGGGTGCCGGAGAGGATGCGGACCTTGTCGGAGTCGACGGTGGCATAGACGTCAAACAGGCGGTCGGCCGTACCCGTGGTGTTGACACGGTGGCCGGTCATGTTGGTGTTGTAGTAGCGGTAGACCTGCCACTCCGGGGCCGCGGCATAGTCCGTCGCGGTATAGTTGTACGGGTCATCGATCTTGGTGAGCAGGTTGGCGAACAGGTCGTGCAGCGTGAGTCCGTCCATCCAGTTGCCTCGCAGGCCGAGCGTCTCGTACCGCTCCAGCCGTGAGATCCACCATGCGGCAGGCGCAGGGAACTGCTCCGGAAACGTCGCGTACTCGTTGATGTTCACCTGGCGTGCTGGCAACCCGTACTCTGCCAGCAGGGCCGTCAGCGTCGCGTTGGTGATCTGCAGGTCGTCGTCGGGCGAGTCTACATCCGCCTCCAGATGGTACGAGTACTGGTCGGGGACGGTGTCGTTGCCCTCGACCTGGCTCAGCCACAGTGTCCAGAAGTCATCTGTGCCGGAGGGAGCCGTGGCCAGCGAGGGCCCAGTGATCTGAACGCCGTCATACTTGGAGTTATCACTGCATCAAGGATTAACACTGAAAGCTTTTTTTTTTTATGTTCCTTCCAATCTATCAGTCTCACCGGATGATCTTGGATGTGCGGACAAAGAGATCCACCCATTGCTGCGCGGATCGCGCCCAGAAGACCGTCTCATCAGGCTCGTTCCACGTATCCCAGACGAGGGCGTCAAGAGCATCGTACTCGGCCATGTCGGCCAGGAGCGTGGTGACAAACAGGTCGTAGTTGGTCCAGTCACCGTCGTCGCCGGGCCATACGGTCGAGTCGTTGGCATGGTCGGTGCCCCAGACATCGTGTGGGAGGATGATGAAGCTGCCTCCATACTCTCGCGTCGTGCGGTAGTTGGACAGCGTCGAGTGCAGTCGGCACAGGTACTCGTCGTACCCCCAGATCCAGCCACGGCAGGGGGCTTCCAGCTGCGCCCCTCCTGCGCGGTTGTACCGGAATCCCATGTCCGTGTACCAATGACTCTGGACCTGGTTGTACGTGTCTGGGATGCCATAGATGAATCCGGATGCCAGGTGTTGGGGGCTCCCCTTGGACAGCGACAGATCGACGACGGCCGAATCCACGGCCAGGACGACAGCTGCGGCCTGCGCCAGTCCGAGGAGCGAATACTTCCAGTGCATGATGGGTGAGAATGATCGATTGATGGCTGGTTGACCGGAGTGATTTTCTTCAGTGAGACGATATCGATCTATATATACCCGCTTCCTTCCTCCGCTCTTATTCAGGAACCCGCCTGCGGACCGAGAATGCGGGGAGCACGAATGTGGGGAGATCCTTCGAAAAAAAGAGTGTTGAATATACGATGGTTTTCCCGAGAGAATAATAGCAAACAACAGCAGGAAGCAGGGGAGATTCCGGCGGGGGAATCTATTTCTGATGGCGTGTTGGACCCCGCCAGACGATGTTTGACGATCGGCCAATTCTCTCCACCGGAGTTTCAGGAGATCATCCCGGTGGATCGACAGGGTATATTCCATGCTGGTATGTTTATAGCTATGGATAGGTGTAATTGGGTGTTTCATTCCTGTATGAGATGAGTATAAATAGTCTGTGTTGGTTGCCGAGTATGCGGATGGTGAAGATCCTAGCGATAATATATCATTTTAGTATACACTGTTTATACACTCGATATACACTTAATATAAACCGTTTATATACTCAATATAGACTTGATATACACTTAAATATATTCACTGGAATGAAATCAAAGAAATACAGAAATCATTCTATATACTTTTATTTCCACAAGTTATCTAGTATAGTCATGATGAAGCACTAGTGATGTCAGGCATAGTATAAGAGTGGTTTGTTTCCCACCTATTCTGAAACACCATCTCATAGAAACTATCAATTAAATAATATATTGTTATCCACCAATCTACTCGACAAAATGTACAACCGCCTCGACAAAGACCGCTGCGTCTTTCTCTTCATCGACCACCAGGCCGGCCTGATCCAGCTGGTCCGCGACTTTGGGCCCGACGAGTTCCGCAACAACGTACTCGCCCTGGTCGACACGGCGAGATACTTTGACATCCCTACTGTCTTGACTTCCTCCTTTGAGTCAGGTCCCAATGGTCCCCTCGTGCAGGAGATTCCTGACCGATTGCCCAAAGCGCCTGTTATTCGTCGACCGGGCGAGATCAACGCCATGGACAATCCTGATTTTGTCAAGGCTGTGGAAGCGACTGGTCGGAAGCAGGTCGTCATCAGGTAGGAAAATAAAAATCTCCCTCTGTCTTCCTATCTCTCTGTGTGTGTGTGTGTTGATAACGGGTCAGTGGCGTATTGACCGAAGTGTGCGCAACATTCCCTGCCCTCAGCCTGGTGGAAAAAGGGTACGAGGTCTTCGTGGCGACCGACGCATCTGGTACGTTTGCAGAGCACACGCGCGAGGCTGCCCACAAACGGCTACAGCAGCATGGCGTTCAACTGCTCAACTGGGCAGCCATCTCGTCGGAGCTGCAGCGCGACTGGAGACGAGACGTGCAGGGGTTTGGCGAGCTGTGGCGGAAGTACGTGCCGGGGTACTGGTGCTTGATGCAGAGTTACTCGCAGGCAAAGGATTAGTATGGAGGTTGGTGAGGTCAATAGAAGAGAGAGAGAAGTCGTGTCTTCTGCCTTCCCGATTGGGATGGTCACGTGTCAGACACGTGAAAGAAGTACACGTGATTTCACTAGGCTTGGACCTTCCGTCAAGAATTCCAAATCAACTTCACTTCCTCGTCTCCTCTTCGTCATCCCCTGCTTGTGTCGTCTGTAGGCCTCATCCACGGCGATTGCCTTTGACAACAGTTTCGGGTCTGTCACTCTATTAGGACTAGTTATACTGGCTGACTGTTTCAAAGTGATTAGATCCCCGTCGACCACATGCCAGAACGGCCAAACCCTTGTCCGATCGACGCAATATCCGCGGCTACTAAATCCTGCCCCTCCGCCTGGCTAGAACATGGAGAGGTCAAACTACCCGACGAAGAACATGGTGAAAGAGGTTCCCGGGGTGCTTTGGACGGAGTAGATACCGAATTGGCCTGGGAGACCATCACCGCTAGTCATGGCTGGCTGCTCTCCTCTCTATTCGAGACAAACCAACCTCGGAGACCTTATAGGACGTGTTCGGACAAGCAGGGGCTGTTGCTGCTTTTCACATGAACGCTGCGTCTAGACCAAATCCCGGGTGATCGCATGTCGGCCGTGATTTGTGCGCATATCCATGCCAGCGTCACTTGCAGAAGGATTTTGCGGGGGAAGAACTCCATGACAAGTGGACTTTTGTCAGCAAGTGACGACAAGCTGTCAAGTTTAAGCGATGTACAACATATATCTAACAGCTAGTCAACCGGACCAAAAGCAGACGAGACTCGGATCTTGAGTCGTGAGGCACCCTGTAGTCAAGATGAAGCTTCGCTGGCAGTCTTTCTTCTGCATCCAAGTACTCTTTACCGTCTTTCTGCATGCCTTGACCGTTCGTGCAAATCCAAATCTTCTTTCGGAACTATCGCCATGCGCCGTGAGTCGAATCAATCCTTACTGGGAGTGAGAGCCCCATCACTGACTAACCTTCGCAGCTGACTTGTCTGGTGAAAACTGTACCGGAGGCAGATTGCGAGCTGACCGATATAGCCTGCCAATGTGCAAGTAAAAACCTCACGCGGCTGGCAACAGAATGTATGCTCGAAGAATGTACCATCGCCGAATCACTAAGTAGGTTAGCCTCTGATTCGAAGAAAGAAAGTAATCTGATCCTTAGAACTTGTGCAAATCGATGCAATCCAATGCGACTTGCCTCATAATAACCGCCACGCGGTAATCGAGGTCTTTGCTATCCTGACGCCTACTGTCACGTTTTTCATGCTCTCCCTCCGTCTGCTGTCGAGACTCTGGACGATAGGCCGTCTATGGTGGGATGACTGGTTCCACATCGTTGCCGCAGTATGCTCCTATCTTGATAGCAATTGATCATCTCTGATTCAAATACCAGGCCTTCGTCATTCCTCTTACAGTATTTGCCTGCCTCTGTTAGTCGCCTGTGCTGTGTGCTTGTCTTCTATGCTTCCATTCCTGACCATGTAGGTGCTAGTCATGGCTTCGGATATCATCTCTACGACATCGATTTCACTTCTGTCTCCCAAGCATCGGACTTGCTGTTCTGGTGTGAGTACCGCTCAACAGTTCTATAAGGTGTAAAAGTCGTGTCACTGACCAGTCAGTCTATCTCTGCCAGATCTTCTGGGGTCTTGGTATCTTCTTCGTCAAGCTTTCCATCCTATGCCTTTATTTGCGCGTCTTCCCAGACGCCAGGTTCCGTCTGGCTGTCTACATCTCCATGACGGCCCTAGCCATCTCCGTCCTGACCCTCCTGGCAATGACTGTCTGGCAGTGCGACCCGATCGACACCCCGTGGACGCTCGACTACGCGCGCGCGCACTGCCTCAACATTTCCAACATTGCCTACGCCAATGCAGCAGTCAACATCGCAACCGAAGTAGTCATTCTCATCCTCCCCTTGCCTGTCTTGCACACCTTGCGCGTCACCGGACGAAAGAAAGCGGCTCTGTACGCATTGTTCGGTGCCGGATTGCTGTAAGAGCACCCATGTGAAATACTGCATCTCTAAGCCGCGAGTCCAATCAGTTCAGTACAGTACTGACTCAATAGTGTCATTGCTATCGCCTCCGCCCGGATTCCAACCCTCTCCCACATCGCAACATTCAACGACCCCACATACAACAACGTCCCCGTGTATGTGTGGACGTGCGCAGAGATGACGGCCGTGCACGTCTGCGCCGCGGCCCCGGCCGTGCGTTCGCTCGTGAGTCGAGTCAAGAATGAGGTTACAACAAGAACAGCAACGAATCGGACGGGACAGGACTTTAGTCTGGACCCGTACGTGAAAAAGACTACCATGATTACCACCACGACTACCACTGCGACTACGTATTCCTCGAACAAAGCAGCCACGGTTTCGACAACCGGGAGAAATACATATGACGGTGCACGCCCGCCGAGTCCGTACTCTCCGTTTCAAAAACGGAGATCGAGCGTTGAGATGGATGCAGAGCAACAGCAGGAGTACCACGAAATGGAACTCCAAGAATTTCAAACCTCAGCACAGCGGTTCCCGCACAGCTTGTTCGGCCTGGGCACATGTAGTCTTGACGCCATTTCGGAGCGGGCCGAAGGAAGGCATAGTATAGAGGATGCATCCTCGGAGGAAGACTGCGAGCATGGACAGTCATTTCTGGACGTTTGAAAAGTCTGGAGTCTCTCTTGTTTCTATCTCTAGGAAAGAACAAGAAGAAGAAAAGAGAAAGGGGCAGCCTTCGCGGCCATCTACCACGCATGCCGCTCCACTGCCAGCCAAAGTGACGATGCGCGACGGCTGCCAAATTTTCACTCCCGACTTGAACAAGGCATTGAACTTGAGCGAGCAAGCAAAAGCTGCAGTTGGATGCTTATCGCGGTGCAAATCCCCCGAAAAAGATATGCGTCTTGCGCTGGGTCTTAGTAAAGGCGTGCGTGCAAAGCTGAAGATCCAGTTGGTCGCAGAGATACCGACGTGGCCTAGAAGATGTCAGAGGATACAATAGAAAAAAGCAACAATAACCATGCCAGGTGAAAACACAGACGATGACAAAAACTCAAGAACCACGATGATAGCCTTGGCAGCTCTATCCAACGCAGAATGGTGTTCTTGTCTATCTCATGCCCCAGGATATTAGCCAGCAGTGATGAAGTGGTAGATCGTGCAAAGGGAATTGACGATTTGGATGGAGTAACGAGATGAGGGAGATGCCATGTTTAATAACGATGGAGGATCTTGAAAATAAGTTTCCTAGGAATGTATAAATACCATAAATATTGTGATGTTATCTACGCCAGAAGACACTCTTCTACTAATCTAAGCTGTCGGCTCCATGGAAATGAAGTATATTATGAATTACGTAATTCATTAATTCAGCAGCAGACATTATATACTGGAAACCTAGAAAGTAAAGGTTCCCTGCAGAGGCAGATCGCGACTCGAGCGCCCCACGGAAACCACAAACGGGCCCTCCTGCAACAACCAGTCCTGGGCGTACACATCCCAGATACTCAGGTCGCGCCGCGTGACGTGGAAGTCGATTTCCACACTCTCGCCCGCGGCAAGGTAAAACTTCTCAAAGCCACGGAGCTGGCGCACAGGAGCGTTAGGGATACCCAGGTACAGCTGGGCGACCTCTGCGCCGCCCACGTCGCCCGTGTTGCTCACCACGGCGCTCACGGTGAGCAGCTCGTCCCACAGGTGCGGGTTGCCGCCGGGCTCGGTGGTCGCGGCTGGCGGGTAGCTGCTGGTCGAGGAATTGGATGAGGAAGACTGCTTGATGGTGAGCGAGGAGTAATCGAAGGTGGTGTAGGAGAGGCCGTAGCCGAACTCGAAGCGCGGGGTGATGTTGTAGGCGTCAAAGGCGCGGTAGTCGATGAGCTGGCCCTCGGTGAAGTTGGCCTGTGGGAAGAGCCAGAAGATGCCCTCCGGCAAGGCCGGGTTGAGCAGGTTACCGTAGTCGGTCTCGTTGTGGGCGATCGTGTAGGGCAGCTTGCCCGACGGGTTAGCCCGGCCGTAGAGCACGTCGACGAGAGCGCGGCCGGAATCCTGGCCCGGCAGATGGGCGATGATGACGGCCGTCACGTTCTCGTGGTCGATCCACGGGTCCACTAGGCGGATACCCGCGTTGTGTACGACCACGATGGTATTGGCGCACTGGTCGGCCACGTTGGCTACCAGCTCGTCGCTGTAGTCGTCGTACAGCCCGCGTCGGTCGTACCCTTCACCCGCGTAGGCGTTGATGAACACCAGGCACGCATCGCTAGTCGGGTCGATCTCGGGACTCTTCGATACCGTGTCCCACAGCACCGAGGTGCCGTCCTCGTACGCCTGTCGCTGGATGGCCGACAGAGGGGAGTCGATGTATGCAGGCGAGTTGGTGCCCGAGCCGCCACCCACGGTGAGAGTGCGGTTGATGATGAGCGGGTTGTCCGCTGCAGTCGATTCGCTGGGGATGTCCATTGTTTCGGGTGTACGCGCATCGTAGCCAAAGATGGAGAGCATGTGCGGCGACTTGAGCGGCAGCGCGTTGTTCACGTTCTTCACCAGAACTTGACCCTCGATCGCAGCCGCTAACAGGGTGCTCTTCTCGTCTGGCTTGGTGGCAATCACCCGCTGGTGTGGCGCATAGAGATCCTCTGCCATGCCGATGCCGGGGGTCGGAAATCCTTCGTCCTGGCCAACGAGATACCAGGTCGCCATGATTCTACCATATGTTAACTGAACGCTACCCGACGAAGACATGCAGTAGACTCACCTGATGGCCATGTCATCCAAGCGGGAGGCCTCCATACTACCGTTGGCGATGGCGGTGGTCAGGTTCTTTCCCCAGAAGGAGGACTGCGGCATGGCCATGTCGAGACCAGCATTGGCCGAGGCGATGCCCGTGTGCTGGGCGCCCCAGTCGGTCATGACATAGCCCTGGAAGCCCAGCTCTGTCTTGAGCAGGCCGTTGAGAACCTTGCTGTTCTGGCTGGCGTACGAGTTGTTGATGCGATTGTATGAGCACATGACGCTCGCCGTGCCCGCACGCACTGCATCAGCAAACGGCCACAGATACAGCATGTGCATTGTTTCATCGTCAATGTTGGACGACACCGACTGGACCTCCTGGCCTTCCGAGTTTGTTTCGGGGCTCCGGTTGGTTTCTTGTTCGTACCCGATCATGTGCTAGGTTTGAGTCAGTCCAAAATGTTCCTATAGTGAGTTGATTTGTAGTACTTTGAGAGAAGTTGCAACGCCCGACGATTGCAATCCGTCAACCGTCTCGTACACCATCTGCCCGGTCAGGTATGGATCCGCCGCAAACCCTTCCCAGTTGCGTCCATCACGGACCATGCGCCCCAAAGGACCGACCACGGGGCCCAGAATGACATTGACACCCTTGGTATAGAACTCGCGGCCCATGTGAACGCCCCGTCCGTGTGCTAGCGAGCGGTTCCAACTGTAGACTGTGAGTAATGGGGAGGGAGGAAGGTAAGAGGGACAGAAGACTAACGTTGCAGCAGTATGCACGCCACTCGCCCATCCATTGACATAATCTGTGCCTCTCTAAGTGTATCAATTAGCTTCTGCGGGCACACACCGGCCTTCCAGAGGGATATCACCCACCAGGCCATTCTCGGCGTCATTAACGCAGAGACCTGGGAATCCCAGGCGCGAAATGGCAGTGATCGTCCCGGAACAACCGTTCTGTGACCATGTGCCAGCAGTCAGGTTGACCTTTTCGTCGTCCGTGAGCTGGGCGACAAAGGCTTTGGCTTTGGCATACGCTCCTGCCCATTCTCCGGCACCTGTCCCTTGAGCTGTTATCGGTCAGTCAGCGCGATTTCACGAATCCATTGAGGGGAAGACGCATGGTCTAGTTGCGAAAACATACGAGACGGATACACAGGAGGGGATTCTCCGTAAAAGTAAGAGTCCTCGGTGATATTACCAGTGGCCAGAGAACCACCGGCCAGACTCAGCCCAAGCAGAAGCGCCGAAACCGTTCCCGCAACCATGTCTACTCTCCGGATCGTCCTCGTCGCGAATTGACTTAGAATTGGTGATACTGGGGTGCTTCGGGGACAGCTCCATCTAGTTTATATACCATTGCCGATCCCTAATTCGCGGCGTGAGGGGCGCGCTCGCTCTCGCTCTCCCATCTCACCACACAAAAAGGTATCTAGAGCTTCGGCATGCACCAGTCAGACGAATGGCATCATTCCGCCCATAAACAAGCACGCCCTAGTGTGGGAAAATTCTGATCCGCAAGTATACGTCCTCGCAATGTCTGTTCGCTGACCGACTCCCGGTAGGAATCCGGAGCTAGCCATTGCCCTAGCAGGAAACGATTGGCAAGGAGATCCCGTCCAGGCACTCTTCTCCGAGGGAACAGCCGTTGCTGGTGACGCATCCGCGTGTGACCTCTGCGGGGTATCTCCGATTATTGTCCGCAGTGGATGATCACACGGTGTCGGGGCGACAATAGCCCGCACTCAATAGAGCTGCTGGAGATATGAGGTACAAGATGCGTTTTGTGTACAAGATGCATTTTGTACTCGACGCAGATCTCACTTCATTTTATCTTCTCCTGCGTTCCACTGTCAACTCTCTTCAGTTCTCGTGGACGGAACAGTCTCTGTCATCCTCATCTGCTAGCAGACCCTGCGTGCAGAAGCAGGGTTCAGACCTGGTCGGATCGAGAACGGATCCGATGCGAGTGGGGTGCTCACTGTGGGGAATGGGGAACCTGGTCGGGAGATCCAAGCTTCGAGTATGAATACCTCTCGTGGTTTTGTCTCTGGTGATTGTGATCTGTGGTCTGTTATGCTTAGCAGAGACACGCGTACGTCCGGCAACTGCAGTCGAGGAGAGGGAAAAGGAGGGAAAGAAGGAAACAGGCGATTTTGCAGTGTGCGAGAGACTAACCGGAAGGGGAAAGGGCCAGGCTAGTGGCCTGAAGATTAAGGCATTCTTTTGCCTGAGGTCCAAGGCATGCATCAGGCAGCGATTCAGTCACTTGACCTGATCTTCACCGAAACAAACGGAGGAACGCGATTCTTTCCAGCTTCTTCTCAGTTCTTCAACCCCGGCTCGAGAGAGCAGACGGAGGAGCAGAGGGGACAGAGGGAGATTATGATATGACTACAAGTCGACGACAATGCCTATGACAGTCGCTGGACTGTAGAGGAGTACAGAGCGAGGAGTACGCTCCTGAATCCTCGCCTCTGTCCTCTACGGAGGACGGTAAACACTGCTACGTACGCTCTGTGACTGATCTAACTCTCCTCTCGCCTAGGTCTTGGACTTGTCCACCCGCCGAGTTGCACAGGGAACAGAAAAAGCAAAGATGCCAATCAGAAACAGCGAGCGCGGCGAGAGTGCAGGTGGCTGAAGCGACCTTCTTCACCCCTAACGCTTTTTTCTGTTTTTTTACCCACAAAATCTCTCTCTCTGTGCGTTTGTGTGTGTCCCTCTCTCGTGAGAATTTTCAACAATCGTGAAAAATGGGCCAAGGTGTGCTGTCGGTGGTCGAACAAGAGGTGGGATCTCTCCGCCGGGAGTACAAAACAGAGCAGTACCGAGGACTACTGCGGATTCTTATCCCGGTACGAGGCGAGAAATTCAAGCCGGATACCGTGACACAGTATGCGAACCGCATTCGCAAGATCCGCAAGGAGATTGAGGTCTGCTACCCGGCGGCTCCCCTTACCGACGGGCTCTGGAGCCATCTCTTTCTCGAGGGCTTGGGACACGAGTACCACGAGTTCGAGCAGAACATCTTCACCAGACGCAGCCTGTTTGAGGAGGTGAGCGGGAACGAGGGTGGTCGCTCGATGATCACCTTTGACGAGATCGTCAAGGAGGCCGTGCAGAAGGAAAAACGACTGAAAAACAATGCCCTATCAACGAGGGAGCCTCGTCCTGAAAGGAACCCGTCTCCTAGGGTCGAGATACCGTCGCCACGAGGAGAGCGAGCAGAACGAGCAGAACGAGCAGAACAAGCCTCCCCCGCAACCAGTCCAATCGACCACGAGCCAGACACGACTGTGGACCGTCCAACCCGCTCACAAGCGCGACGGACGGGTGCCCGATCTTCCAACTCCCGGGCATCCCGTTCGCGGGCACCTCGTACACGCCGCCGAACGATCACCCAACGTGAGGCGGAAGAAGACGACACAGCACGCGAAGTGCGGTTACCGTCTATCGATCTGGGTAGCCAAGATTCCCTCTCCTTCCCTGCCTCTGAGCCTGCACCCGAGCCTGCGCCTGCGCCTGAGCCTGAGCCTGAGCCTGAGCGTGAGACCGAAGTTCCGAGCATCCGGAGCAAGCCACTGTCGACACCCCGCAATGACCAGCTCGCGACTCCTCCAGGCAGTGATGAGCCCGAAGCTCCGAGCAGTGATCCGCAAGACCCGGGTAGTAGCATGCCAGTGCTCACTGAAGACGGAGAGAAGATTCTAGACCGAATCCTACAGCAAGAAAAGGAGCTGGAGCTGGAGGCGAACAGGGACGAGACCATCTGGACAGCGCGGGGGCGGCCCAGCGAACAGCGACCCCCGAGCAAACGCAAGTCTCCCTCCGTGGAAGCGCTAGACCGCGAACCGGAGAACTTCCCCAAGAGGCAGAAACGGCGGAAGAAGAACCGCCGCCACCACCGCGGCACCCCCGACCGCCCGACCACGCCCCGAATGAAAGACGAGTCGCCGCCGTCGCCGTCCGACCGTCACCAAACGGCTCGGTGGCGGTCCAACTCGATGTGGTGCACGCCCTACTCGCAGAGACCGAGTCCTCCACCATCACCGTCGCCGAAACCAGTGGCCTCCTCTCCGACGCCCGTGCAAACCCTGCTGAAGCGAGTGGAGTTGCCGACGCCCGTGCAAACCTTGCCGAAGCGAGTCGAGTCGCCGACTCTCGCGACCAACGACGAGTCTACGCAGATCAGGGACCTCGAATGGCACGATCTGAACCGGGATTTCCGTTCTGACTGGGGGTTGTCTGACGTGTATGATCCGAAAGTCGACATGGACTGGCATGGCATCTGGGTCGACGATTGACCACACTTTACTCTATCTTGAGCACACTCTTTGCATGGCGGGTCTCGGTTTCTCAACTAATCGTTTCTTTTGTCTCGGCTTTCAGTCTAGGGATGTACGTATACAATAGTCATAGAGTTGAGAGTATACCAAGACAGTAAAGTACACTCGAGAGATCAATTGACCTCCCTCCCCGTCATAAAACGCATACTCGCTTTGACAATACGCAAAACAAGCTGCAGCTCCTCCTCGTCCCGCGGGGCATAAACCAAGACATACCCCGTCGGCATATGAAGCAGATTCGGCGCGTAGGAGACCAGACTTCCCCATCCCATGAGGGCATGGCGCTGTCCCCATCCCGCGGCGAGGACCTGTTTGGCGTCTGCAGGCGACAAGACGACATGCAGCGAGTGATCGCCCGTTGCGTGGATGTGGGCGAACTCGCCGTTCGTCCAGCGGGCGGCAGATGGTGTAGGCTGGATACAATCGGCCAGCCACATTGCTTCTGTGTGTCTTTCCAGATTGGAGGGGGAGATCCTGACGCTCTCCTTATTGGAGCTTGCCAGGGCCATGAACGAGCTCATTAGTTCCTACGATATCAGCAGAGGAGCAAGTACTCGTAGTGGGGGTAATGCAGCAAGGAATAAGGCCGTTTACCCCCCTCATCTGGTCTGGTGGAAACTGATCCATCTGTCTTTGTGGAATAGCATGCGGTCCTACCCTCGGTCTCTCGCCCTTGCGTTTCGGCAGAGGAGTCTCGAGATAGCTCTCAGTCTCGCCGCGCCGGATACTCGTGTCGTACATGGTGGTACTGAACATGTTCCACGAGAACGGGGTGACCAGGAAACGAGATAAGAGCCATCCGTAGACATTGTGAGGGGGTCCGCCAGGTCCGTACGAAAGGAACAGGTTGTAGTCGCGGTAGAGCTGGAGGGAGCATGCCAGCAGGGCTGTCGTGGCCGTGGCGGCCGTCAGCTGTGGGTTGCGGCGGACGAGCTGGACGAGAGCCGCGTAGACGTCGTTGAGGCGGTTCATGGTGTCGACCACTGAAGCCTGAAAGTGATGAGATGAAGGGGGGAGAAGGAAGAAAGAAGGGAGGAAGACGGTGGTTGCATCGGGGACGGAGGATGATGTCACGTGAGGGAGGTCTCCCCGACGGGGCCAATCGGAGGCAGATACGGATCGGATCGGAGAAGTCAAGTCCGTCGGAAAAGAATCAATAGAAGCAGGATATATAAAGTAGAAGAGCATGATATTAATTCATTACTTACTGTTTTATAATAGTTTGATAGTAGTTGATATGAATTAATCTGAAGTATAGCAGTAGTGAAGAAGTAGAATTATATTCCTCATGTTGATAGGAAGATAGTAAGGTCCTAGGCAGCTCTATAGACAGCAGTCTAGACTAGTTGTCCTATAGTAAGTAGTAGGTCAAAGGAGAATCTATCCTGTGAGTGTAAATAGTCTACTTGGTATAGAGAGATAGTATAAGGGATAGATTGAATATATCTTGGTATATTGGATCTATATCCACCTAAGTAGTAGGAGTATATACTGTCATTCACAAAAATGAAACTCTAGTACAACGAGGACTTGTACACGCATATGCTATGATTCTCGGTATAAGCTATTCACTCCATCCCCGAATACGCATTCAGCGCCAGCTGCCCCCCCAGATGGGCATAGAGGACATTGGACCCCTCGGGGATCTCCTCCTTGCGCACCATGTCGATCATCCCCGCCAGACTCTTGCCCTCGTAGACCGGGTCGGTGATGAAGCCCTCGGTGGCAGCGCCGAACTTGATGGCGGCGATGGTCTGCTGGTCGGGCACGCCGTAGACGCCCGCGTGGTAGCGGTCGTCCAGCACAATGTCCTCCTCGGTGATGTCCTCCTCGCGCAGGCCGATCTTGACGGCCGTGACGCGCGCGATGCGCAGCACCTGCGCAAACGTCTGCGGCACCGTCGCCGAGGCGTCGATCCCAATCACCTTGCGCGGGCGCGAGCCGTTCTTCACCTGCGCCAGCTTGAACCCGGCCACCATCCCCCCCATGGTCGACCCCGTCACCGCACACACAATCACCGTGTCGAAGAAGACGCCCAGCTCGCGCTCCTGGGCCTCGACCTCAAACGCCCACCGCGCAAACCCCAGCCCGCCCAGCGGGTGGTCCGACGCCCCCGCGGGGATGTAGTAGGGCTTGCCGCCCCGGGCTTCAATCTCCGCGCTCAACGCCCGCAGCGTCGCCTTGTGCTCGATCCCAAACGGCGACGGGTCCAGCCGCGTGTCCGCCCCCATCAGTCGCGACAGCTGGATGTTGCCCACCTTGTCGTACACAGGGTCCTCCCACGGCACCCACTTCTCCTGCACCAGCGACACCTTCATCCCCAGCTTGGCCCCCACGGCGGCCACCTGCCGCGTGTGGTTCGACTGGTATCCGCCGATGCTGACCAGGGTGTCGCATCCTTGCGCCAGGGCGTCCGAAGCAAGGTACCTGACATTAGCACGGAAACAGATATCCACCAGTCTACAGGCTTACTCTAGTTTTCTTGTCTTGTTCCCTCCATACGCCAACCCGGAATTGCAGTCATCTCGCTTGGCGTAGATGTTCACTTTGCCGCCCAGCGCGCGGCTGATGTTGGGCAACGCCTGGATGGGCGAGGGGCCGAACAGGAAGGATTCCCGCGGGATGCTGGCAAACGGTTCAGGGAGCTCCATTCTGAGAGAATTGAGATGTTGTTGGAATAATGTCGAATGATTCCATGATCGACGAGCTCTTTATACCTGGAATGGGATCTACTTCTACCCCTCATGTTTTCCGACGGAGAACGGGCGAATCAGAAGTGGAGTTTACCGACGGAGACTCGATACTAGATAGTGGGATGATCTGTTGCTTGAAGTATTAGTATTTCTGATAAGCTGAGAATATTTTAATACTGGCTGGCGTCTTACCGTAGACATTGAGTGCTCTTATTCCGAGTCAACTGGAGTATGTAGTGCTTGTCGTTGTCTAGATGGACAATCCATTCCCGTTGTGAGGAGCAGTGGGCAGTCAACCACCCCGATAAGCAAAGTCGTCCATGGAAGGCATCTGCCATAGGTCTGGAAACAGAAAGCTTTCCATCGAGGGAAAAGACATTGTCTCAGGGAGGAAACCAGGAACGTATCCATTCGCTTCCATTCCTTCAAGATTAACACCTGGTGCGGGCTGCTGCTCCTGCTGCGCGGCAGGCAACGGCGTCTCTATGCCGTCTTTCTGAATACTAGATGCTGCTTCGTGGGGGATGCGTCGCCAGGTATGTAGGAAGGAGCTGTCGCAGAGCTTGTCGACGACCGCCCCGCACTGGCCCAGACAGATGTCCGCGAGGTCCCAGTTATGGGTGTCTCTCGCGCGGCGCAGCAAGTCCACGAGCGTCTTTGCGCTGGCGACGCATTCCTGCGCCGTCTCGGCGTTGTCAGCTTCCAGTGCGCAGCGTAGGATCAGCGTGGCGGCCGAGGTGAAATGGTACGCCGTGTCTGGAGGTTAGCATAGATTAAACACAAAACAAGCCTGGAGATAGTTACATGGTAGCCAGAAGGCATCCATCTCATTACGGGTCAGCGAGACGACAAAGTCGATGACTGCTTGCGCTGCACGGCGGCACTGGGATTGATGGTAGGATCTTTCTTCTGTAACATCTGCCTCTGACCGGTGGAGTTCCTATAGCATGGAGAGGTGACCGTTAGCCAAAGCACAAAGAGGGCATTTCTAAGGAAAAGATGACTACCAGTAAAGCAATCCGACACAGACACATCTGTACCGCCAAATACGACAGCTGCAGACTCAACGCGCCGGCCGCCAAGCGGTCCTGCGCGAGACTGCCCGGCCGCAGCCAGTCCGGGAGGTCCTTCTTCCACTCGTCGAGGGCGGCCTCATGGCGGCGCAGCTCGCTGAACGAAGCATCCGGCGTGCTTTGAGGATGTAACGTGTAGATCATGGGCAGTACGTTGCCCAGGAGGACAGTCAGACGGCATAGAGCAATGAAAGACTGCCCGCCCTGCCGACGAGCCGTCGAGACGGGGGTTCCATCCGAAGAGGCGAGAAGCAGAGTATCTGCATCAGGGATGGGAACATCCCACTGCGAACGGTGGATATGAGGAGGGGTGCCGTGCGACAGACTTACCCTAGAGGCATGAGAACGCTGAAAACGCTGAATGCGTTGAATACGCTGAAGACCGATAGAAAAAAATGTATATACATACCACTGATCATGGATAAACACTGCCCACCAAGTCCGAATACGCAAGCTAGTCTGCCGGTGATCCAGCCCCCATCGCGACGGGTTCCGGTTCAGCCCTAGACTCTGCGACAGAGCAACGACACGGCCGGTGTTGACGGCGTTGTACTTGATGGAGGTGATGGGCCGGCCCGCGAGATCGAGCACGCAGGCGAGGACTGTGGAAAACGTAGGCGCCAGGAAGTCGTCGTTGAGCGCGCTGACGGCCAGATTCCACAGGTACCGCACGTCAGGGAGTGGACGTCGCGAAGCCGCAATGACCGGCGAGGCAGACCACCAGACCAGCGCACCCGCGTACACCTCGCAGCCCAGCGTGTGCGGCAGCATGTCCTGCGCGTAGGCTTCGCGTACCGTCTCCTCGTCCAGCACGGGGAAGGCCGGGTGCACGCGCTCCCAGTAGAGGGCGCTCAGCTCTGCGCCCAGCGGCTCGACGATCTTCTCCATCGTCTCGAATTGCCGGAAACCCGCCGTCCCGTTGCCAGACGGCACCACGTTGCGCTGCCGCGGCACCTTCATGTACACCACCGGGTTGCGGCTGTCGTCCGAGTACACGCTGTACGGGTTCGGGTGTGTCTCGTACTGGCCCAGCACCTGTGCGTCGCGAGCCATCGCAGGCCCAACAATGTGATCGGACTGGGTACCGTCATCTGCTCCTGCTGCTGCTGGTGCTGCTGGTTGATGACTCTCCCCAGCATCACTGCTCTTCCTCAGTCGTTTCCTCGCTGTCACCGGTCTGGACACAGTGGACATGCCTGTACGCGAACACTCCGCCCCATGCATCCGACACAGGAGACACGGCTGGTCAGCAACATCCTGCGTGCATCGACTCTTGCGTCTCCGGCAGAAATCGCACGCTGGGATCTTGTGCGACCGGTACGGGCGCGTCGTGCCTGGCAACGGCATGTCACTTTTCCGATCGCTTGCCGGGAAAGTAGCTGCTGTCCTGCGAATTATTAGCTTGATACTGATTATTCATTGAAGGGAAGTACCTGAGAAGAATCTCTTGATGGAAAGAAGGAGACCGTTCGCTTGTTGGTTGATTCTGACTCGCAACGAGGAAAGAGCAGGGGGTCATGTGATTGCTGCCTCAGGCAGAGATACTGCCTCAGGCGCGGTTTCATTCACTCAGTACTCGTCTTTTCTACTTTTTACTTTGTTATTGTTAGTAGAGAATAATTGTCCACATTATAAGCAATTGGAGGTTCACTTAGGATTAATAGTTATTATTACCTCTGGTTATTTGGCTAAGTGGATATTGTTGTCTTATATTTCTCTAAAATGTATATTTCCAAGCATCGTATTCTATTTACAATGCAGATATATTGATGCTAAACAAGCTTGCAGAAATCTAGGTCATATCTATCTATACATAATCATGGCAGCCACGAGTTGGCCTCGACAGACACCCCAGCCGTGGCGACGATATCGCGCACCGACTTGCCGACGGAGAGGGTATATTCGCCACCAGAGAGCTGCCAGCGGGCAGTCGTCTCGTCGAAATGAGCCAGCTGAGTCGTCGAGAAGCGCACGACGGCCGTCTTGGTCTCCCCCGGCTGGAGAGGAACCTTGGTGAAGCCCATGAGCTCCTTGACGGGCTGTTCGGTTTGCGTGACAGTGGAGCCAGCATATACCTGGACTGTCTCTGTGCCGGCTCGGGCGCCCGTGTTGGTGACCTCGACGGACACCTCGATGGCGCCGTCGTCGAGTTGGCGGGCCACGGCGGTATCCGACCAGGCGAACTCGGTGTAGGACAGCCCATAGCCAAAGGGGAAGAGCACCGTCGCGCGGGTGGTCTCGTTGCGGTCGTAGTGTCGGTATCCCATGAAGACGCCCTCTTCATAGGTGACGCGCAGCTGGCCGTCGATGACCTCACCAGGGAAGTTCCCGTACGCGGGGGCGTCCTCGAGCGCGTACGGGAAAGAGACAGGCAGCCGGCCAGACGGGTTGACGGCGCCCGTCAGCACGTCGGCGATGGCGTTTCCAGCCTCCTGGCCTGTGAACCAGGCTTGGACGACAGCCTGCACGTTGTCCAGCCAGGGCATCGCGACGGCAACGCCCGTGCTGTTGACGACAACGGTCTGGGCGTTCACCGCGCTGACGGCCTCGATGAGCCGGTCTAGAGACCCGTCAGACGGCAGGTGGAAGCTGTGCTGGTCCTGGCCCTCGGTTTCCCAGTCGGGTGTGTGGCCCGTGAAGACGATCGCCAAGTCGGCCTCGCGCGCGACCTGCACCGCCTCGGTGAGCAGGTCACGGTCGTGGTCTTCCTCGGTCATGAACCCGAACCGGAAGCCCAGGTAGCCGTCGAACAGGGCGAAGCCGCTATCTTCCGTTGGCCGTTCAGTGTGGATCTCGATCTTGTACGTCTGCCCAGCCTCGAACCGGAAGCGCGTCTCGGGCTCCTTGAACCCGCCCAGCATGAACGCCATGGCATCCGGGCAGTTGAAGTCCTGCTCGTACACTTCCTTGCCGTCAATGAACAGCTTCGACCGCCCCAGTCCGCTCATCGCCAGGTAGTGCGTTCCCGTCACGGTCGGCGTGAAGTGTGCCGTTGCCCGGCAGTCATCGTACGTCTCCTTGATGAAGACAGGTGTGTACGTTGACTCGGCGACGTTGGTCTCGGTCGGTGCAGTGCTGCCGGCCACTGTCAGCCGCAGAGTCCAACCAGGCTGGCCCTTCTCGTCAACCACGTTGTCCTTGAGCACGGGGAGCTGGCGGAAGGTGTGTGCTCCTGTTTTTGTTAGCATGTTGCGATAAGAAGAAGAAGAAGAAGAAGAAGAAGAAGAAGAAGAAAAGAAATACCTTTCGAGTAGACAAACTCCACCTCGTCACCCAAAGCAGCCTTCAAGCCCTCCTCGGGAGTGACGCGGTAGTGGGCGTTGACCGAGGCGCTGCCACCGCCGTGGATGAGGGCCTCGCGGGCAAACCCCAGCAGGGCGATCTTCTTTTTGGGCAGCTTCTCCGGACGGATAGGCAAGACCTGGTCCTTGTTCTTCAACAGGACGATTCCCTGCGAGCCCACGGCGCGGATCAGGGCCTGGTGGTCCGGGCGGTTGATGGCCTGCTCGTCTGGAATGGTCGGGTCGACGAAGCAGTTCAGACGCTTGAGGAAGTCGAGGACGTTCAGCGCACGCTGGTCAATCACCTCCTCGGCGAGCTGGCCGGAGCGCACGGCGTCCGCCACCTGGGCAACCGCCCGGGCGCGGGTCGGCCCCGGCATCTCGAGGTCCAGGCCGGCCTGCAGCGCCTCGATGGTGGAGTTGGTGCCACCCCAGTCGCTCATGACGAGGCCCTTCCAGCCCCAGTCGCCGCGCAGCACGCGCTGCAGCAGGTACTCGTTTGAGTCGGCGTGGTGGCCGTTGAGCAGGTTGTACGAGGTCATGATGGCCCACGGCTGGGCCTCCTTGACGGCGATCTCAAAGGGCTTGAGGTAGATCTCCCGCAGGGCGCGTTCCGGCACGGTCGCATCGACCGTGAAGCGCGAGGTCTCCTGCTCGTTGGCGGCAAAGTGTTTGATCGTCGCCGCGACTCCCTTCTCCTGCAGTCCTTGCACGTACTGGGCGGCCATCCTGCCTGCCAGCAGCGGATCCTCGGAGAACGACTCGAAGTTGCGACCTCCAAGTGGGTGTCGGTGTGGGCAGACGGTGGGAGCGAGCCTAGACGAGAGCTGTTAACAACGTCGCTTTCTTTTCCTGCTTCCTCCACCGGAAAAAAAGAAAACATACAGTGCCCGAGCGCCCTTACTGCGCGCCTCATCTGCCAACGCATTTCCAACAGCCTTGGCCGCATCGACATCCCAGGTGGCCGCCAGGAGAACCGACGCAGGGAAACAGGCAGCGGTCGGCCCGCCCTTAAAGGCAGCTCCTCTGGCGCCGTTGGGGCCGTCAGAGACCTTGACGGAAGGCACGCCCTTCTCGGGGATGGGAACGGTCTGCCAGAAATCGGCACCTGCCAGGAGAGAGATCTATTCTGTCAGCTCAGGAAGAGAGAAGAGCAGAGGCAAAGAGCGGAAGATACCTTCTCCTCCAAAGTCAAGCAAGCCAGAACGGCCGCAGTGTCGACGTCTTGAGGAATCCCAGCGTCGCCCATGATTGTGTATGCAAAATCCAACCGTGGCGAGATTTTCTTTCCAAAGAAACCATCCACCAGGGGGCTCTCCTCCTCTTCCTTTATACCATTGCCCCAACGCCCACCCTTCTTGCCCACTTCTTCTTGCCCCCCATCTTCGCAGGCACGCGGGGTTTACCCGAAACCACCCACCGATTGCCGGAGTTCTGCCAGGCGGTAGGCTGGATGGTCGGGCCGACCGTCGTCAGAGAGTGGGAAACGGCGTGGATTTGCAGCAGTCGGAGAGTCGCAGCTGGCAGCAGTGGAGTTGGGGCCGGTGAAGGGGCTCGAAGGAGGCAGGTTGGATGGCGGTCCAGAAGTTGCGGTGGGGAGGAGACCGGCTAAACTTCGGGAGTTGTCTGGTCATGTGAGGGAAGGAATCATAATATTCGCCTCAGGCAGAAACCCTAGGCAGATGTATGCCCTAGGAATCAGGCAGCACTTCCTGTACAACTTGAGATAGCTTGTCAACTTTGATGGCGGTGATGAGGGAGAAAAGGTTAATATAGTAGAGTCGATCATTGAATAAGAGAAGGCAGTGGAGGACTGATATACTATAGAGTAAATAGATTAAGCAGTCCTGCCCGAGCCACTAGAAACAACCAAGTGGACAGAAGGTAGAGATGCCGTGCTGGACGAGACACTGCCTAGACCATTCAGCTACTAATAGTATAGTTATTTAACCTTAGTTTCTGTGGTCAAAAGACATCAGATTTTATACAAGAGTCGCCTGATGCTAAAGACATGGCAGATGAAGGTTTTATATGCCTAGATAGGAGACCTAGTGATCATAGGGGAGTGATGATGAGGGCAATGTAGCATCAAGCTGGGCTTCGATGTCTTTAGTCGCTTGCATATTTTGGTCAGTTATGTTCCATTGAGAGGGATGTGTGATGGGTAGCAGTAGGGAGGGACTCGCCTGATATCTTAGCCAGGTACCTAGTTTACCACTTTACCTAGCTATTGATCTTTTCACAGCCAGATCGGCCCATCACTAAAAATCTGGAGGAGGTGCAACTAAGGGGTACTACTTAGAAGCATAGCATATACCTAGGTCAGGCCATAAGAACAATGGCTTTATATTCCATGAGATATCTTTTTAAGAGATATAATTCTAAATAATCCCTTAATTTCTAGATACTATAATAGTCCTGTATATATTAGGATGCTATTAATCAGCCATTTATTACCCTTAAATATAAGTAAAGCTTTAATAGGCATTTCTTTAAGATAGAAGGTGGTAGAGGTGGCCACCTAATAAATATTCATTTGCTTTAATATTTTCTTCTCCTTTTTAAATGAGAAACATGCTATATCATTAAGGCACTACTTTCTCTTATTCTTCCCCTCATATACACTGGTAGTTATGAGGTAGATACTTAACTTAAAATTCTTCTTTTTCATGTGTTACAAAGTTGGAGTATCACAACACCCCCTTTCCTTGAGATTCTTATCTTTTATAATATAATATAATGTTTTATTAACAATCTAGTTCACTGTAAGAGATAGCCTCTTGATCCTAAATTATGGCAAGCATCAAGAAGTGGTTTCGGAAGAGAGTGTCAGGGAAGAAAGACGAGCCATCCCCGCTCAGTCAACTGCCCCTTCTCCCGGCCCAAAGACCTCATTGTCTCACCCCATCGGCCTCATCTGAAGATCTGACCTCCTACTATCTCTTCAATTACGGAAGCTTTGGATGTCTTCCACCAGAGATACGCCGCGAGATCCTTATCTTGGCGTTTGGCGCGCGAACGATCCACGTCGATCTGTCATTCGGTTATCCTTTAATACGCGAGAACAAACTGAAGAGACCTGGGAACCATCTCGCTCCGCGCAGGACAGATAAGGACACACATTATGGTATCGGCTCGGACTTGGTCACCAACAATCTTATGCCTCGTCGCTGGCAGTGGCTCAGCTGTGTCTGCCATCGATCACCACCAACGCTGCCAGAAGGCTGCAAAGCCACCCCGCTACCCTATGATGACGAATGCCTCAGAGCCACCTCTTGCTCTTATACGTTGGAGGACGGAACCCGCAAGAAACGAGAGAATCTGGACAGCTGCTTCATAGGTGTACTTGGATGGCTTCTTGCGTGCCACATGGCGTTAGTTGTTACCTGTTGTTTTTTTTTTTTTTTTTTTTTTTTTTTTTTGGGTCCTCATTGCTTCTTTTCGAAAAATGAATACTAATAGGTACGGCATTGCAGATACACAGAGGGCATAGATGTTTTGTTCGCGACCAACACGTTCCACTTTTCCAGGCTAGAAATATTGGAGAACTTGCCGGGTCTATTTCTCCGCCAAAGACTTGCTAGAATTACCTCGCTTGAGATTAACTGGCACTCCCAAAAGTTGAATGACAGGACAGGCCATTATGTTTATTACTTGGTGTGGCCATGGCAGCAGATTCCAGTGGGCGAGCCATACACCCCATTTCATAATTTGTGTCGACTGATTCCCGACGTGTTTCCACACGCTCATCACCTCTACATCTCATTTCAAGACTTCCTCTTGGAGCCCAGGGGTGAAATCTTTGAGACCTTTGTGGTAGAGTCAATCACACTGCGCCCCATCGAAGAGATGGTACGAGTGCTGGGATCGGGGAGACAGGTCAAAGTCGCTCTCCCAAAAGAGGCCTTCGGTATCATGCTGACAAGGAATCGGGAATCTCACGGAAATGACCTGATCATCGAGACGGACAAGGATAATCGGCACCAAGTGCGGGTCTGGAAGGCGCTGGAGCCTACCGGTGATTTGGGTTACTGGATTGCCCCTGGATTGGATACGTTCTTTCCAAGGTATCAAGCTGACGAACATATCTTCAGATTGTAAGCCACAGTGTGAAACGTTTTATAGGTTGCAAAAATCTGCCTAGCATGCATGGCAGCCCTGACATGAAGGGGCTAGCCCCCCGGGATCACCAACACATCAAGGCTAAGTTTTGGCTTTATTTGATAGATGTGTGAATGCTAGAGAAGGCTCAGACCACTCGGCCATAAGAAAAGTGTTTAGAAAGCCATATATTATTCAAAATTGGTTGACATGATCCCCTGTCTTCTATTAATCATGAAGGTACCGGCGTGGGTGGACCAGTCGAGATAGTCCCTCTTGGGCCTGATATGCCAATACAGTACCAACTCTTCTGCCATAGCGATGTGCAGCTCTTCCCGACGCCTGGATTCCATGAATAGAAGTCCCTTTCATCATTCAGCTTCCACTTTCTCTTTTTTTTATTTTTGAATAAATGTAAGATGACTTACGAAAGTGAAATCCCTGCGTCGGTAGCAATATCCTGACAGTAAAGATCTGCCGAGTCATCACCCCGATACCAGAATCGAACACACCCATCTACCATGCCCGGCATGATGGGTGAGGGCGTTGTGACTGCACTTCCACTCGTTGTAGCTGTAGGGGGCTTGGAAGTCGTTGAGACGGCACCGGTGATGGTAGTATACGACTCGGATGTTGACGTGGAGATGGTTGTACTGACGCAGACGTAGTAGTCTGGCGTCAAACCGGTGCATTCATTCCCGGCGGCTGGATTCCAGTTGTAAAAGTCGATGGAAGAAACCCCCGATTTGGAGATGATGGAGCTGCAAGTGTCACTCGATGAGACCAGCCAGAACCTCGTGCAATTGCTTGCGATGCCGCTTTGTGTTGGCATTGAGCCCGGGCCAGTCGTGGTTGTTGGCAGAGGAGATGTCCGGGTTGTTGCTGTGCCAGGAACTCCCACGCAGTAGTATGTTCCCTGCTGGATGCGCTGGCATCTTGATCCGACGCTCGGATTCCACGATATGAAGTCTGCTTCAGATAATGTGCCGAAAATCAGAGCGATGGTCGCACAGTCGTCGTTGATCACGGTCTTGTACCACGAATTACATTGCGCAACAGTGTCAGTAGCCGTTGGGGAGGCACTTGCGGTGATAGTGGGCGGAAGGGGGAGATTGCTGGAGTCAAAGCTGGCCACACAGTAGTAGTAGCCCTCCAGGAGACCTTGACAGTTGTTCCCGAGAGCAGGGTTCCAGTCAAAGAATTGATCCTGGGTGATGTAGCTATACCGGTCTAAGACGATGCTACAGGTATCACCCTGCAGGGTTTAGCAGACTGCCTTGTACATCCCGAGTAAACATACCGCTTGAGCCTGGTAGAAGTTCTGGCAGCTGCTGGGAATGCCCAACTGCTGCGGACTGGCAGTGAAGTTGGCGATAATAGTGGTTATTGTCGGCGTGTAAAGAGTTGGCGAGGGAACGTTTGCATTGGTAGCACTCGTGGACCAGTAGAAGCTGATACCGGTCTGGGGCTGGACTCCCACACAGACATACCAGTTGTAATAGAGGCCACTGCAATCGTCGCCCAGGGTTGGGTTCCATTCATGACTGGAGAAAGAGATCAACTGTCAGGGGGCTTTTTCTTTTCACTAAGCATTTTGTCACTCACAGTTGATCTAAGCTTAGCCGGTTGCTGTACTGATTCACAATCCTTTCACAAGTATCACTAGCTCCAATCCAGTGCCAGAAATTGCAGTACCTTGGCTCACCCCCCAATGTATTGGTTGGAGGATAGGCCGTGGCTGTGACCGGCGCGGTGAGGTTGTACGGCGTCACAGAGTGACGGATGGAGTAAGGAGTAGTCGTGATACTAGAAGTGACAGTAGGTGAGGTTGTGTCTATGGTAGTTGATATAGTGGATGTTGATGTAGTTGATATTGATGTTGATGTAGTTGCAGCTGAATTGATCCCAACACAATAGGCATATCCAGCCCAGAAATTGGTCAAACAGTCAGTTGAAATTGAGGGATTCCATGCCAGAAAATCAGCGGCAGTGATACCAAACCGCTTCTCAACAGCTTCACAGTAGTCACCAGACACCACAGTGTAGAATTCAACACAGTTGGAAGCAATACCGGGGAGAGTTGGCCCCTTTGGCGAAGAGTCTTGAGCTACTGCTCTTAAAGCCAGGAGAAGAATAATAGCTATAATGTGAAAGGCCATTCTCTCTATCTCATATGAATAAGGGATGGAAAGAATGCTGACTGTAGATGAACCGACGGCCTAAATATTGGCCTCATTGTAGAGAGGACTATAGTCCGCCCTCACACAAGGGTACACACAGAATGACATGGTATCTGAATGAGAGAATATTCCTCAACTCTCAGCAGCTCCTCTCTGTCCGACTAGCAACCCTTCTTATATCATATAAAATAAGTTTGACCTAGAGCATTTCATATCCTTGCTGATTTCTATCTTTGTGGACTTAATCATAAGGTGAACTCTGCTCATCTTATTATCTTTTACCCATATGACCATCAAGTCGATTTCAATGCAATCACTCTATCTATTTCTCGCTCTCGTCTGGGCTTGTGATGTTCTGGCTGGGAGCCGTGTTTGGCAACCAGCAAGCTCCCAAGCATTAGATCGCCGCTTCTTCTATATCCAGGACAAATCAAGCCAATCTCTACTTACGCTGGACGATCGAGAGGTCTGGCCAGGGAGGGAAATCCGCTACTGCTGGGATCCCTCTGATCCAAGGGGAACCAAACGGCAGCTCAAGAAAAACCTCAAGGCAGCGCACAACCGGTGGATAACCAAAGGTCTTTCAAGTGATTTTAGGCTTACTGAAGCCACCAGCGAAGTCTGTCAGGATTCGGATGCGCGTCACGATCTTCTCTTTATTTCGCTCGTCCGCCAGAATGAGGGCATGGCAACCTCTGTTGGGCGTCCTGCGATGAAATTACCATTGACTGTAGAAACTTCTCGCTGTGATCCCAAAATGCTTCTCTTTAGAGGTGAGGAAACTGGAAACATAGGCGTGCGAGATATGGTGGCGAACTATGCACACGAGCTGGGCCATGCCTGGGGTCTCTATCATGAACACCAGAACCCGGCGTTTTGGAGTGGCACACTACTCGCTCAGGGAGGCAGTGTTTTCGGCCCGGGAAATAACGGGAATTGGCGATGCGAGAACCTGAAGGACTACAACAGCTTTAGAGACCGCATTGTACCGGCCTCGGATGGCGTGGGAGAGATGAACATCGACAACTTCTGTTCCTCATACACGGCGGCGCTAAAGGTAGGATTCAGTGCCGCGGACTACCTGCCCATGGATCAAAGTGCAGGAACTGCACATTCAACACAAGGTGGTCCTGGAGATGTTGACTGGGCGTCAGTTATGATTTGTAGGTTTATCCTCTCTATGTCATGTCATGGTGTGGATTAATAATTGACATCAATAATTCATTATATAGACTAATAATTCACATCAATAGATCCATCTGGAGCTGGGGGTGTGGTGGATAATAATCTGCCAGGCGACGATAAACGGAGTCCCATCCTGCTGAAGCCTGACGGGACCCGGATCCCTGAGAATCGATGGCCAAGCCAGATGGATATTACAGGGCTGCACCAGCTGTATGGACAGGTGCCGGCAGCCAAGAAGAGTATTCTCCAAAAGGTTGGAGGTGCAACGACCCGCGCCTTTAATAAAGTATATGATTTAAGTAAGGGCAGAAGGCAAGGGGAAGCGGGATGTCTCTAATGATATCTTTAAGGGTGGAGTGATTCAATTCATGAGCTTAAAGATAGAGTCTAAGTTGCACTTATATTGCCAATAGGCCCAAAACATGGAAACGTATCCGGTAAATCATCAAAAGCTAGATGCCTTGAAGAGCCAGCCTCGGCCAAAGACTTGATCAGAGTGCCATCATCCAGATCAATTGCCCACACCATCAGACCTCCCAGACAGCGCTTGTTGGCGTACTGCAATTTCATCGTCAGCGTCTTTGTGTCATCCCAGGACACCCACTGATCTTGATCCCAGGTGACAATCTGCACCGCTGCCACAGGGTCCAGCGTCACCTTTGCCCCATCGGCGATGATCTTGGTGATCTCCGCGGCTGAGAGTATCCCAGGTATTCCTGTGCATGTCCCTGCGTGACCACCTGACTTGAATGGGCATCCGGCGGCCATACAGTTTGGATCAGACATGGTGAAGCTGCGGCCGTAGAAGCCGAGCCCAAGGTTCACACGGGCTGGGTTGATGTTGTTGCGCCAGAGGAGCTCGAGGGCCTCGTTTATCTCCGTCAGGTTCGTGTGTGCGTGGGCTGAGGGTCCTAAAGACTTGATTGTGGAGTCCCAGACCCCATCTAGGAGAGTTAGAGGGTGAGAATGGAGAGTAAGTTACAAAAAGAAAGCCTTACGAATATCATAAGTCATGACATTATACCAATCCACATGCGGCTCCAGGTTGATGATGTCGAAGCCTCGCAGATACCAGTAGGACGCTGGGAGAGTCACCGACAGGCCCATCGGCCGACCCATGTTGTTGAGACGGGCACGGAGACGCGAGAGAAGAAGCACATAATTCTCAAAGTCGGCTGGGATTCCGCCCCGGTCGTCCGCCACAGGGTATTCCCAGTCAATATCCACCCCGTCAAAGTCGTTGAGCTCGAGGAAGGTGACCAGCGACTCAAAGAAGGTATCTTGGGCCAACGGGGATGCTGCCAGGCGGGAGAAGACTGTGCGGAATTTGCCCGGGTCGTTCATGGCCCAACCGCCAACAGCCAGCCAGACTTGAAGGCCCGGTTGGCGCCTCTTGAGCCCCGAGACAGCCTGGTACAGGAGGCCCGTGGTGTCGTCCATCGACGTTAGACGGTAGGTTGACGGATCAATCAGGGAAAAGGCGAAGTTGATGTGGGTGTAGTAGCCCAGCGGGATCTGCTGGGGCGTCATTTTTCCACACGATCGCTGCCAGTTCCAGCCTTCGTAGTAGCCAACGGTGCGCTGGTTGGAGCTGTTGGTGGAGATATCGCACTGTGGTGAGGAAACGACGAGCCCACCGCAGAAATCCGATGTGGTGCCGCAAAAGCCGTACCGACTGCAGCAGACGTTTAAAGGGCATGTGGATGCCTTGGACCATTGGATGCCCCAGCCTGGATCGCATTCGCTCTTCTGATCGCAGCTTGATGTGCAGCCTGGGCCACAGAACTCGGGGCCCAGACCACAGATTCCATTGCCCATGTTATCCCTATCATGAAGCTGTTCATATATCAATTAGGCAATTTTAATGGGGAAAAGCACTTACAATAAACCACAGCATCCAAGTAGGCACTTTTTTATTTTGGAACAGGTGTAGTCACCACCATCACTGCCTGATTGCAGTGCCGATTCTCCCACGCTTTGCGATGCCTGAACGGCGAATCCGTCTCTCTCTGCCCTCACACGGCTTACCAAGAACCATATCAATAGAAATTTCAGAAGATAAGGCATATTTATAGCGACAAACTTAAGAAAGATGGTTTGATCATTCTCTCCACTGATGCCAAAATTCAAGGCCGCTGGAGAGACATTCTCCGCCGAGTTTCTGGATTATCAGAATTTACGAGGTAACACCATCGGTATATTCCCTTGAGACAGCACCAGGATACATGCCCATGGTGATAAATCAATTGACATAAGCTATCTCACAAGCCATGTCACAAGTCATATTACAGTCATACCACAGCCATATCACAAGCTACAGCATAAAGTAGGTGATAGATAGGCATACAGCAGGGAAGGCAGGAGGAAAGTAAGGCCCATGCCACTATACCCGCCCAGCCAAGAGGCCTCTTAATAGTTAAAAAGGTCAAGAGCGAAGGTGTTCCACACCAGTAAGATGCTGCAGCACCAAGTTCAATACAATCAGCCTATAATAAATCAATTAGGTGATCAAATCCACAATGAAGACATTCATTCTACTCCTTCTACCCCCTGTTTGGGCCACTTCCCCTCCAGATCCCACAGACTTTAGTTGGGTGAAGCGCTGGGCGGCAGTGGGCGACAGCTTCACAGCTGGCATCGGGTCTGGGGTCCCCCTGGGCAATTTCTTTAACAACGCCCCCTCCTCTAACTGGTACTGTTCGCGATACGATACGGCGTACCCTATGATCATGAACGATGCGTTTGGTGCCTCAGTAGAAGACTTTCAATATCTTGCCTGCAGCGGGGACCGAACCGGAGGCATTTATAACCAGATCAAGGCGCTCGAAGAAGGCTTGGACCTGGTAGTCTTCACAGCAGGAGGAAACGATCTCTGCCTGGTGAGGACTTAATGTTAGTGGAAAGAAACATCATCCGCTCACAGGACCCAGTCATCTATGATTAAAGAGTGCGTGTTTCTGCCATTCGACGGAGAGGCTGCCTGCACCAAGGTCATCAATATCGCCCAGAACAACCTCAACACCATCCTCAAGCCCAATCTACAACAGCTTCTCGATGCCCTTGACAAAAAGATGAACAAGGGCAGTGTTGTTATTATCGTCGGCTACGCACAGTTCTTCAACACGCAAGATGAAGCCTGCTCCACCGATCAAGACTGGACATTGATCAACTTCTGGGGCCAAGAGGGATTACCCCTAACGATATCACGGCGCAAAACCTTCAACGATCTCGTCGTGCAGATCAACAACGTGCTCGAGGGTGTAGTGGATGAGGCAAATCTCAAGGGCACCTATAATTCCCGCATCGGCTTTGCCAATTGGGACCCCTGGCCACAGGTGGGTGTACAGGGCCAGTTCTGCGATCCGTCCTCCTCTGGCCAGTATCCAGACCCTGAGCAGCCGGATTTGCAATTTTTCAAATTTTCCACCGATTACGAGAATGTTGACCACGATGAACTGGACGAAGTAGGCCCATCCAACGACAGTCTCACGCAGTGGCAACGGTATAGCCGCTCATTAGACGAGACGATACAAGCAAAGGCTGAGCATGAAATGACATTGCCCATCTACAAGAGCAAAGCCTGGCAGCCCAAAGGCAACGCAAAGTTTCCCTCCCGGGCCTATTGCCCGGGAGATGCGGACGTCGACGTCCAACCCCCGAGCATTGGGCTTCCCGACTTTATTGGGAAGAACTTCCACCCAAATGAGCAGGGCCACTACACGATTGCATCGTTTGCGCTGCAGACCATCATCGATGTGCGCGCACAGGTTCTAGGCGAGGTGGCCCCTGAATGTGAACCCACCGACAAGTTCACCTGCTGGGGAAACGCCACGCAGGCGTACGTCTCTGAGAAGCGACTGAATGCCAACTATGAGGACTTTTGCCGCGGTGTCGCTCGGCCGACGGGGCAGAGTGGTTGGTCCTACTCAAAGACGTATGACCATGGCACCCCTGATGAGGTGCAGTTTCTTATCTCCCTAAACATCACTAGCACCAACTACGACCAGAACGAGTGTATCGAGAGTATGGAACGCATTATCAACGGATGCGATGGCAACGACCCGAACAATCCCATGGACTGGAAGTTTGGTGGGCAATGGATCCGCGGTGATTATACGTACCAGGTCAATCCGATCAACACCCAGCGGGCCTGGCCCATCCCGCAGTCCGCCACAGGAACGTGTGAGGGATGGTATCATCTCCTCTTCACCTCGTATGAGATTCAGGGGGCAGGCTGGGCGAGCTACAACTACGGTCAGGACTCACTGCTCTCCAGCGCCAGGAGCTGTGTGGGCAGTGGCGGGATCACGAACTGGAAGTTTGACTACTACGACAAGCCGACCAAGGACGGGTATGAGTGGAAAGCGACCTTCAACACACCTATCTGGGTGCGGCGAAGATGCTTCGATAATAACAAAGTCCAACTTGGTGCAGGTGGCTTTACAAACGGCTGTGCTGGGAATGATTGATTCAAGGGGTATATTATATCTTGCTCTGGTCATACTTTTACGACTGGGAATGGCATCCATACATCCATATAAGAAAACATTTCTACATTGTTGAAATTGAAGAAAATCCTCATATATCATTAAAAAGATAATAGCCAGAAATAACTATATCATCTAAGAACGCATCACTGTCCTCCTCTGGAACGGACTTTACATCGCTTCGATCCAGCATTCTAGACTATCAGTGGGTTGATCCCGGTATATCACTTCGCCAAAACTAACTGGAATCAAAAGATACGAGAATGGCCGCCGTTACCAGAACTACCGCAAGGGCGAATACCTGTTTGTGGGTGTGGCAAAGCCCCTACATTGACTCTCCACTGACGGTCTAGCCCAACGACGATGATGAACAGGACCGCATGGATTTCCTTCACCATATCTACAACATGATTCTGGGCGGAGAACTGCACCTCGCGCCCATTGTCGATGCCCAGCGTGTCCTGGATATTGGTACAGGAACGGGAATCTGGGCAATGGACTTTGCAGAGTATACCATTTATTCCTTTAGTTTGAGCCTCATAAATAATGCTCATGGTTCATCTAGTCAATATCCCACCGCAGAAGTGATTGGAAATGACCTAAGTCCCATACAGCCAGGATGGTAAGACATATTGATATCTTCATAGAATAATACTGAGTTGCACCATAGGGTGCCCACCAACTGTACCTTTGAAGTCGATGATTTCGAGTCGGAATGGCTATATTCCCGCCCCTTCGACTATATCCACGGCCGCGAGTTAACGGGCACTATCCGGGACATCAACACACTGGTCAAGCGGGCATTCGAGCATTTGAAACCTGGCGGATACCTGGAGCTTCAGTCGTTCACCTTCAAGGTATTTACAGATGACGACTCTCTCGCTCAACGGGCGCCGTTCACCACCCAAATGTGTGACCTGGTAGAAGAGGCGGGAGCCAAATTCGGCAAGGCGATGCAGAATATCGACACATGGGACGAGGCGTTCAAGAGAGCGGGGTTCACAGACATCATGGTCAAGGTCATCAAGGTTCCCATGAGCCCGTGGCCCAAGGATGAGAAACAGAAGAGGATCGGGCGCTACATGCAATCGGCTTATAGCCAGGCTCTAGGATCTCATCTCCCTGGTATTCTGGGCACTGTGTTAGGATGGTCAAACGAAGAAGTGCAGGTGATGGCAGCCAAAGTGAGGACTGAGCTGGCGGATCTCACAGTGCATCAATACTCTAAAGTATACATCATTTATGGCAAGAAATAGACATGAGACTCTACAGACAAAGGTGGGTGAGTATTGAATTCTTCTTGATATGCCTCTTTAAGTGACGGGTCAGAATTAGATAATGGATATATATCATCATATATAGATACACTAATTGACTAGATTTGCCCGTTGGCACCATCAAACTGCCTTGCCAGTTGCCTAACCCAGGCGTCGAAAAACCCGCAAACGAATGCCCGCCGAGGCATGGGTTCCACAGCTGCTTCTAGACAAGGGGCTTTAGCCATTCAGAATGATACTATCAGCCAAGAAGAGGATCGAGTACGTTTCAGGGCTAGCAAAATTCCTGCCGATTCTTCTTGAATCATAGTGAGAATTGAAGTCGAGCGCTGATTATCGTCTCTGAAAAGGTTTAAGGAAAGATCGCCGTTTCGTGCCTGCGACAAGCTTTGAGTCCAAATCAATTTGATCAGGAAAATGAGTGCGCATGGGTAGGGCAAGGGGAGTATTGCTCTTGTTTTCTTTTAAAGTCATCTTCATCCAGTAGGAAAAGCCCATGGGGCAGGTATTGCCTCCAAACCCTTTGGTTGGCACGATCATAGTCAGGAAAGATCTCCCTCAGTCGATCTGCTGCTTTTTCTATGAAGAATGAAAACCTTTCTTCCTTTTTCATCCAGTTTCGAGTTGCCAGATGCACTAGACGGTGGAGAGATATTGAGAGTCATTTTCAGGTTAAGTGATGATAAAAGAGTAGGCACTTAGAAGTCCAAGCGCCTCCATCATCTTCTTTTTCGACGCTGCGTGTGGAAGAAAGGATTCTGGGATATTGCGTGGATCAACACAAGCCATAAGTAATAGATAGTAGGAAGCAAGCTGATCAAGCTTCTGAATCTAATCAAATAAGATTAGCCACATTATGGCTACTAGGTTCTGGATGTCCTTATAGTGTCCATCATCACTAAACTCCTTACTCAGAAGCTCCACAATATCTGCCTCCTGTTCTTGCAGAAGCCTCAGGTAACTAGACACCCATATCCTATTCATATTAATATATACAGCAGCTTAGGTAACAGCCAAAGGAAGAAAACTAAGCTGTTCCAGAAAGGTTTCCACATTGGCAGTATAAAGCAGGGCTTTTAGAAGTAAACACTTTTTTAAAAGTTCCAACCCAGTATCCTTGTCAGGAATTTATATCACATCAGCGGATGTTAATACCACGGCCGCTTCCCAATTATGAGTGGTGAGAAGAATATGCCCTTTGTCTTTCTAAGGAAGAAAGTCCTTTAGCGGCGGGGCAGTACTGCTGCCCTTGGTCCACATGTCTATATCATCTGCATTGTCGAAGATTAGAGGAAAGGTCATTGTATAACTACAGTGGGGCGCGCCAAGAAATTGATATTTCTGTATAACAGAGAGTAATAACTAATTATTTATTAGATTATATTTAAAATTGAATTTCACTTAAAAAGTATAGGTATTTAAATATTAAGATGCCCTGCCCCGTTGCCAAGGCGTTCCCAATTAGGTTAGAGGGGCGCCGCACTAATTTCAGAGGCCACCTGACCTGTATACTCTTACTCCGTAATTAGAGCTGCCCACATCATATATTGTTAGAGGTGTCTGCCTAGTTAGGCTTAGCGCCATCCTGCTTGCCTTTTCTCTCTCGCCTACGCGCATCCTAGATAGCTTCACCATCATCTGTTTGAGATCGATCTACACATATCTCTTCCGCTTTCTCCAGGCCATCCGTTGCCTGACATATATTAGGTAAGCACTTTCAATTGGTTAGTCAGCTTGGTTACCTGGGGTATTGTGCAGGCAGGCAGGCGAGGGACTAAGCCTAATCAGGCGAGCTCTCACTTGAACATTCACTCTCTCTTTCACTCTCACTTCTTTAGTGTCCTTTCCAGCCTCCTTTACAGTCTCTTTTTCAATATATTTTGTAGTCTCCTTCGTAGTTTCCTTCGCAGTCTCTTCCTTCCCACATTTTTCTCCTCTAACTTCATTACAACCCTTCTGTCCTGATCTCTGCACTTTTTTCTTTGTACGCTCGAAACATCTTGTCTTCAAAAGCCTAACTCTACAATCAAAACCTCGGTCTTCTTGGACCTTTACTCGCTATCCAAGACGCCCTGTGAGGATTATGGACTCCGCCGCCAGCTCTCCTACCGGTCTGAACGCCGAGTTTGAAGACAGAGAGCGTCATGACCTCATTGAAATCCTCGCCCGAACAATGAGCGATGCAGGCCTTCCCTTTACCCAGGTCACCTGGGCTACCTTTTGGCTGGCTGACCTCCAGAGTTTGCGTGACATTGTCAGTACGCCGCCTAGTATCATGAGGAACATCTGCACCTCGGCCGGCACGGTATATGATCAGATCGTCAAGCCGTGTAGGTGTCCATAACTTCTATCTCCCACAGCCGTAGGCAAATAACGTACAGGGAACACACGAGTTAGGTCCAAGGCCACTGTTCCGTCCACCCCCGCCTCAGCCACGACGACACCCCTGGTCGCCCAGCCGATGCCCGAACCATCTCCGGAAGCACAACCTTCCACCCCTAAGAGACGTCGAATCATGCCAGAGACCTCGCCTTCCACGTCGAGCCCCTTGAGACTCAATACCACGGTTGCTATGGCATACAGCTCACCTGCCCCCAAGTCCCCACGCTCTAGGGAGGCAAAAGATCAGGTAAAGATCCATGATCCAGACTTGAAACCAGGACTAATCCCTTTGATTTGAAACAGTCCAAGGCGAGAGACAACGGACGATGCATCGTGACAAAGGCAGGACACGTCGTGGAAGTGGCGCATATCTATCCGTACTCCCTTCAGGGGCAGCAGGTCAGGTCAGCACACTTCTGGGTGCTCTTGAGCACCTTCTGGGCGAGCGAGAGGATCAAACGCTGGGAAAAAGACATTCTTGGCCCGCAGGGCACCGAGAGCCCTGTGAATCTAGTCACTCTGGCCCCGCACACTCATGCCTACTGGGGCAATGCTCTCTTTGCGTTGAAGCCGGTGGAAAAGAGCGACGATGGCACGAAGATGGAAGTTCAGTTCTTTTGGCTGCGCCCCGTCTCTTCTGCGGGCCCTGACATTCTTCTCGCCCCCCCCTCCATTCCGGAAGATTTGGATTCCTCCGTTGAAAACGTCAAACTGCTCGATTGCCAGGTGGACAAGAAGCTTTGCTCGGGAGACTGGATCGTCCTCACCACAGATGATCCCGTCAACCGTCCGCTCCCCAGCTTCAATCTTCTGGAGATGCAGTGGGTGCTTCACCGGCTCACTGCCCTCTGTGGCGGCGGCGACATCCCATCCCCCCCAAGCTCCGATGACGAGGACGGCGAGGCAGAAGAAGAAGTCTGGCTCGAATACTGTGATGCGGATAGTAGGTATAGTTAGTAGTATAAGACTATGACATGGTGAAAAGGCCACAGTTTTTATGATAATTACCACGCACGTCCCATGTCATTTCCACCACCACCTAGAGTTACTCCGTACAGTAAGGGTCCAAAGGGATTCAACTCCCTGTCAATTGCCTCGGGCATTTTTACTCCGTACGAAACTCAATCCGGCGACTATGCCGTTTGCGGGTAGATCCCGCTGTGGGTCTATGAGGGGTTTGATCTTATCCCAGGCGAGTGTTCATAGCTGCTGTGCATAAGTACTGCATACACAAAGTGTCTGAGCTAGGTATCATGGTCTGTGAATGATGGATTCTACAGGGATTTAATAAGATAGTGGTAGAGAATAAATTTAAATCAAATTCACACCCATCGAGGCTATAAACAAAAGTCATGACGTCATCATGAGTCTCCGGAACGAATCCGTCTAGGCAGTGTCGGCCACGTTGTAGACCAGCTTCTGGCCGCTGACTTTGTCCGTCTTGAGGAGCTCCAGACCCTCGAGCACACCCTGCAGGCCGCCCGGGTTGACCTGCGGCGGGTGGGGCTTGATCTTGCCGTCCTTGAGGAACTGCTCGGCGATGGCCCACCACTTCTCGCCAAAGGCCCTGTTGGCGGGGATGGCGGGGATGGGCTTGTCGCCGAACGTGAAGGCCTCCCCGATGACGGTGTAGCCGAGGGTGCCCCGGGAGTTGACGTTGGCACGGTCGACCTTGGCCATAAGCAGGTTGGTGTAGTCGCCGCCGGCGGTGGAGATGGCCTGCTCGCAGAACTTGGCGCTGGCGTCGAGCGAGATGGTGTCGAAGACCAGCTTGAGCTGGTTGTTGGTGTACTCGCGGATGGCGGCGGCGGCGTTGGGGTCGCGGTAGTCGAAGACGGCGTCGGCGCCCAGCGACTTCATCAGGTCAAAGTTGTGAGGGGAGCAGGTGGTCAGCACCTTGTAGCCGGACAGCTTGGCGAACTGGATGGCCAGGGAGCCGGTGGCCGTGGAGCCGCCGTAGATGAGCAGGGGCTCGGCGGTGGTGATGGGCTCGGTGGGCAGCGCCATCTGCAGGCTCTGGTACAGGGCCTGCCCCACGGTGGTGATCCCGACGCCCAGCGTCGCGGCCTCCTGGAAGCTCAGGTTGTCCGGGATGTGCATCTGCAGGTCTCCCTTGGCGACGATGTATTCCGCAAACGCGCCGTCCTCGGTTTGCACGGCGTTGCCGCCGTGCACGAAGCCGCTCACCCGGTCGCCCTTCTTGAATGGCTTCGTCACATCCTTGCCCACGGCCTCGACCACGCCGGCGTAGTCGCAGCCCACCAGCACGCCCGGCGGCGCCAGGTACTCAACGTGCTTCCAGTCGGTCGGGTTCAGGGCCACGGCGACCGTCTTAACCAGGATGTAGTCGTCACGGAGGGCGGGAAGGGGGCGGTCGGTGACCACCTCGGCCTTCTTGGGAGAAGTCACGACAACAGCTTTCTGAGTAGCCATTTTTAGTAGTAGTAGTAGTAGTAGTAGTAGTGAAGTTGCGGTAGGAGCTGTAGTAGTAGTAGGAGGAGGGAGTGAAGGAGGGGAGCAAAGGTATTTATTTCAAGAAAGGTCAATAATGCAAAGCCAGAGAAGAGGGGCACTGGCCGAGGTACGTCACTAGGGAAGAGCTAAAGCCGAAGAATGCCAATGGAACCCCTCGCTGAAACCATTGATGGAGTTGGTGGAGTCACCGGAGGAATGTTCGAGTATCCCATCGGAGACTTAAGTTTTGAAGCTTAATTTGGTAGATTCATAAGCAGTGGGGTGTTTTTCTTCACCCTCAAAAAGGAATCCCCAGATGGTTCTCGAACACTCGAAGGATCAATAAGCACCTGACGGCAGAAAATTCATGTCGGGTTCATAATATTTGAGTTAATGTACAATAATACTGCCTCCCCTTATCACTAAAATACCTCCACAACGGTCTTTGCTCTGCATTTGGACTAGCATCTTCACATAGGCCACTTGACCACTAGTTAAAAATTGGAAGAGGTTATGCTGGTTGCAGGATCAACAAAGATCTTCTACCGTCGGGGTCACTTTAGGCCGAGCATTGAATTCTTCCGTTGTTCTAGTAAGCCGAGTAGTGGCACAATGCTAGATAAAGTACACTTGCAGAATAGATTCCATCAATTTTATAGAATAATTTTGAGGATGATGTGAGGGATACTGGTATTGAAGGATAGGAGGACAGGGATTGGAACTCTTTTTATAGAAATATTTTTCAGGCACTAGTACTTGTAAGGAGAGGCGGATATGATATCTAATTCACAAGATATATGAATAGAATAGCAATGGGCAATGACATCGATGTACAATGTCTATGTTGTATGACATTGTCTACTACTCCATCTCTGACTAACCACATCATACTCTGCAACACTTCTTTCGCTGGCTATCAGAAATATCTTCTCAGTGGGATCTCTCTCGCGCAGGACTTTGATATCGCCTATCCTATGCGAGGCAGGTAGACAACGCTCATGTGGTTGATGGTAGAAATCTTGTTCCTCAAGTTCAACAATTTTGCGTGAAACCAGAGCAGTCGTTTTTGGATCCCAAATCCCCTCTTGGTGAGAGACAGAGTCGAGGATTCCCAGAGCTTGATGTCTGATAACATGGACTCGGCATTTCACGGCCACATAGTACAGTGGTACAAGATAGCCCAGATCCATAATGGATCGACCTTTCTGTGGACCTGGTGATAGGGCATCTGGGTTGGCCTTGCCGATGTCGTCTAGCCGCTGCAGTTCATCCATCAATTGAGCGAATCGATGGTTTTGAGAGTCGAATGCCATCTCGTCGGAACATAGACACAATTCAGCCATAATGGTCGCCATGGTATGGTGTGCCATCAGGAGAGTGGGTGCAACCTCATCCACTTCAGATGATATACCATGGAAGATGGCTGAGGCTTCATATACGGTCTGCCATCGTCGGAGCCTTCTTAGGATTGTTTGTCGTGCAATAAGCGTCTGGCCTGAGGATCCGACTGGCTTACTTCTCAACCGCAGCGTGTTGTTTGTCAGACTGTCCAACGATTTCCATGCATCCTTCCGAGAGCGAAAGCGGCGTGGAATATCAAAAGAATGACGGGGAGAGGAAGTACTCAAAGAATTCAAGAGCCTGACTTGAATCTCTAGCCGTGAGAAGACTTCCATGATCCAGTCATCCGCCAACGAGTCTTGTTTATATTTTTGTGCTTCGATTATTTTCAGTCCGTTCTGAATGTGCGTCTGAGCAGCCACGAAATTGCCCCGGAGACATTCCAAGGTCACAAACGCAATGCAGGCGATGAGGATCACCTGGATGGAGAACGTGTCGTTCGCAGCGAAATGGCCATTCAGATGACTGATGGCCATGTTGTAGTGGCGTAAGACGAAACGGTCCATCCGCGCCTCACCATCAACAACTGTCTTATGAACTGCGCTTAAGGCTAGACTGGCATGCAATATGGCCGGTTCATGGCGACTTGCCTGTAACAGAAGCCGAGACCAGAACTCAGACCGGAAGGAGCCGGGGAGTTTGGTCACAGTGCGCATCTGGAGCCAGTCGAGGCATTGTTTCTCCACTGTGCTGATCGCAAGACAGGGAGCACTCATTGACTGTGGAAGATCTCCTCCCCAGACCGCGTACCCATCACAGGCACGGCCTGTTGAGACGCACCGGTGACAGGCTGGATAGCCCTCGTCACACTTGACTTTACGAATCCTATGCCGATCAGATTCAGTACTGCTATTGATGATTATATTCCAACTCACTTGCAAGTGCGACAGCCAGTCTTCGAATACATCGTGTCCTGTCTGAAGTATGAAGTATCTGAACAGGTTGAAGCAGCTGATGTTGAGGTGATGAGATGCGGGGTTGCTTTTGATTTGTCCTCTCGGGATTTCAAGAATCCTTGTGGATCTCAGTCCAATTAAGGTAGCACTCACTGCCTAAAGACTTGAAAGACATATCTGAATGAATGGGTGAGACACGGGCTATGCAGATGATGCTTATTGGTATGCTCGGAAACTGCTCTTTTGATCCATATGAGTCAGGACACAGGCTGTGTAAATGATGATCATTGGTATGCTCGGGAATTGCTGTTTGGATCTACATAGGTCAGAGATATATACCTTGAATATGATCTCAACATAAAAGCCTGCATCTGCCACGCTACACTGATTCATCAAAATTGATATTTCTATCAAACACTCTTCTGCCAGATTTCAGTTGAATACTTATCATAATGACCATCACTCTGCGTCCCCTAGGCAAGAACGGCCCTTTGGTCCCCGCCATCGGCTTTGGTCTGATGATGATGACCGACACCAAGTATGGAGCCGTGCCTGAAAAGGATGCACGGCTTGCCCTCTTGGATCGTGCTGTCGAGATAGGAGCTACCTTCTGGGACACTTCTGAGTGGGTAAACCCTAAACCCTAAGAAACCCTTGCTAGGATTGATGTCTCGTTCATAGCCTCTATGGTGATAACGAAGAGCTTCTGGCTCAGTGGTTCAAGAGGAGCGGAAAACGCGATCAGATCTTCCTTGCATCCAAGTTCGGCTACGTGAGAGGCAGCAAGACCATGGAAATTGATACCTCCTATGAGGCGTGCAAGAATGCTTGCAACATGACCCTGGATACCATGGAAATTGACCACCTTGACTTGTGTAAGTTGCATATTCCCTGCATCAGAATATCTCAACTCACAGATAGACTACGTGCACAATGTCGACACGGTCACTCCCATTGAACAGACAATGCGAGCCCTCGTGGAGCTGCAGACGTAAGTGTCTGTCGATACACAGCCAGAGCCGAGCTTACCAAGGTACTATACTAGCGAAGGCAAGATCAAGCACATTGGATTGTCCATGGTATCATCCAATACGCTCCGCCGGGCCGTCAAGGTCGCTCCTGTCGCCGCATACCAGCCCGAGTATTCCCTGTTCGATAGGGCCATCGAGGGCCCTGCTGGAACCGATGTTCTGGCGACCTGTCGTGAACTCGGCATTGCGGTTGTCTGCGCGACGCCCTTGGGTAGAGGCATCCTCACCTCCACCTTCAGCCAGGGCGGCGCGATCGGCGACAACACAGATCTGCGCGGAAAGATGCTGCCTCGGTTTCAGGATGGTGCAAGGGAGCATAACGCAAACCTAGCAGGCAAGATTAAGACCATCGCCGACAGGAAAGGCTGTAGTTTATCCCAATTGGCCCTCGCCTGGCTTCTAAAACAGGGGGATGATATCTTCCCCATCCCAGGCACCAGACGAGTCAAGTACTTGGAAGAGAATATGGGTGCCCTTGGCGTCTCCCTTTCTGACGAAGAAGAAGCAGAGATGAGGGCTATTGTGGACCAGGGCCATGTTTCAGGTGGAAGTGTTCCTGATGCTTTTGCTGCCTATATTTTCCGTGACACGAAGAGTGAGTGAAATGGAGCATCACTGTGTTTAACATTGACAACGCCAACCCTTGTATCTTTTACTACTATTCGCATAGTAATGGTTTATATACTCTTCAAGTCCTACTGAGTATTAGTAAATGCTATCTACTTTACTGCTTCCTCCACACTCTCCTCCACTACTAAATTTAATCAAGAAAAGTGGCATTGATTGAGCATACACCATGTTATCCATTAAGCCGATTTAATAATTATTGGCTGGTTGATGAGCTGCTGACTTGGTAGAAATATCACCTTCTAAAGGAAGAGAAGCAAGAAATTATATTCCACCTTCATACCTAAAACTAAAATAGCTGTTGCCAGATTGGGAGGGTTCATGGTGGGTCATGTCACATGGCTCTCCTGACAGCCGCCAATCAGACCAGATCCGTGCCTGACCACGTGCTTTGACCCGGCCTACCCTTTAGTACCTAGTAGTTACTAGTACTCCGTATTTCGGCCTTCCGGACAGCTCCGAGGGAAAAAAACAGATGCACGCCCACGATGAGACGACGGACTCGCAAACTGCTGGTGCAGCTGATGCTCTTCGGGGGCGTCCTGTGCCTGGTTCTCTTCCTGAACGCGCCCTCCTCCACCCCCCCAACCTTGGCCTGGACCCGTATCCGGTACCGGCCAAGACCGGATCCCCCGCCGCCCACGAGCCGTGGCGCCTGTCCCGGCTTGGCCGACGCAAACAAGCTTGGCAAACCGGCGCTGGTGGTTGCCCGCGTCCACGCAGACGGCGATGCAGGCTGGTTGAAGACTCTAGAGGCGCAGTACCATCTCTGCGTGTACACGGCCGATGCGCCCGCGGAAGACCCCGGCCACGACTACCTGCAGACACCCGCGAACCGCGGCCACGAAGCCATGGCCTACCTGACCTTTCTGATCGACAACTACGCGCAGATCCCCGCCGCGGGGGCGGTCTTCGTGCACGGGTCCCGCTGGGCATGGCACAACGACGCCCCGGACTACGATAACGCAGCGCTGCTGGCGGCCCTGAACGTCTCCGCCGCCCTGCATCCGTCCGGGTACCATAATCTCCGCTGCGACTGGAGCGCCGGCACCTGTCCGCCCTCGACACCCCCGCAGCGCAGCCTGGAGACCAGCCTGCAGGCCGTGCTGCAGCCGTGGGGGGCCCGGGCGGTGTCGGACAAGGCGCTGCCCGATGCCCTGGCCACATTGTTTGGTGGCGGTGGTGTCGACGGTAGCCTGCAAGTTCTTCTCGGTCGCTCGGATACTCTTCGCGCCCAGTGCTGTGCGCAGTTTGTCGTTTCGCGCGATCGTGTATGGCAGCACTCGCGCGAGGAGTACATCGCCCTCCGTTCGTGGCTGCTCACCGCGGCGCCCAGGGACGACCGTATCTCGGGCCGGATCCTGTCGTACCTGTGGCACATTCTGTTCCTGCGGCCTGGAACGGAGGGAGAAGCCGCCGGAAGCGGAGGGATCCATCTCCAGGCCCTGAACCGGGCTGCTTGTCCCCGGGCGGACGAGTGCTACTGCCGTCTGTACGGCCGCTGCAATCTGGCCAACTGTGTGAGCCCGGGGGCCTGCTATGGTCAGTACCGTGTGCCGAAGGATTATCGGTTACCGGATGATTGGGCGGCATCCCATGTGGAATAGTATAAAGGTATATAATTGTATACAGATGATATGGGAAGAAGAAGAATATATACAAGAATATAGATTATACCACTACTGTCCAGAATTCATAACTACGTCCAAGTTGCACCAGTTCGGCAGACCGACGTCGAGGAAATTACCCAGAAAAGTGTCGATATCATCAAACATAGCATCAGCAGGAAGGATACTCTCATCCAATCCGAGAGCCATACCCGACTCTTCTTCCCTAGCCACTGTTTCTTGCACGGGAGCAGGGACTTCGGCTTGGTTCTCTCGCTGTAGTTGGATCCCCTGTAGTGCCCTTTTCCCCAGGCGTGCCATGTTGAGAGCGGACCACCAGCTTGTGCTTAGATCTCCCAGGGCTTCATGGAAGATATCTAGATAGACTCTCGCCCGGTGGACGGTCGAAAGTAACTGTCCGCCCTTCAATTGCTGGTACGATATCGCAAAGCCTAGAGACATCGCGTACGGTACAACGGGCAGGGGCAGAAACTGGTTCAGAGTGGCCATCTGTCGCAGGGAGACGAAACAGGAGAGCGAGTGGTCTTGTTGTAGGGAGGCAACATGGGATTGTATCCTGTTCGGTCCTGAGCGAGATGCAAGAATTGCAATCGCATGGTATGCCAGTTCGAGAGTGACTAGATAATGTCAGCAGCGTGAAACGAGAAGCTTTCAGTTTGCGAAAACCCACCTAGAATGTCATCTTCAATCTCCCATCCACACCACGCCGTGAGGATACCCTCGAAAGACGCCATCTCCGGCTCGACTCTCTGCTCCGACTCCCTCTGGATGGGCCAGTAGCCCGTGATGACCTCACCGAGGATGGTGGCCAGACGCAGCCACAGCCGGAAGGGCGGATCGAAGAGCATGACCGCGTCGTCGATGCCCTCGCCCAGATCGTTGTTGTTGATCACAATCGGCCGCCCGTTGATGGCTGCATTCCACCGATCCAGACTCCACAGACACCAGAAGAGCGCGACAGGCGTGCGGTCGGAGCGGGTCTGGCGGCTTTTTGCCAGATGCAGGCCCAGCGTCTGCGCGTGGTGGATGGCCTGCATGAGGTGCAGGGAGGAATCCTCGCATCCGTCCGGCCCAGAGGCGTGCAGCGACATCAGCGCCAGGATCTGGATCAGCGTGAGACGGTGTGTCTCGCGTTTGAGCATCACGGAGCGGGCCAGGTCGTCGTAGAGAAGCTGGGAGAAGGCCTCGGCGGTCACCACCTCATCGCCGGCGCTGAATCGAAGGATCCCGCGGGCTCTTGTGTCCTTGCAAGCAACCAGACAGACGGCCTGCAGCAGCCCGCAAGAGGCCCGTCCATCGGCGAGCTGCGACCGAAAGTCCCCTTCGTCGATAAGGGGCAGCACAGGCTGGACACGGGCAAAGAAGATGTCTACCAGCGTCTTTTGCACTGCCAATGGGGGTAGCAGAATCCTATCTGCCACATTCTCTACGGGTAGATGGGGAGAAAACGACGTCGGCCTCGTTTCTGGTGCTTCACCATCGCCATCGCCATCGCCATCACCGTCACCGTCACCGTCCAACCACACTCCCACGTCGCTTTGATGCGACCGAGTTCTTGAATGCCGTAAGAAGAACGCGACCGGATTCAGGTTCCCAATGAAGCGGCGCGTGGTGGGCACTCCTTCTGAGCGTGGTGTCTGCTGTTCTTCCGCCGGATTCTTCTCCGACGGCGGTGGTGGTGGTGGTCCCGGGGAATCATCCTGTGGAAAAGACTGGACAGCAGTCTCCTGAGAGGACAGGCGATCCCTTTTATCCGGCCTCGGTCGCTTCCTGGGGGTTGATTCGCTCTCTCCAGCCTCGTGGAAGCAGCGTTTCTGTGCTCCGTCAGCCTCGCCAAGCATGAGGAATAGGATTGATAGCCCACCTTTCTGAGCCGGCATCGCTCACACGCCCCCCGAGGCTGTTTCCGTTTGGGATTCCGCCCGTCCTGCGTGACTCGAAAGGTCAATTCCATGCCTGAAGAACAAGACGGAGGTTGAAGCCAGAATGACGGAACCAAACGGGGGCGGGACGGATGTGTCTGTTTTCAGACTAGTCGATGCACTAGTATACTTTAGGACTAGATCCCGACATGCTGCCTCAGGCAAGAATATGAGCTGCCTGAGTATCAATTGATTCTATACAAGCCTTGAACCTCGCAATCATGCGAGGGAGGCTTGACGGAGACGACGGAGCCAGAGGTAGAGGGAAAATTGATGGGGGAACTGTGGGAACTAAAAACTGCAGAATCCTGCCGCCCTAAACTGCAACATGGTGCATGGCTATATATATATATAATTAAAGCAATACTCCCACAGGGTATGCTCCTGTTTTGACTAGAACATATAACATGGCTATTCAGAGAGTAGAATGGTTAGTGACAAGAGGAGATGTGAATATTGCTGTTCTTAATCACTGTCATAGGAATATATGACTATATAAGGCTCTAATTAATGTCTGGACATTTTTAGTGGCTTAGTGGTCCCTAACACAAGGCTGAGCTGTAGTAGAGTGATATCAAGGATATCTATTTACCATGAGAGGGTATTCCCATATATTCATTAGGGCATTGATATGTCCCACACTAGGTGTTCCAATACCTTTAGGATTAATTAGTAGAGTCTATATAGTTGCTTGAATATATCTTAAAACAAGCGACACACTGTTCTCTAGGCAAGGCTTATCATCCATCACAAGGCTGAAGCCTTATATAATTCACCATCCAATCAATGATTGTCTACCCCGCCGGACGCAAACACCTGGCTCCCAGGATCAAGGGGCTTTCTTTCACCCGATGTTGACAGTCTTCCATGTCCATATTCTATTCCTCATGTTGTTAAGAAGACATCATATTGAGCCATGTCCATCTCCCCATTCGCCAATGACGAGTACACCGTCGGCTGGGTCTGTGCCCATGGCATTGATTTTACAGTCGCAGAGGCGATGCTGGACGAAACACATGGCGAGCCGCAGACTCCTCTCCTCCTTGCAGACCACAATACATACGTCCTGGGCGCTGTGAACGGTCATAAAGTGGTAGTCGCGTGTCTTCCCCGGGATGAGATAGGAGGCTTCTCAGCTGCGGCGGTGGCCAAGGATATGATGCATACATTCCCGCGGATTCGGTTCGGTCTGGTGGTGGGAATCGGGGCAGGGATTCCTCGCTACGACGGCGGTGGCGATATTGCGGATATCCGGCTGGGAGATGTTGTTGTGGGCAGCAGCAATACCGTCGACGGCGGCGTGGTGGTGTATGACTTTGGCAAGCGGCTGGCGGATGGGTCGTTTGACACCCGGTATGCGCTAGACAGACCCCCTCGATCGCTACGGACAGCCTTGAATCGGCTGGTGTCCAAGAACAGGCTGCAGGGCAGCCAAGTGAGCGTCTTGATCGACCAGATGCTGGACAAATATCCGGTCCTCCTCGAAGCCGGTTTCGGCCGCCCGGAACAGGCGACAGATCGCCTGTTCCGCTCGGAGTACCGTCACGTGGCCGGCTACACGTGCGCCCGGTGTGATCCTGCAGGGGAAGTTGACCGGGAAAGCTGGAAGCGACGGACCTCCAAGCCAGTTGTCCATTATGGGACAATTGCGACCGGGAGTTCTGTCGTCAAGCATGCTCCAACGAGAGACGACATTCAATACAAGCATCAGGCGATCTGCTTGGAGACGGAGGCCGCGGGTTTAGTGAACTGCTTCCCTTGTCTCGTTATCCGGGGGATTTCCAACTACGCCGACTCGCATAAGAATGACACCTGGAGAAATTATGCGGCCGCCGCGGCCGCTGCGTATGCAAAGGAGTTGCTGGGGGTGGTGCACATTCGAGATGTGGTTAGAGAGTGCAGTGTAAAGGAGACCTTGAGTGAAGGTGCCTTATTGCTTCACTCGCTCAGCATCAAGACTAAGGCTCAAGGGTATTGAAAATCTTCTTTAGTGAGTGGCAGTGTATTGCCACACAGGCATGTGTCGGATCTTAAAGCTGTCTCCCCTTGACTTTAGCCTTCAACTGTATCTTATTCTTGGCCTACGGCAAGGAGAAAGGGTCTATGGTTCCAAGAGTCCACCGCGTTCCAGTCGTGGCTCAAAGAGCCCCGGAAAACCCTCTTTTGCCAGGCAATCCTCGGCGCTAGGAAGACCGTCATGGCTGCCACGGTGATTGATCATCTGCAAAAGACCTTTCAGCAACAAAAAGGTGTTCAGATAGGCTACATTTCTGCAGGTTTCAGCCCCAGCACCAGCAGAGGGTAATCGTCGAATCGCTTCTCGAAAAAGGGGTTTGTTATACATACCCGGGATGATGCTAGATGGATACACACAGCTGATGTACGTCATCATAGGACAAAATGAGCAGTCCGCCTCGCAATCGCGGTGGACGACTCCAGCACTCTTCCATGCAGCGTTCAAAGAAAGCGTGGAGATCTTCCAGCTGCTCCTCACACATGGAGCTGACTTGGGCGGGCAGAATCAGGGAATGGAGACTGTTCTCTTCGATGCAGCACGAGGGGGCCATGTGGATCTCATTTCCCTGTTGATTGCATTAGGCCTCAACCCCAAAGCCAGTAATATCATTGGTTGCACAGCTCTGTTTTACGCTGCGTATTACTCCAAGGAAGATGCGGTGCGCCTCTTACTGGACCAGGGGAATAGCGTCCACACCCAAAATGCGCTGTTGGAGACACCCCTCTTCTTCGCTGCCCGAGCAGGACAGCCTGCTATAGTGAAGCTACTGCTGGAGAGGGGCGCAGATCCAGATCCCAGAAGCATGCTATCCGAGACACCGTTTATGCAGGCAGCTATCGGGACTTTGGAAAATTGTTGGGGCAGAGGTTATTCAGAAGTGATGACACTTCTGCGCCACGGAGCAAATTCAAATCCTCAATGCAGTCTGAATACCTCCAAAGACATGTTTGATGCTCTTCATGGCAGAATTAGTGAGGGTAAGGCTCGGCAACTGTGGCCATCTTACACCAGAAGTCTTTCAGATGGTCAAGTTCTGGTCGTCCTCGGTCGTCTTTTATCATCAGGCTGTACCTCAGTTTGGATAGCTCGGAGAGCTTGGAGACGGTACGAAGAGAATCCGGTTACATGGGCCGCCTCCGGAGGAAACAAAGAATTGGTTCAAACTCTGATCAACCTAGGCATTGATTGGAACAGAAACTCGGCTCTCCTTGATGCTATCCAAGGTGGCCATCAGAAGGTGGTTGAGATCCTTCTTGATACAGGCAAGATGCATACTGCTCAATTACGTGATGCTCTGTGTTCCGCTGCTGAAGAAGGTCACGCTGGCATTATCAAGCTTTTGATCCGAGCAAGTGAAAATCTAGCTTCAACTAATGAGTCGACCTATGGACATGCGGATAATATCTGTCCTCTTTTTGACTGTAACAGTGAACAAGACACGGCTTTACATCTTGCTGCAATGAACGGACACCACGAGGCTGTCAAGGTACTGCTAGATGGAGGGGCACATCCAGAAGCGAAAGACAAATTATTAGAAACACCACTTTCACTAGCAGTTGAAGAAGATCATCTGGAAACAGTTCGTGTTCTGCTCGAGTACAAAGCCGATCCCAACGCTGTTGGTGATTATCGCTGGACACCGCTATTCTATGCTGTATCAAACAATCGGGACAGTGTTATGGAGATTCTCCTGGACTCAGGAGCAAGCCTGCAAGCCCAAGATGTATTAGGGAAAACGCCACTGTGCGTTGCCGCCGAGAAGAAAGTCGAGGCACCTCTTAGGCTTCTACTCCAGCGCGGTGCAGACCCAAATGCACAAGATACCCTCGGACGATCCCCGCTGCATTGGGCAGCAAGCAAAGGATATTCCAAGGGAATCAAAATCCTCTGTGAAAATCACGCGGATCTAAATCTGCAAGACCAATACAAGCGGACACCTCTGCTCACTACAGCTGCAGCTGGATCCTATGAGTCCGTCAAGATTCTATTGTCTATGTATGGTAATTCCATAGATCATAAAGATATCTTTGGCCGCACAGCTGCATCTGAGGCCCATCATAGAGGGCATGCAACTGTTGCAAAGCTCTTGCGAGGAGAAATCAAAGTCCCCATCCCAACGCAAAAGGCACAGGATGCGAGGGAAAAGAGTCGGCGGACTTGTGATATCTGCATCATCGACTTATTTGTTGGGGAAGATGTTTATCAATGTGAGTCTTGTCATGATGGGTATTTTGTTATCTGCCGGTGGTGTCGAGAAAGTGGCGCGTCTTGTCTGGATAAGAGACATACTCTTACCAAATCCCGAGTCAAAAGCCACAGTGACGAAGATGAAGATTCTGATGAAGATTCTGATGAAGATGAAGATGAAGATGAATATGAAGATGCTGCTGCTGCTGCTGATGAAGATGAAGATGAAGATGAAGATGAAGATGAAGATGAAGATGAAGATGAAGATGAAGATGAAGATGAAGATGAAGATGAAGATGAAGATGAAGATGAAGATGAAGATGAAGATGAAGATGATGATGAAGATGATGATGATGATGATGATGATGATGGTGATGATGATGAATATTATTATGATTTTGATTAGGTGTATTAGAACGTCGCAAGAGGCCTCTAGGGGATCCATGATATCTTTTGCTATATACTCTTGGCCTCTGCTCTGTCTCGACCACATCCCCAAGGAGAGGTTATTCTGCTATCGGCTTCTACCAAAGAGTTAGCTCTGTTCAACCAAGGCACAGTTAGCTTACGTATGGATCATGGCATAGATATCCAACCGCTTGATGTCCTGACGAACGCCAGCCTTCAACGCCTCGGGGAACAGGTGCGCGCCGCGGTTGTAGCTAGGTAGCGACGCCCGTGTTTGAACTCGTGGACTAAAACACTCGAGTTGAAGACTGGGTATAAGCAGAGCTACTCGAGTTCAACCATACTTGTCTCTTAGAAAACGAGTCATATAGAAAGACAATCATACACTTCCTCTCCCTCTCCGTACGACGAGTCGTTGCCCTAAACGGTCGGTATGCATCCCTGAGCGAGTGTAAAGGTTGGCTACTTCGTCTTCAAAGTTATAGACTTCAATCAGTTGTTGAGAGAGCACATCATGGTGAGCAAAAGGCTGAGAAGAATATTCGGTTATGGTAGGGATTGTAAGCATAGGAATAGAGGAAGCAAAGGGTAGAAAGGAGCAGGGGAAGAAAGAGATAAAGAGAATAAAAAGGCTGAGCAACTGGGAACAATTCATCTACTCCATATATTAAGTCCCTCTACAAAGATCCTTGCATCGGGCCGTGAGACACATTTCTTGGTTATGTTGGAGCGTTGGACCTGCTGCAGTCAGGATAGAGATGCAAAAGTATTCTATTAGTCCTGCCTATACCTTCAATCTTTTCAAAATTCCATGATGAAAGTGGTGATATATATAGAGAGGGCTAGGAAAGAACAAATTATAAGTAATCCTTCTCATGTTTTAGACACTGACAAAGATATGAGTTTTGGAAGACTTGTGTCTTTGATAAAATCTTGTCCAGACTGGGGTTGGGTTACTAGGATGCAATGCACGAGCATAGAGTTCTTTCAATAGGACTTGGACTATATACACGGTGAAGGCCATCTAAAAACCATCTGCCAAGCATTGTGGCACAGTAGCCAGCTAAGAGTAGGCCGCAATGGCGCTGGAAAAGGCCGCATCGACCGAGGACAGGACCGAGGCGATGGTCTCAGCGTCGGTGGTCGTGGCAATGGCCTCCAAGTCCGCAGCCAGCGTGCTGGTCTTGGTCTGGAGAGTCTCGATGGAGGAGAGCAGGTCGCTCGCGACTCCGTCATCGGCAGCGTCAGATTCCTTACTCAGATTAGTTGAAGGACAGGTTATAACAGTGAAAAACAACTTCATCTCACCTTGTCGGTGATGGCATCCAGGGTAGCGATGATGACAGGGCCAAGAGTCTCAATCTCGCTGGTGATGCTGCTGCTGTCTGCGTCGCTCAAGGTCGAGGTGGCCGCGGCGTCGGTGATGGCCGTATCGAGGGCGCTCTTCAGGTCATCGTACTCGACCAAGATCTCCAGGCCGGCCAAGAGGGAGCCAGTCCAGCTCGAAACCGAGGACTCGAGCGCCTCGGTGTCGGAAAGAACAGTCTCCAGGTCTGACAGCACCGTGGCCGCATCGCGCCGGGCGATGGGGGAGGCGCTCGCCAGCGAGACGGCCAGAAGAGCAGCAACAAGAGACTTGGCGATCATTGTATTTCAGATTGGCTAGTGATTCGGTGGATTGGAGGATGAAGCTGGTAGATAGAAAACAGGAGATTCATGGCGCTTTTATAGACCACAGAGGTGGGATTTCGCAAGGAGTATTGCTCGTGTAAACGGACGGTTGTGTCAAAACTGACGTGACATGCATCAAAATCTCCTCATAGCCGGCAATTCATCAATTTGCAGAGCTCAGCAGAAGGACTGTTGACCAATTATTTGACCACATGAGCCATATAGTTTAAAGCCATTCCATTGCTGTTTCCACTAGTGGCATCCATGTCACTTTGTCGACCTGCCAACCACATAAAACCCGCAATTAAGCAGTGCTCCGTGCAGAACGACGGATCTGCAAGATATTATTAAATTCCGGCTCAACGTGGTAGACCTATTGGCTCAAGTCAGCTCACTTTGCAGTGTTTTCCATAGGATATATGCATCCCTGCGCCTAGATATATTACATTGGACATCACCTGTCTTTTCACATGGAAGAATGCGTCTATTTCATACGCCTGTCTTTCTGCAGAATCTCTCACAAATATTGCTCCGACTATAATTTCCCGGGATACCGAGGTAATCCTGCAGACTCCTGTGGCTTGCGAGGAGGGTGTTGTATACGTCCACTGGTAAGCGATTACAAAGTCCAAAGGTTTGCATCTGAGATGGTATTCGACAGTCCCTCGATATCCAAATTGAAGTGTCTGGACCTGCTGCAGGACAGGGTCAAGACATCTATGTCTCTCTCCAGTCTTGGGACTGTCGGGTGTGTAATACAAGAAAGGGCTGGTTCTCGTCGGAGCGTGAGGAATTTGGTAAAGGGTAGACCTCCCATGTTTAACTCGATCAAGATGCCTCGTTCGCAAGGCAGCTGACGGTTGTGTCGAGGAAATTCCCGAAGATCGGCAAGTTATCATCTGTCCGTCAACAATAGTCACGCAGTTGATGGATCTATGTATGATCCTGCAATCGATCGATCTGCAGTATATAAGGCATACCTCAAACACATCCCCCATTCCTGACTATCACACAGCAACCCTCGTTACTATCATTCGGATTGTTCTGCCAGTCCACCGGTGGTCGTCCTTTCTATAGCTCAACGGTGCCTGACTGATTGAATATGGTATTATCGGAGTCCAACTGGGATCGGGCACAGTCTCCGTCGTAGCAGTGCTTAAGTCTCTGATCCTGGGATTCGCAGCAATGATTGAACGCTAACTCCCCCCTATAATTCGTAGTAGTGACTGAACCGCTGATTCTCGTGGAGTCGCGCTCACACCTGCAGAGCAGGTGTCGCATTGCAGACAAGAAGACGTCGTACCTGCTAGAATCAAGACAGAACTTAGAGTTAGACAGCACCCAGGGAACGAGTGAAGAGGTTCTTCTCGTCTTACTGCTCAGTTTCCCTACCCTCAGGGGCTCTTCGTCTCGTCTCCCTGCTTGTTCGCTCATCTCCAGCTCATTGCCCAGATACGTCCATTCGACATCTCTGAGGCTGCGATCTGCTCATTCCATGTTGCGTACTCTAACACCCAACCACCCACTGTGTAAAGAACAACGTATAACCTTCCAGCTGGTCAGATAGAAGATGAAAATCGTATCTCGAGACTCTCTCAAAGCAGTCGGGGACAAGCAGTTCTGGGCGGTGTAGAACGACCGGCAGTAGTGGCTCACCGCTTGTTTACGTCCGAAACAGGCAGGCGGGGCAAAGAGCGCTTCTCGAGCTTCAGGATGGGACTTGCGACGTACAGTGAGATTCAGCAGTCATCATCATCAGCTTACTCTACAGCTATAGCGTACAGGGATCATCATTCACTAGGCAGTAAGCACAGAAAGCTCCACCGCTCGACGCTGTATATATACTGACCTCGCTCTCGCGTCTCCCGCAGGTCGAAGAGCGACCTTTGGCTGCGACCGTCAGGCAACTCGCTTCGAGACGACGACCGACCGTGGTGAAAGGCCAAGGCTTGGCTGTTTTTATCGGCCCCTCCCTCAATCACATCTCGGCCGTCGATACGAAAGGCCTGTAGGTGCTGCTACTAGCTAATAGTTAGCTGGTTACGCGGAGCCGTACAATACAACCGGCGTGCCACCTGCTCGGTTAACGACGTTGAGACTCGAGCTCTCGGGAAAGACCCTTTTACAATTGGGAACGTCGATCGCCTCCACGCAGTTTGAGACAAACGCGACCGCAGGATGTCGATCAGGAGGGAGTGATAGACGGGGGCTGTCGAGATGGTTCCCATCTCGGTCTACCTGCTGAAGGTACGTTTGACTCGCCGTGTCCGTGCGACTCGGCCGTCCTCCGTATCTAAAGCGACAGCGCTAACAGGGATCAGAAGCGGCTTGGATTGTGGTTGACGACGGCGGCGCGTGGGTTGCGAGAATAGACAGGTGGAGTCGACACCAAGACGGAGGGACGATGGAGTCGCTCCAGGAGTAGCGCACGCCGCCCAGCCTACCAGCCACGCGTTCACGGAGTAATATAACCTAGTGGGGACTCAATCACTATCAGAGGCGGGGGCTGCTATGGAGTCGTACTTCAATCTCTCAGCGAAGAGACAAGACGTCCGTCTGCTACTGACGAGTCACCGTGGCCTAGTCCGTGACTCGCATCGCAGACATGATTCGATCTGGATTCGAAAGAGGCGTCTACGGAGTGCTGCGTATGGATGAATCTAATGACGCCGCACAATCTCTTTTGCGTCGTGGATAAGGTTCGATCCGAATCTTGGCTGCCACATTCCACAATCCACGGTCGGAGGATGGCGTCCTGCTAGTTGCGACCGCGAGAAACATCGCCAGTCAAGCCACGAGTATCGACCAACTGCCCCGAGGCAGAGCCGACTATCAATCAGGATTGCCATCCTCTGGTGCGGAGTCCGACCCATCCAAGGCCTTCGATCAGGAAATTTCCTCCGGATCACTACGCTGCCTCCCTCAACTGCTACCTTTATGGCGTCAATTTTTCAGGGTCTGGCGTGGCAAGGGTGGACGATGACGACGCCACTCTCCCCTTTCATGCCTATTGTTGGCCCAGTCGCAATGAGGCCCACCGCAAGTGGTCTTATCGCCAGGCTAAATGCCCCCTGGAGCTCGCCGCATGCTCTCATTCGTGCCCACGCCACATCTGGCGGCGGAGAACGCGCAAGCTTTGAGGAAGGAGGTGCGAATGAAGCGGTAGAAAAAAAAAAGGGAGAAGCGACATTCGAGCAGCATTCTGGGGAACTCTCCCGAGTGTTAACTGACCATGGTGTTGGCCGTCGGCGATATTTTTTCTCTTTCTTCATTGTCGCCGTTTCCACCGGTCGCTTCCCTCATTCTCGCCCCTGAGCATTTACAGGCACCACCACCACCACAACAACAACCACAATCACCCCGCCGCAAGAATTCAACCTAGGTCGTGATGCGCCCATGAGCGCCCGACGCTTCATGTCGTTTGCCGACCGTAAACAGTGGGTGAGCCCGACCGACGGCCATCGCCGACGCCGTGTGCTGTCGCTCGTCTCTGTCGTCGTCGTGGCCACCAGCATTCTATCGACGCTATACGTCTTTCTATGGCCGCATCTGGTCAAGTTCCGCCCCCGGCTAGATCTGACGTGGTATGACTGGGGGTTATATGGCTTCTACCCGTCGCAGAGCTATGCCTCCTTTGAGTACGAGTCGCCCTCGGTCGAATTCGCCCACTGGGATCCTCGATGTGACGAGCGATACACCTTCTTCGCCCCGCGCGGCGACTCCATCCACAGCCCCGGCCCGATGATCCTCGATGCTCAGGGGGAACTGGTCTACTTGCAGCCCAACATGGGGGTGACACAGGACTTCAAGGTGGTGCAGTACCGTGGGGAAAGCTTCTTGGCGTACTGGGAGGGCGAGGAGGTCGCAGGCCACGGCGATGGCTCCTGGTACATGGTGGGTAGAAGAGAAAGAAACGAAGAAAAAGGGGAAATACACATGCTGATATGCTACAGCTTGACTCTACGTACACGCAACGGTTCGAGATCCGACCGCTCGGCGGCATCGGTGGTGATCTACATGAATTCATGATCACGGACAACGACACGGCTCTGGTTTCGATCTACGAGACGATTCCCGCTGACTTATCGTCAATTGGAGGCCCTGAGGAGGGATACCTGATCGATGGTGTTTTCCAGGAGATCGACATTGCGACGGGCGAGCTGCTTTTCGAGTGGCATGCCTCCCACCACTACCCCGTCAACAGCACGTACGAGAAGCTCAAGGGAAGGGGCCGCGACCGCGATTCGGCGTTTGACTACTTCCACCTCAACAGCATCGAGAAAGACCACGAGGGTCATTACCTGATCTCGGCGCGGCACACACACACGGTCACCAGCATTGACCGCGAGACGGGCGCCGTGCGGTGGACGCTGGGTGGGCGCGCCAACGACTTCACGGACGCGTCGGACGGCGCCGCGACGGATTTCGCGTGGCAACACGACGCCCGCTGGCACGGCACCCACACGCTGACGCTGATGGACAACGCAGTCCACAGCAACAGCGACCCGGCGCCGCAGAGCCGCGGCATGCTCATCGATCTGGACGTGCCGAACCGCGTGGCGACGCTGCGCACGGCCTTCTACCACCCACAGCAGATGAAGGTGGTGTCGCAGGGCAACGTGCAGCTGGTGCCCGGCAGCCACGGGCCCGACGACGACGGCGACCATGTGATTGTCGGCTGGGGTCACAGCGCGGCGTTTACCGAGTACACGGCCGAGGGCGAGTTGCTGTGCGACGTGCACTTTGGCGCCTCGATGTTCTTCACCTTTGGCCGGGTGGTCTCGTACCGCACCTTCAAGGGCGACTGGGTCGGGCGGCCGCGGACCTCCCCGAGCGCCGCCGTCGCGGGAGACAATGTGTACGTCAGCTGGAACGGCGCGACCGAGGTGGCCACCTGGCAGCTGGAGGTGTGGGACGGCGAGCATCTCGACGGCGAGCAGGAGATGGCATTCCAACCGGTCAACCAGGCGCCGCGCGACGGGTTCGAGACCGAGATCGAGTTGCCGGCAGAGGTCCACGACCGGTTCGTGCGGGTGGCTGCGCTGGACGCGGCGGGCGAAGTGCTAGGCCGCACACCCATCGTGCGTCGCGCCCCGGGCTGGACACTGGCCGGCTTCTTCGCTGCCCAGTCCGCGGGCGTCCTCGTCATGTACGTCATGGGCGGCTGCTGCCTCCTGCTGGGCATGTACTGGGGGTGTCATCTGCGGATGGAACGCTGGCGCGCCAAGCAGCAGGAGTACCATCTCGTCCCCCTTCGCGATGAAGAAGCTAGTCCCGAGTGATTTGATTCTGCCATCATTTATTTACTCGTCGCCACTCCGCCTCCACCGGGCTCACAGAACCATCGCGCGGAGAGTTAATCAGAGAGAACTCGCCTTGTCATTAATGACATCCATCCTATGGGAACCGGTCTTCTCCCGGTTGCCCTTTGGTCGCAGAACATGTGCATTGGATGATGACTGCCGAATAAGACCATCTTGCCGGCGAGTTGGGGGAGAGGGAAATACCAGTGTCTGAATTTCAATCAAGACATGGATTAATCCGGGAACAGGACTGTACATAGGGCAATTGGCTTTATACATATACCCAGGCATCGATAGTCAATCAATAATGATTCATTCCGTATCTCAGATGATTAGTTTTGCAGTAGCCCACTCTTCTTTTTTTTTTTTTTTTCCAATCTGCAAAACCCGTAGAATCCGCAGAGTCCGAGTGCCGCTGAGTAAGCGGATCTTTGACTAATCTACGGCCAATCAGCTGTGACCGGCGGGGAGACCCAACCTTCTGAATACGGAATTCGACGTGTTCTTTGTACAGGAATACCAGTGATACCAGTATGCAGACGGAGAACTTGCCCCTGGCGGTACTGCCAAATCATTGGCTACAGACCACAAATTGCACTGTTTGTTCTACAAACGGCCAGCGTAAGAGGCCGGGAGAGTCCGCCGTGTTTGCACGATGCGCCGCTCCAATTGGCTGGTTCCGTCCCTGTCCCTGTCTCCGCTGACTCAGCGGAAGCTGGTCCTTCCCAATCTAGAAGGCTTCCAGGCTCCCGACCAGAACCAAAACTTCCCCCTCCAACTCTCCGTCTCTCTCCTTCTTGCCCCCCCCTCAGGGCGATGCTCCAGCGCTGTGCCGGTCTTTCTCTGCCCTCCAGAAGCCGAGAAGTGGTCAGCAGCTCCACTGTGACTGCCAGGAGCGTCGGTGATCGGCCAGAAGACACGCCGTGCCAGCGGGGCGTCTCGTTGTCGCCGTGTCTTATAAAGACGTGAGCAGGCCTCCTCGCTTGCTGCTTTGTTTGAGGTACACTGACTGAATTGAGTCGATACAGGCATCGCTCTCTTTCCTCTTCTCTACTCTGTCGCTGCCAGTGAGTGAGTGGTGTCCTGTTCACCATGGATCCAGCCGGTGGCAGTGAGATCCGCGACGACACCGATAGTGCCGTCACGGTGCGTCCCGACGCTGCTCTCCCAACCTACGAGAATGAAGACAAAACGATGGTCTCCCCATCCAGTCGGGCAGAGGACTGGGCAATGATGGACGAGGTACGCCGCCGGCACGACCGCGAGATCGCCTCGGGCAGCAAGCCGCGCGAGCTGGGCGTGACGTGGAAAGATCTCACCGTCGAGGTGGTCAGCGCCGAGGCTGCTATCAACGAGAACGTCTTCTCGCAGTTCCATATCCCTCGCAACATCCGTGAGTCTCGTCACAAGCCCCCCCTGCACACCATCCTCGACAACAGCCACGGCTGCGTCCGCCCGGGCGAGATGCTGCTCGTGTTGGGCCGCCCAGGCTCGGGCTGCACCACACTACTCAAGATGCTCGCCAACCGTCGTCGCGGTTACCTGAATGTCCGTGGTGATGTGCACTTTGGCGCTCTGTCGCACGACGAGGCTGCCCCGTACCGCGGCCAGATCGTCATGAACACAGAGGACGAGTTGTTCTTCCCGACCCTGACCGTCGGCCAGACGATGGACTTTGCCACGCGCCTCAAGGTGCCTAGTCGGCTGCCTCAGGGGGTCGACTCGCATGTCGAGTACCAGCGCGGCAGCAAGGAATTCCTCCTCGAGGCACTACGCATCTCCCACACGCATGACACAAAGGTCGGCAACGAGTACGTGCGTGGTGTCTCGGGCGGCGAGCGCAAGCGTGTCTCCATCGTCGAATGTATGGCGACCCGCGGATCCGTGTTTTGTTGGGACAACAGCACCCGCGGCCTTGACGCCAGCACGGCTCTCGAGTGGACCAAGGCCATCCGCGCCATGACGGACGTCCTGGGTCTGTCCACAATCGTCACCCTCTACCAGGCGGGGAACGGCATCTACGATCTCTTCGACAAGGTTCTCGTGCTGGACGAGGGCAAGCAGGTGTTCTATGGACCCCTAGCTGAGGCCCGTCCCTTCATGGAAGAACAGGGCTTCATCTGTGGCGAGGGCGCCAACGTCGCTGACTTCCTGACTGGTGTCACTGTACCTACCGAGCGCCAGATCCGCTCCGGCTACGAGCAGCGCTTCCCACGCACTGCCGACCAGCTCCGTATCGAGTACGAGAAGTCGTCTATCCGCGAGCGGATGGCCGCCGAGTACGACTATCCGACCTCCGACCTCGCCCGCGAGCGTACTGACAACTTCCGGCACGCTTTCGCCGAGGATCGCGCCAAAGACTTGGCCAAAGACAGCCCCTGGACGGTTGGGATCGTGGACCAGGTCAAGGCCTGCATCCGCCGCCAGTACCAGATCCTGTGGGGTGACAAGGCGGCCTTCATCATCAAGCAAGTCTCGACCTTGGTCCAGGCCTTGATCGCCGGCTCCCTCTTCTACAACGCGCCCAACAATTCCGGTGGCCTCTTCGTCAAGTCCGGCGCCCTGTTCTTCTCGCTCCTTTACAACAGTCTGCTTTCCATGTCTGAAGTCACCGAGTCCTTCAACGGTCGTCCGGTCCTGGTCAAGCACAAGGGTTTCGCCATGTTCCACCCGGCCGCCTTCTGTTTCGCCCAGATCGCAGCCGACATTCCCGTCCTCCTCTTCCAGATCAGCATCTTTGCCATCGTCATTTACTTCATGGTCGGCCTTACCATGACGGCCGGTGCCTTCTTCACCTACTGGGTCATGATTTTTGCAACCACCATGGTACGTGCACCCCCTTATCTGACAATTGTTTCTGTCTCTTTAGATATTACGTCCACTGACTGTTGCAGTGTATGACAGCGTTATTCCGCGCCATCGGTGCTTTGTTCTCTACCTTTGACGGGGCCTCCAAGGTGTCTGGCTTCCTCATCGCCGCCGTCATCATGTACACCGGGTACATGATCACCAAGCCTCACATGCACCCGTGGTTCGTTTGGATGTACTGGATCGACCCCCTGGCCTATGCCTTTGAAGCGGTCCTGGCCAACGAGTTCCACGGCAAGATCATCCCCTGCGTCGGTGACAATCTGGTTCCCAATGGGCCTGGCTACACGGACTCTGCCTACCAGGCGTGCGCGGGCGTCGGGGGCGCATCCCCGGGAAGCATCTCACTCACCGGCGACGAATACCTGGCCTCGCTGTCCTACAGCTATTCGCATCTGTGGCGCAATTTCGGCATCGTCTGGGCGTGGTGGGCTCTCTTCGTCGCCGTCACGGTCGTCGCTACTTCGAAATGGCATTCTCCGTCTGAGAGCGGATCCGTGCTGCTCATCCCGCGTGAAAAGCTGGAGCGCCATCAGCAGACGCTGGGTGTCATCACTGACGAGGAATCCCAGGGTTCCAAGAAGGTCGCAGCCGCCGACGATCAGGAGCTGCAGTCGGACAGCAGCGTCGAGGCACAACTCGTCCGCAACTCGTCGGTCTTCACCTGGCGCAACCTGACCTACACTGTTAAAACCTCCTCGGGAGACCGTGTGTTACTTGATAACGTCCACGGCTGGGTCAAACCGGGCATGCTGGGCGCTCTGATGGGAGCCTCGGGCGCAGGTAAGACGACTCTGCTGGACGTGCTGGCCCAACGCAAGACCGAGGGTACCATTCGGGGCTCCATCATGGTTGACGGACGACCCCTGCCGGTCTCCTTCCAGCGGTCTGCAGGCTACTGCGAGCAACTCGACGTTCACGAGCCGTTTGCCACGGTGCGCGAGGCGCTGGAATTCTCTGCCCTCCTCCGGCAGCCGCGCGAAGTGCCCCGCGAGGAGAAGTTGCGATACGTCGACACGATCATCGACCTCCTGGAGCTGCACGACCTGGCTGACACGCTGATCGGGCGGGTGGGCGCCGGCCTCAGCGTTGAACAGCGCAAGCGGTTGACCATCGGCGTCGAGCTGGTGGCCAAGCCGAGCATCCTGATCTTCCTGGACGAACCGACCTCCGGTCTGGACGGCCAATCGGCCTACAACACGGTGCGGTTTCTGCGCAAGCTGGCGGACGTGGGCCAGGCGGTGCTGGTGACCATCCACCAGCCGTCGGCGCAGCTGTTTGCCCAGTTCGATACTCTCTTGCTGCTGGCCAAGGGCGGTCGCACTGTCTACTTTGGCGACATTGGCGACAACGGAGAGATCGTCAAGAACTACTTTGCCCGCTACGGTGCCTCCTGTCCGACTGGGACCAACCCGGCGGAGCATATGATCGATGTGGTCTCGGGCCATCTGTCGCAGGGCCGCGACTGGCACCAGGTCTGGCTCGACTCGCCGGAAAGCAGCGAGAGGCTGGCCAAGCTGGACCAGATCGTCGCAGACGCCGCAGCCAAGCCCCTGGCCACACAGGATGACGGATTCGAGTTCGCGATGCCGCTCGGGGCGCAGACACAGATCGTGACGGCGCGGATGGGGCGGGCGCTGTTCCGCAACACGGACTACATCAACAACAAGTTTGCGCTGCACATCGGCTCGGCGCTATTCAACGGCTTCTCCTTCTGGATGATCGGCGACAGCGTGTCGGACCTGCAGCTGCGGCTGTTCACGGTCTTCAACTTCATCTTCGTGGCCCCCGGCGTGATCAACCAGCTGCAGCCGCTGTTCATCGAGCGGCGCGACCTGTACGACACGCGCGAGAAGAAGGCGCGCATGTACTCGTGGAAGGCGTTTGTGACGGCGCTGGTGCTGTCGGAGATGCCGTACCTGTGCGTGTGCGCCGTGTTGTACTTTGTCTGCTGGTACTACACGGTGGGCTTCTCGAGCGACTCGCACCGCGCGGGCGGCACCTTCTTCATCATGCTCATGTACGAGTTCATGTACACGGGCATCGGCCAGTTCGTGGCCGCGTACGCGCCCAACGCCCTCTTCGCCGCGCTGACCAACCCGGTCATCATCGGCACGCTGGTCTCCTTCTGCGGCGTGCTGGTCCCCTACGCCCAGATCCAGGCCTTCTGGCGCTACTGGATCTACTGGATCAATCCCTTCAACTACATGATCGGGGGTATGCTCGTCTTCGACGTCTACGACACCCCCGTGCGCTGTGCCGCCGACGAGTTTGCCGTCTTCGACCCCCCGGCCAACATGACCTGCGGCGACTACCTGGCCGAGTACATGGAGGGCATCGGCGCCCGCATGAACCTGACCAACCCGGCCGCCACGGCGAGCTGCCATGTCTGCGAGTACCGCCGCGGCAGCGACTATCTCACCACCATCAACCTCAACGACTACTACTACGGCTGGCGCGATGCCGGGATCGTCGTCATCTTCGTCCTCAGCTCCTACTCCCTGGTGTATCTGTTGATGAGACTGCGCACCAAGGCGTCCAAAAAGGCAGAAGCATGAATTTCACACACATAGACTAGACACCACTAGACTGACTTTCCATTTCTCATCATCACTGGACATGCTTAATGTGGTTTTTCCAATATTAGACTCTTGATTCTGGTCACCACTGTGGACTCGTGTGTTTTTGAACATATTCAAATTTGTTTTATCACTTTGTTTATTCTCATTTTACTATCCTCAATACTAGAAAGTAAATACTAATAATTCAATCATTCCAAGACACCACTGCCATATATCACTCTATTTAGAGCCCAGTGCATTGCTCATTGCCTGTCTTTCTGATGAGGTTATATAGCAAAATAAGTACCCTCTATAGAAGGGAGGTGTCGCTAGATCTGTAAGGGTATTGTTAAATCTATATATTAGTATCACTGTCTTTTCTCTGGAGTAAAGTATAAGTTCTATATTGACTCTGAGACTAATCTCTACTTTAATTTGATAGAGTCATCTTAAGGAGTGTCTACAACACTTTATATATAACAGCTCAGGCATGTATGGTATTGAATCTACCGATAGAGTTCCCTTTTCGATAGACTCAATAAGAAAAACACAATGAAATTCCATGGTGAGGCGAATGAATCTGGATTGCTGGCGTCGCCCGATTGGGAAGGCAGAGGGCGCTTACGGAAGCACAACACGTGCTTCTCCTGTTGATTTCTGCCTCAGGCCGAATATTTCGCATCTCCCTCCCACTTCTGCCTCTCGACACTTTCAACCATCAAATCACGGCCATCTTTTAGAGAATCTATCTCGAGGATCGCCCTCTCTCCGCCTTGCTATCAGTTGCTCCAGATAAATCCTTTGGCTAGCCAGAATCGATGCTGCCCGCTACTCAGCCCCGAGGCAGTGTCTGCCCCTCGTATCTGGCTGTCGCGAGGCTGCCCATCCACCTCGTTTCCTCGTCTCATCAGCATCCATCTACACAGACAGGTAGTTCATCTTTCCATCGATTTTTCTTTGATCAGTGGCTTCGTCGCGAGCCGGATCCTCCGTGTTGACCCGATGCGACCGCAGACACGCAGTGAATTTACGGTCGCGATCTTCTGCGCCTTGCCTCTCGAGGCGGACGCCGTCGAGGCTCTCTTCGACGAGACGTACGGCAGACTCAACGCCGTGTATGGCCGGTCGTCGGGCGATGCGAACACGTATACCACGGGCCGCATCGGCCAGCATAATGTCGTGCTCTGTCATCTACCGGGGATGGGCAAAGGGACCGCAGCAAGTGCAGCGTCTGGTCTGAGAGCCAGCTACAGTGGGATCGAGCTTGCTCTCGTGGTCGGTATCTGTGGGGGGATTCCATTCCTGCCCACTGGTGATCGTGTCCTTCTCGGCGACATCATCGTCAGCGACTCCGTGATCGAATATGACTTTGGCAGACAGTACCTGGATGGATTCCAGCGGAAGACGGGCGTCAAGGACACGCTAGGACGGCCGAATCGAGAAGTGCGAGGCATGCTTGCAGCCTTGAAGACGACCAAGACGCAGACCGAGTTTCGTGACCACATCTCTCGGCATCTTCGCACCCTCCAGCAGGCGAGCTCGCAATGGCAGCCGCCGGGCAACACGGACCCTGTATCCGTCCATATCGGAACCATTGCTTCGGCCGACACAGTGATGAAGTCTGAAGAAGACCGGGATCGGCTGGCAAGAACGGAGGGGGTGATCGCCTTTGAGATGGAAGGCTCCGGCGTGTGGGATGATTTCTCCTGTGTTATCATCAAGGGCGTCTGCGACTACGCCGACAGCCACAAGGACAAAGAGTGGCAGGCGTATGCCGCAGCAACGGGGGCGTCTGGCGCCAAAGCGTTTCTTGAGCATTGGCAGCCTATTTCTCGAAGTAAGTCGGCGGTGACCTTGGGTTGCAAGGTATGGAGTTGGAGCTGATCACACATATCATGTAAAGATGCCGAGAAACTTCCAGATGCACTGTGGATGATTCCATTTCTGAGGAACCCGCGATTCGTGGGTCGGAACGACGAGATCTTTCAGGTCGAAGAGCTGATTTCACGAACAAACGGACCAAGAAAGATTGCTATCACCGGGCTGGGAGGCATCGGGAAGACACAAATCGCCTTGGAACTTGCGTATCGTGTACGTGAGCACAACCCGGACTGTTCGGTTTTCTGGATTCCGGCAACCAGCCATGAAAGCATCGAACAAGCCTACCTGAGCATCGCCCAAATGCTCGGCTTGCACAACACGAACGTGGCGGATGTGAAAACCCGAGTCAAGAGGCATCTGAGCGAGGAATATCATGGGAATTGGCTTCTGATCTTTGATAATGCCGATGACAGCAATATGTGGTTTCCAGACAGCAACAACACCGCAACGCCCGCATGGAAAGACTTTCTCCCTCAAAGTGAGCAGGGCCATGTTCTTTTCACCTCCCGCAACCGAGCATTGGCCACACGGCTGGTCTCATCCAGTGTCATATCCATTGCCGATGAAGACGAGACGATCGCGGGAGAGATTCTGGATCAGCTCCTCATTGACAAGAGCCTGCTGGATGACAGGTCTGCCACATGCACCCTTCTCGAACAACTTGCCTTTCTTCCACTTGCCATCGGACAAGCGGCGGCGTACATGAACCAGAACGGGATCGGCCCGTCGCAGTACTTGGATCTTCTTCAGACACAGGAGCCAGAAGTCATCGATCTATTGGGTATGGAATTCGAAGACGACTGGCGGTACCAGGAAATGGAGAGTTCTGTGGCCTCGACCTGGCTTATTTCACTCTCCCAGATCCAGATACGAAACCAACTGGCGGTCGACTATCTCTACCTAATGGCTTGCATTGACTTTCGCAATATTCCCCAGTCTCTTCTCCCACGAGCGCCTTCGAAAAGAGAAAGGATCGAGGCACTAGGGCTTCTCCATTCTTATTCTTTAGTCTCCGTGGATCCTGGTAGCGACGGTCCTGTCAGCCTTCATCGACTTGTCCGTCTTGCAACCCGGAACTGGATGAGACGCAATGGACATTTCTCCGATTGGATCGAGAAGACAGCAGATAGGTTCAGCCAAAAGTTCCCAACCAGCCACCACGAGAATCGGATGTTGTGGCGCGAGTATCTCCCCCATGCGCAGTCGCTGTTTGGAGAGAGTGAATTCCAGCAGAGAAAGGATCAGCATGCCTCGCTTCTCAGACGGGTGGCGTGCTGTCTGGATGAAGACGGAAGGCTGAACGAAGCCGAAAAACTCATCTATGATGTGATCACCATCGAGCGCAGAAAGGGCCGTCCTCTCACTTCCATCATGGACAGCATCAATCGACTTGCATGGATTTATCTGCATCAAGGGCGGCCAGAGAGAGCGGAACGGCTCCAAGTCAAGGCGCTGAATTCGTACGGCACAGTCCTTGGCCGTGAAAACAACGACATCCTAAGGGGAATGCAAATCCTGGGGACGCTCTACTCTGAGCGGGGAGAATATACCAAAGCCATCAAGCTTCTGCATCATGTGGTGGACGGGTTTGAAAGGAAGTTTGGGCCTGGCAACTACAGGATACTGGGCAGCATTGTCACTCTTGCATCGATCTACAATGCGCAGAAAAAGACAGACGAAGCCGAAAGACTGAGCCTCCAGGCGTTGAATCTTGCAAGGGACTCCCTGGGGCTAGAGCATCCCAAGACCATGATCAGCATGTACAATCTTGCCGAGAGGTGGCATGCCGTTGGCCGACGGAATGAAGCTCTTGATCTGATGGCCGACTGTGCCCGTCTCCGTGAGAAATATCTCGGCCCCGATCATCCTTACACCAGAATGACAGCCAGTCGCCTTGCCGAGTGGAGAGGAGAGCAAGACTCTCTCGGTGGTGCAGAAAGTAGCGATGGGCAGGAGATGGGGATGGAGCTCGTCTAACATCAGAGCCAGATCAAGGTGCGAGCGACAGACTGTTTATTTCTGTACTATTACTGACAACTCATAAACACAGGAGAATGTTCTTTCATAAGATTGAATTCATCCTATAGCCTGCTACATTCAGAATCTAACGCTGCATACCAAATTGGACGCCCTAGCACGCCAATTCCCTCTACAATATCTGCCCTCATGTGCCTACCCAGCTAGTACATGAACAGATTCCTCCATTCCAGGCTGCTGCAAAAGCATACCCCGGCGCAGCTTGTCAGAGGGTCTGCTCAGACTGAGCGATCAATTCATCTACCTCCTGCTGGGTGGGCAAGTTTACGATCCACATCCCTCCGACCCATCTTCTTCACCCTCCTCCCCTTCTCGTCTCTCTGTCTGCCCTTGGTCTGATCAGCCAGATGCTCCTTCTTTGCTCTGATCATGCGCTTGAAGGAATTGTCGTGGTGTGTTTTCGGGTCAATGGCTCCGCCCGTGAGCAGCGAGACCAGCGACCTGTTGTTTGCCGGATGATCTGGGTCGCTGTGGCGTGAAACAAAGGCCTGTCTCTAAGAAGAAGGGACGGTAGAACGACCAGTGCTGAGAGACCTATTATATATCCTGAATCACAACATTAAAAGAATACATGGCAGTTGCAATATTGAAAATGTTAGTCTAGATTGAGTTGGGATATATTCCAGGCTACTCTATTCTTCTGACTTGCATTGCTGTGACAATTGAACAGGTTCAATGGGTATGTTTGCCAATTCTCCCCGCGACAACCCTCTTACATTCGGCCAGGATGGCAGCCTGTCTTCCCACCTCGGCCAGACTGCCGACGACCTTCCGATTCCCCCCGACAAAGCCGTACAGGGCGTAGGGAATACCGACCTCGCGGCAGAAGGCCATGACCAGCTTCTGCACACGGCGCAGATTATGCCTGGGGACGCGCGGGAACAAGTGATGGATGGCCTGGAACTGCAGGCCGCCATGGATCCAGTCCAGCCACTCGGGACAGTCGACGTCCATGGTGGTGCGGAGCATGCGCTGGGGGAAGGACTCGGCGGGCCCCAGATCGACGGTCGACATGGCAAAGTGCGAGAGGGTGAACTGGACGTGCAGCGGCATGGTGACGGCGTGGCTGAGGAGGACGTATAGAATGCGGGTGCCGGCCGTGGGCAGCGAGCGGTAGACGATGCCGTAGCCAAACCAGGCCCAGAAGACGAGGTTGCCGAGGATCTCGAAGTAGCGGTGCCACCAGGCGAGCCCCTTGCGCGGGCCCTGGCCGTAGGCCAGGAACAGCCACGACTGCAGGTACAGGTTGAAGCGGCCGAGCATGAGGATGGGGTAGTACAGGTAGGCCTGGTAAGGGACCAGGCGCTGGGCAAAGGCCGTGTAGGGCATCAGGCGCTCGTGGTAGGAGGAGAAGAGGCTGCCGAGGAAGCGGTGGTTGACGGCCAGGAAGGGGAGATGCTGGTTGTCCGGGTCGTGTTCGGGCGAGTTGGTGACGAGGTGGTGGACGTTGTGCGTGCGCTTCCACCAGCCCAGCGACAGGCCGCCGATGGGGGCGGCGATGATCATCCCGATGAGGTTGTCGATGAAGAAGTCGTGCGTGATGGCCATGTGCGCGGCGTCGTGTGCGGCAAACACCATCTGCGACCAGAACCAGCCGAGGAAGACGGCGCTGGGGCAGTACCACTCGATGCGCAGGAACCAGAGCGCCATGGCGAACAGCAGGCCGCACCGCGCAAACTCCCACAGGTACGCGGTATACCGGCATTCGTACAGCCCCTCGGCCTGGATCTGCGCGTACAGCTGCCGGTACCGCTCGATGATGGTCGCCTGGGTCGGCACGTCCAGTGAGGGGTACCGGTCCAGGGTCAGGCTGATCTCCTCTTTGGTCTGAGCGTTCAGGAAGGCGAGCTCTTCGGGGCTGTTGCGCCCGGGGGACAGTCGGGCAGGGCCCTCGAGAGGCGCGGCGTGCTCGTTCATGGAGCCCCCGGCGCTCGCCTGGATGGGGGGGACGAGGTTCTCCCAGCGCCCTTCGATGCGTCCAATCCGGTACCGATGGAGCAGCTGGCGGGTTTCGGCGGAATGCATCCTGTTCCATCAGTCATAGTATTAGGCAATGGAAGCAGACATTGGAGCGATGTGTGGCCCATACACTCTAAACTCATCTGTGGCATCCTTGCCAATGAAATGCTCAATGGGCTTGTACCCGCCCGGATGGTAGGGGAGCCAAGCGTCGAGACGCAGGACCTGGTGGTCCACGATGACAATCGACTGGCCATTGGCAATCAGATCTTTGATATGCTCGGCAGACAGAATCTGGTCTCTTCCAGCGCCGGAATTGTTGCTTATCCCCATCTTGCCAGATATTCAATTGCTTCAGGGGATGGTCGACGGAAGGATTGCTGCTGCCTTGAACACTATAAATAGTGATCTGACTAAGCGGGGGAGCATTAACTATTATACTTGTAGATTAAATATAGTAACTACATTTATACTGTTGTACATGTACTATAAACAATCTGACGGATGGGCTCGATGGTCTATCAAATTCTGATGAATAAGGATACTCCGTACTGTATTAAGAGGTACCCTGCCTAACCAGCACTGCAACCCGCATGGCCAAGTCCCCCACGGAAGCCCCCGCCAGGATATCCAGCAGCGCAACCGACGTCCGCGTCCGCTTGTTGATCCACGCCCGCAGCTCGACGGCCGCGTGCGAGTCGACTCCGTACGCACTCACAGGCGACGCCGGCTCGATGCTCTCCCTGTCGACGGCGAGACTGGCGGCCAGCCGCGTCGCCAGCGCGGTATACACGATCGCCGCGGCGTCGTCGAGAGAGTCTGCCGTGGAGATGGCCTGATGAAGATCCTGTTCTTGTCTTTCGGTGGGATCTTCTGTTTCCTCGGTGTCATGAAGAAATTGGTGGCGGAAATGGGCGAACAACGGGGCGTCGAAATTGGACAGGGATCGGCCTTCTCTCCATCTCCCCAGCCCAGTCACGACTTGATATGTTCTTTCTTGATTGGTGATGACACTCTCCAGCAGCGCCAGGAGAGTCCTGGTAGACATGCCCTGGAACCCCTGTCGGGCCATTCTCGCAGCCAAGTCCCGGTTGAGAGCGAGATAGCCCGCGTCGGAGATGACGCCGAGATCAAGAGCGATGGTGGGCAGCCCGCGAGCAGAGCGGTAGGCCGCAAAGGCGTCCAGGAACGAGGACCCCGCGGCGTAGGCGGCCTGGGTAGCGTTGCCTATGATGCCGCTGATGGAAGAGAGAAGCAGGAGGAAGGGGGGCTGCTCGGTTGGCAAGTACCGGTGGAGATTCCAGACAGCAGAGTGTTTGGGAGCCAGCACGGCGGTGTAATCTTCCAGCGACATGTGTTGGATGTGTGTATCCTGACAAGACTTAGATGTGGCCTCGAACGTTCTTGGTAGGGGAAAAGACATACCCGTAGAACCATGGCGGCATGGATGACGCCGGCCAAGTCAGGAATGGAAAGCATCAATGCTTTCACCTGTTCTTCATCTGCGACATCACAGCAGGAGACGGTAACCTCCACTCCCTTGTCTAGCAGCATAGAGACCGTCTCCTGCGCAGAAGCAGTCGATGCCCCGCTGCGACTGACGAGGACGAGCCGTCGAGCTCCCCTCGAGGCCATCCACAGAGCCACCGCTCGACCGATGCCGCCCAGGCCGCCGATGAGCATGTAGGAGGAGGACGGGGAGAAGAGAGGGGTGGATGTTTGTTCGCAGCGGACCTACCTTGTTAGCAGAGAAATTCAAGGGAAACCGAAACAACCTACTTTGATGATATCTTCAGGGTTCATGGTCACCACCCCGGATGGATGATCTAGGACTTCTCCCAGACGAGAAGACAGGGGATGAAGATCTGGCGATGGAGCAGTAAGAATCCCCTGGTGGAAGAGAGGCATAACCTCCTTCCAGATGGTGTGAAGGATATCATTCCTCAGTTGGAAGACGTCCTGTCGACTGACGTGGCGGGAGCAAGAATCGACAGACTGGTCAATAGAATCATCCATATCAATAACGACATCAACTTTGTTTTCCCCGTTAGCATCCTCAATAAAAGCCCCCCCGTATCGACATAATTGAACCACCAACTGCGCGGTGAGTTGGTCCCCCCGGGCACGAACAAGCACTGTCTCTCCCGCCTGGACCTCCCCGAGCCGATGGACAAGGGCATATGCTTCACACGCCGGGACGGGCAGAGCAGCCGCCGTAGCGAAGGACATTTCGTCCGGAATGCGCTGAAAAGCAGCCACCTCGTCTGTATACCGAGACACAAGGGCTCCGGTTGCCGCCACACAGGCAACACGATCCCCGGGTGTGAACGCCGTGACGGACTCGCCCACCGCGCAGACGATGCCGCTGCACTGTCTGCCGAGCGGAGTATGTGGGTTCTCTGCGCTGACGAAGCGGTGGTCGGAGGGCAACAAGCCGACTGCTTTTACGGCGATACAGACCTGATCTGTCTGGAGGGTGGATGGGGGAAGAGACTGTGCGAAGAGGAGATCCGGGCCGTCCAGTCTGGCGGCAAAGACGTCTGCCTGTTGGAACTGCTGGTCACGGACAGTATGGCTCCTCTGGCGTTCCTTGATGGACTCGTGCAGGACAGCGTCAGAAACCACCCGTGGGATCATCAACGTGCCGTCCTGCTCGCAGTATTCGTCTTCACGAGATCTACTACTGTCATTATACACGAACCGGTGCTGGAACAGTCGCGCAATCAGATCGGCGGCCGTCTCGGGCGAGCCCCCGGCCAGATCTAGCGTGAAGATGGCGCTGCGGCCAGCCTCTGCGCGCGCCGTGCGGGCAAACCCGACAACGAGGCTGGCGTTGGGGTTAAAGGGATGGTCCCCTGCGCCCCCCTGCGTCACCCAAAGCAGGCCCCGGGAGCGTAACATGGCTGTCTTGACGCCGTCGAGGGAGGCGGCGGTGGGCTGCGATAGCGCCGAGGCAGACATGCTCAGCACAATGGCTAATGTGCCGGACAGGTCGGCCGTTTGGAAATCGGCGGTGGTCACCGAGCATGAAGACTCAAGCAAGGCGCAAAGGTGGTTCACGGAGACGTCGTCGCAGGGACCGTCGAGAGCGATCACCACGGGAGGATTGATGGGGGAGTCAATAGGGAGAAAAGGTGTAGCTATCACCACACGGGCGTCACGATATATAAGAGTCATACCCGATGGAATGTCAACCTGGCTGTCGACGAGGACCAGCCGGCCCCCAGGCTTCACGAGACGGAGATCACCGTTGACCACGACGTCGTATTGAGAAAGGGTATCATCGTCGTGTTCGGGGAGATTCACGTCGTCAACATGACTCAAGATAGAGATGTCTGGATGTTGATGCACGAGGAGGGCAAGATACGCGGCCAGGCCTGCGTGCACATCATCACGAAACATGGCCTGGAGATCAGACGCCGTCAGGAGATCCGGATCGGCCTTCCACTGCACGGTATACGCCAGAGGGAACTCTTCCTCTTTCTCGACGACGATCTGGCCAGGCAACCGGGCACAGCGCAAGCCAGAGATCGAAACTGAGGCAGTGGTTATATCCGCCGTGACGACGTCTCGTTCTTCCCGCACAATGGAAGAGACAGTCATTGAATCCGTCGCTGACGCACTGCCAATGCATATCTTTTCGATAAACACCGGGACCAAGGCTTCCTTGTTGGCAGTCATGGCGTCGAGCAGGGGAGGAAAGACGGCATGCAGCAGCCCATCCAGCGTCGCGGGGTGAATGAGAAAGGCCGTTTCAACCCCGTGTGGCATAGTCGACGAGGTATCCGGTACGGTCAACTGCGCCGAGCAGGTTGTAGATGTATATCTGATATGCGACAGATTGGCGAACGAGGGGCCGTATTCGAGTCCGCAGTCGTTCAGGCGGGAATAGAACGTGTTATCTTCGATGGAGAGTGAGTCGACTGAACCGATTGATCCAACACTAGATAATGTGGTCTTTGTATGAATATATCCCTGGCAATGCTCCGTCCACCGATCGACACAGGAATACACGCGGAACCGACCGTCAGATTGGAGGGTGACCAAGACTTCTGTCGGTTTGGTTTCATCCAGCACGAGGGCATTCGAGATGGATACATTCTCGAGACAGAATGGCGAAGCCATTGGAAACAGTCGAATCTGTCTGCACGCCTCTACCGCCATGACGATGTATCCCGCCGCCGGAAAGACAGTGTTGCCCTGGATGCGATGGTCGCGCAGCCACGGCAGCTCGGCCAGACGCAGGTACGTCCGCCAGCGCGGCTCCCACGGACACTGCATCGCGTCTGGCACGCCGAGCAGGTCGAGTCGGGGATGGCTTCGCAGGCGGTAGTTCCGGCTCAGGCGAGATTCGGCGGTATAAGAGCGGGAATGATTGAAGGCGTAGGGGGGGAGATCTGTCAATATAGTATTATCTGTAGATACCTCGCTGTCACTCGTTCCATGGTTAATCTCCCTCAGTCCGACTGAGTACCCCCTGGCGAACAGAGTCCCTGCCATGCGCAGAGCAGAGTAGATGGCGTCCTCCTTGCGGACCAACACGCTCGTATAGAAGATCTCAGTCAGACGTGGATCTCCACGCAGGATCTGCTGGATGGGACCGGCCAGGGCAGAATGCGGGCCAACCTCTACCAGTCCCTCGACGGCCGTTCCTTTCTTCATTCTCTTCTTCCGTTTGTCTTGTCGGCCCAGACACAGCTGCGCCAGAGACGGGGCAAAGCGGACCTGTCCGACCAGATTGGATACCCAGTACTCCACGCCGAGCTGGTCGAGACCCATTTCCTCCCCTGTGACGGAGGAGAAGAAGAGAACCGGAGAAGTCGAAGAAGAGGGAAGCAGAGTGATGTCCTCCAGAGACGCGCGGTATTCGTCTTCCACCCGCCGCATATGGTGGGAATGGTACGCCACCGAGACTGCCAGACGCCGATGGAAGATATTGTCCTTCTCCAACGTCTCGTCCAGCTGGGAGATCGCATCCGAGTCCCCCGACACCGTCACGCTGACAGGGCTGTTGACGCAGGCAACGATCACCCGTCCAGAGTAAGCGGCCAGGTACTGTTCGACGGCATCCACGCCCAGCCCGACCGCCATCATCCCGCCCTGCACCGTCGTATCTTGAGTGAGACGCGCAGCACAGCGGCCCCGGTGGTACGCCACAGCCATTGCGTCGCGCCGCCCGAGTGCCCTCGCAGCGTAGGCGGCAGCGATCTCGCCGCTGGAGTGGCCTGTCACGGCGGCGGGGGTGATGGCCCACGAGGCCAGCAGGTCTACCAGAGCGATCTGCAGCGCAGTGCACGCTGCTTGGCTGTACAGGGGGGTATTCACGTCGTGGTCACCGCGGAGGATTTCTAAGGTAGAACAGGTTAGTAAGATCGGATTTCAGGTAAAGAGTAAGGAAGGATAGAATACCTTTGATTGTGAATTCTGCCCCCATCAAGGCCAACTCACGATCAATCTGGTCGATGCTCTCTCTAAACACTCGATATCCATGCAGTGCTTGTCCCATCCCCGCCCACTGGGCGCCCTGCCCGGTAAAGACGAAGCCGAGAACGGGAGGGCGGGAGAGCGCACGAACAGGTTTCGACGACGACGACGACAGGGTGGCTGCCAGCTCTTCCGCTGAAGATCCCACGGCCGCCGTGCGGAATGGAAACAGCGTGCGATGGTGGTTGATCGTGTTGGCCAGTCGGTCCAGATCAACCGGGTGGTCGGTGAGATACTCTGCCAGACGGGCAGCATTCCCTCGGCAGGCTGTCTCGTCGAAGCCGGACAAGATGAAGAGTTTCGGCGATGGTTTCTCCAGCAGGACGTCCTTGCACTGGCAAAACGGCGCGGGGTAGTTTTCCAAGATGACATGGGCGTTGCTGCCCCCGTATCCGAAGCTATTGACCGACACGCGCCGGAGGGGAGCCGTCCACGGTTCCACCGTTGTTTGGACCTGAATGGTTAGAGAGATACCAAGGCAAGGGTTATGGATAGAGGTACCCTCAAGTTCCATTTCTCCAGGTCGATTTTAGGATTGACGGTTTCGAAATTCCGCCCAGGGAGGAAGACGCCCTGTTCCAGCATGAGAACCGCCTTGATCACACCCGCCAGCCCACTGGCACCCTCGAGATGGCCGACGTTTGTCTTCACAGAGCCGATGCGGAGGGGCTCCTCACGGGGGGAATCACCCAGACAAAACACCCGGGCAATTGCCCCCGTCTCGATCGGGTCCCCCGCGGGAGTGCCTGTGCCGTGCGCCTCGACAAACGCCGTCTGCCGGGGATCCAGACGGGCGGTGTCGTACACGCTCCGGATCAGGGATTCCTGGGCCTCGCCACTCGGCAGGGTGATCCCTGCCGTGCGGCCGTCCTGGTTGGATCCCGAGCCGCGGATGATGGCCCGGATGGGATCGCCGTCGCGCAGGGCCAGCTCCAGCGGTTTCAGCACGAGAGTGGCGATGGCTTCCCCGCGGGCGTACCCTGATGCTCGGTCGTCAAAGGTATAGCAACGCCCAGAGGGGGAGAGGAACCTAAAGGATTAGCAATGCAAGTTCAACAGTCAACCACATACAAAGTTCAACATAACCCATACTTCATCATGCTCATGGTCGACATGAACTCATGGCTGAGGATGAGATTGACGCCCGCCGCGACGGCAGCAGTGGCCTCGCCGCTGCGGAGGCTCTGGCACGCCAGATGCAGGGCGACCAGACTGCCCGAGCAGGCCGTGTCGACCGTGACGCTGGGCCCGCGCAGGTCGAAGAAATACGAGAGCCGGTTGGCGACCATCGCGCGGCTCTGCCCGGCGTTCGTGCACTGGTACATGGGGATGGCTTCCGGGTCGCGTAGCAGCAGGTCGGTATAGTCGCCGCAGAAAGAGGCCACAAAGCACGAAGTGGGTGTTTTGGCCATTCGATGGAGCGGGATTCCAGCTGAACAGTAAGTATAGTTGTGTTAGTGTTGATTAGGGAGCATACCGTTCTCGAATGCTTGGTAGGTGACTTCTAATAGCAGACGCTGCTGGGGGTCCATCGCCTGGGAGTATCAGTATAGTATCAGTAAAGTTAAGGTTATCAGGGAGTTGGTGATACCTCTGCTTCATCTGCGGTCAGGTTGAAGAAAGGAGCATCAAAGGCCATGACATCCTCAGACATAAAGTGGCCCCCAGGGACGTTGATCTACACATTAGAGATGACAACATGGCGAGAATGATTCTACGACCTTACCTGGCCATATCGCGAGTGGTCTGGATGGTAAAAGGCCTTTGCATTCCAGCGCTGCGCGGGGATCTCACTCCACGCCTCGCGGCCCTGGGCGACCATCTCGTACAGGCCGCGGACATCGCGGGCATCGCCGGGGCCGCGGAAGGCCATTCCCACAATAGCAATGGACATTTGATGAGAAGTAGTCTGGTACATTGGATTGATCCTCTAAGCTTTAAGCTCTAGCTCTATGCTTAGAGCTCTACTTATAGCTCTTCGCTCTACTATGCGATAAATTCCCGAACGGCAAGAAAGTAGAAGAAATAGAAAAGAGCCGAGATGACACATAAGAATACATTCAGCAATGATTCGGAAACAAAGACACATCCACCGCCATCTTACGGATCGCTGCCGCCATCCGCACCACGTTCTTCCTGTCCCCCGGGATCTCGTGGCCACGCGAATGCACCACCAGCCCGGCAGAGGCCGGCTCGCACAGGGCGTGCAGGGCCAGCGAGTACGGGCGCAAGGCATCCTGGGCGCCCACGATGCTCACCGTAGGCAAGGCCAGCGGGTGGCCGGGGGCAAGCAGGTCCCTCTCGATCGCCGGGCGCTGGCCAGGCGCCATGCGGAACGGTGGCAGCGAGTTGACAAACACTGCACACCGCACCGGTAGTGGTAGGGGCCCCCGGGGCAGGGGCCCCCGGGGCAGATCACCCCCCCAGGGCAGACCACCCCCCCCGCGAGCCTGGCGCAGCAGGTATCCCGCGGCCAGGACCCCCCCGTGCGAGAAGCCCAGCAGGCCGTCAAAGGGGCCCTCCCGGGCGATGGTCTCGTCGAGCATGGCGTACGCTTCGGCCAGGACCGTCTGGTCGTGCGGTTCCTGGTCGCCCCCGCGCAGGGGGAACGGGTGGTAGCTCCAGTAGGGGCCCTCGTAGACGCCTGCAATGCCCGGGCCCGGGTCGGATTCGATCTCGCCCTCGACAAAGTGGAAGCTGGCCGTGTGGTCGCGTTCCAGCTCGGCCATTAACGGCTGCAGTTGGGCCCGGAGGATCTATCAGGGTTAGTACAAGCAGGGTTGGGTTGACTGGCGGCAAAACCTTTTCACTTGTCCCCCACCCATGCAGACAGAGAAATCGGAGGGGCATGATAGATAATTGCTAATAGGTGATTGCTAATAAATAGATAGATGGTTAGTATACTAATAGATAGATAGTTAACATGCGTATTTATACCGTCCGGTCTTTTTTTGGTTACACAGGAAGTCGCCGGTCGGTAAGTTCGATGCTATACGCCGAATTACTTATACAGATACCCTCATTTATCGGGACTATTCACCACTACATCACTAACTTTACATACTTGACTACATAGTAGATGTTGTATGTAGTAGACGGATAACCGAATCCGGAAACCCGGCTGACGTCATGTCAGATAAGACCACCGGTAAGACCAGACAGAGTAGTTATATTCTATCAATCAATATCTATCAATCAAATTTCTATCAATCAATTTCTGTCAATCAAAAATGCAATGCAATGCCATGCAATGCAAGACCAAGTCGTGCACACGCGTCTTATCAGTTGCCACCGCGGCATCCCGAAAGTCGCCCCACGGAGTTACGCCGGCCATCGCGGTCTAGACGGTTATTCTTAGGAAACCTTGCCAAGTGGGCGCAACAATTTCTTCCTCTTCCTCTTCCACTCTTTTATTCTTCCTCTCCCTCTTCATCTTCCATCGTATTCTTCTCCCTCATTCTAGACAGTATCCCCATGTCGTCGCCCGAGGGCTTCCCGCTGCTCGACCTCCGGCCGACCGACAGCGGCCGCACTGAAGAAGAGCCCGCCGTCGAGCCGCCGCCTCCCTCGCCCGACCGTGAACGTCCACGCAATCCCAACCGTGTTCGCTTCCACTCCATCCACCACACGACGACGAGGACTCCGGGCGAAGATGACGAACCGCCGCGGGACTTCTTTCCTCCGCACTCGCTACACGCTCTCAATGCCTCGACCGATATGACGGACCTGCCGCTGAACGACCGATCGCCGTTTGTGGGACAGCCCGGGCCGGCAGAGAAGACACCACAGCTCGTGGAGGAAGACAAGCCACAGGATAGAGGAGATGGAGACAAGACGAATCGCTTCAAGGCGGCCGGCCAGGTGCTCCGCCAGAAAACGGTGCGTCTGACGGAGCGGCTGGGCCGCCCAGCCGACGAAGGCGAGGCGTTGATGCCCACGTCGTCCACCACGACGACAGCGACCGACACGCCGCCGCGCCGCCCGTTCTACCGCCGCCAGCATTCCGACGGGGCAGACAGCACCCGGTCGCTGATCGACGGGGCCAGCTCCGAGGCGCATCGTCTGGTGCGCTCGTTCGGCTGGTCCGCCGAGCCTGTCCGACTGCGCAAACCGCGCAAGCCGTACCTGCGCTCCGGGTTCAGCACGCCCGACGGCCAGACCACCCCGACGGACACGGCTCCCGCGGGCGGGGGATACTCGCATGTGCGCATGTCCAGCGGCGGGGGCGGAGGCGGAGGCGGGATCCTCTCGCAATTGCTGCGGCTGCAGGCCAGCCAGCAGTCGAGCCGCGACAGCGACTATTACTCGTCCGACGACGAGTCCCTGAGGGGGTCCTCGGGGACGGCGACGCCCGTGGCGCCCGGGGCGATCACCCCCGGGGGCACGATGACGGGGTACTCGACGCCCAAGAAGGAGAAGATCAAGTGGTACAAGAAATCGCACCATCGGTCGACCTCGTCGCTGGTCGAGGCGTCGATGAACCTCAGCCGGGCGAGTCTCCCGGCCACGGCGGACTTGATGCCGGCGTCCACGCCGCAGCAGCAGCATCACGGCAAGCGCAGCAGCCGGCGCAAGAACCGCCTGGAGGAGGAGATCCGGGTGACGGTGCACATCGCCGAGATCCTGGCGCGGCAGCGCTACATCATGCAGCTGTGCCGGGCGCTGATGCGCTACGGGGCGCCCACGCACCGGCTCGAGGAGTACATGGTGATGACGGCGCGGGTGCTGGAGGTGGACGGGCAGTTTCTGTACCTGCCCGGCTGCATGATCATGTCCTTTGACGACGCGGCCACCCGCACGGCCGAGGTGAAGCTGGTCCGCGTCGGACAGGGGGTCGACCTGGGCCGGCTGGCGGAATCGCACAACGTGTACAAGAATGTGGTGCACGACCTGATCGGCGTCGAGGAGGCGATCCAGGACCTCGACGACATCATGAAGCGCAAGCCGCGCTACAACCGCTGGCTGCTGGTGGGCATGTACGGCTTCGCCAGCGCCGCCGTCGGGCCCTTTGCCTTTGGGGCCCGCCCGATCGACATGCCCATCATCTTCATCCTCGGCTGCCTGGTCGGCTTCATGCAGCATGTGCTGGCCCCGGCCTCGGTCCTCTACTCCAACGTCTTCGAGGTCACCGCCGCCGTGCTGACCTCCTTCCTGGCCCGCGCCTTTGGCAGCATCTACCGGCCGGGCACCGACGAGCGGCTGTTCTGCTTCTCGGCCCTGGCCCAGTCCTCCATCGCCCTCATCCTGCCGGGCTTTCTGGTCCTCTGCAGCAGTCTCGAGCTGCAGTCGCACCAGATCATTGCCGGCTCCATCCGCATGGTCTACGCCATCATCTACTCCCTCTTCCTGGGCTACGGCATCACCGTCGGCCTGACCATCTACGGCCTGATGGACGGCAGCGCCACCTCGCAGCAGACCTGCACCAACTCGAGCGCCGCCTACGGCAACGAGTACCTGGAGCGGTTCCCCTTTGTCGCCATCTACTGCGTCTTCCTCGCCCTCATCAACCAGGCGAAATGGAAGCAGATCCCCGCCATGGTCCTCATCGCCGTCCCCGGCTACATCGCCAACTACTTCAGCACGAAGCGGCTGGGCTCCAGCTCCGAGGTCGCCAACACCGTCGGCGCCTTCACCATCGGCGTGCTCGGCAATCTGTACAGCCGCATCTGGCACGGCCATGCCGCCACCGCCATCCTGCCGGGCATCTTCGTGCTCGTCCCCTCGGGGCTGGCCTCGAGCGGCTCCCTCATCGCCGGCCTCGAGTACGCCAACGCCGTGAAAAACGACTCCGCATCCTCCTCTACTTCCACTTCCTCTTCCACTTCTGTTGCCAGCCTGGGCTTCGGCATGATCCAGGTCGCCATCGGCATCACCGTCGGCCTGTTCATGGCGGCCTTGATTGTTTATCCGTACGGCAAGCGCAGGAGTGGCTTATTCAGTTTCTAGACTTAGACTATACCACGAATAATGATAATACAATGCAGTCACTTCACTCGTAACGTGTAAAGTACGGAGTACGGAGTACGGTAACTGAAATAAACTCGATTGGCTGCCAAGTGCGGGGTGACATCACAACTATACTCCGTATTATGGTTATACTAAATGTAGTTGAAGCAAATTGCAGATATATTTATAATAATCACTACCTCTATTCATAGTATAGGTAGTTCAGATCATGTACTCCATAGCCAAGCCAGAATCATAAACCCCGCAATAAGGCACTCAGAGATATATTAACTGGCCTATAGTGTCATCGACTAATAGCTAGTCAAGCACTATTTAGCCAGTTCAAGTCAGGCGAGCACATGGCAGTATGCCTAGGTATGGTCATGAGGACAGAGCACTGGTATGCCAGTCAGGAAATACTCAATACTACTCTTCACAGGGAAACCCAGAAGCATGTGTGCCTTGCCGAGGTGCTCCTCTGTACAGTAGATCAAGGTAAATCTTAACCCTATTTGTGGATGAATCAGGAATAAATGAAGTGGCTTGGTGAAAGCGAGCAACCCCTCTTGGAGTGGCCACAAAGCCCACGCCTATTTATGGCCTGTTGATGCTCTGCTTGTCTCTCGACAGTCTTGCACTGTTTATGTCCAGATGGGTCAATCCTCCTCCTCCAGCGGCTATGTGGCTGCTCCGTACTATCCCACGCCGCATGGCGGTTGGATATCCTCATGGGACAGCGCGTACTCCAAGGCGCAAGCATTGGTCGAGCAGATGTCCTTGGCGGAGAAGACCAACATCACTGCTGGATCGGGCTACTACATGGGTGAGTTTGACATTTTTAGTGGATATATATCTCTGCTAATACATCTTCCAGGGTGAGTGGCGGTATCTACAGATACTCTGCAGAATAACTAATTTTGTAGTCCCTGTGTGGGCAACTCCGGCAGCGCTCCCCGGCTGGGTTTCCCCCAGCTCTGCTTAAACGATGGCGCCCTGGGGGTCGCCTTGACCACCAACAACACCGCGTTCCCGGCGGGGATCACCACGGGCGCAACCTGGGACAAGGACCTGATGCTCGCTCGCGGGGAGGCCCTGGGCGCCGAGTTCCGCGGGAAGGGCGTCAACGTCTTCCTGGGCCCGGTGGTCGGCCCCCTGGGACGGAAACCCTTGGGCGGCAGAGGGTGGGAGGGCTTCGGGACCGACCCTGTCCTCCAGGGCTGGGGCGCCTACCAGACCGTCCTGGGGGTGCAGTCGCAGGGGGTGATTGCGACCATGAAACACTTGATCGGCTACGAGCAGGAGATGTACCGCATGACCGACATTATCCAGCAGGGATACAGTTCAAATATTGGTATGTTTATATATATATGTGTGTGTGTCTGTATGTGTGAGTGTGTGTTGAGCTTATAGATGATCGAACGATGCATGAGCTCTATCTCTGGCCATTTGCCGAGGGCGTCCGGGCGGGCGCAGGGGCAGTCATGGCGGCGTATAACAAGGTGAACGACTCGTCGTGCTCGCAGAACAGTTACCTGATCAACGGCCTGCTCAAGGACGAACTGGGCTTCCAAGGGTTCATCATGTCGGACTGGCTCGGCCAGTACGTCGGGGTGGCCTCGGCTCTGTCGGGCCTCGACATGGCGATGCCGGGCGACACGATGATCCCGCTCATTGGAGAGTCGTACTGGATGTACGAGCTGACGGCGGCAGCTTTGAACGCGTCAGTGCCCATGGACCGGCTCAACGATATGGCCACGCGCGTGGTGGCCGCCTGGTACCAGATGGGCCAGGACGAGGACTTCCCCGACGTCAACTTCTCCACCAACACCGAGGATGAGGACGGCGAGCTGTACCCGGGGGCGCTCCTCTCCCCCTCGGGCCAGGTGAACTGGTACGTCGACGTGCAAGGGAACCACAGCCTCGTCGCGCTGCAGGTGGCCCAGGATGCCGTCACGCTGCTCAAGAATAACGGGAGTGTCCTGCCCCTGTCCAACTCGAGCGCCCTGTTCGTGTTTGGCACCGACGCGGCCGTCAACCCGGACGGGCCCAACGACTGCGCCTATAGGGCCTGCAACGTGGGCACTCTGGGCATGGGCTGGGGCTCCGGGACGGCCAACTACCCCTATTTCGACGACCCCATCACCGCGCTGGAGACACGCGCGGAGAGCGTCAGCTTCCACAACAGCGACACCTTCCCGTCGTCAGTGACTGCCTCGGATGCCTCGGACATCGCCATCGTCTTCCTCACGTCGGACTCGGGCGAGAACAGCTGGACGGTGGAGGGCAACTACGGCGACCGCAACGAGGCTGAGGAGACGCTCTGGTACTCGACCGACGCCCTGGTGACGGCCGCTGCCGCCGTGTATGAGACTGTTATTGTCGTCGCCCACACGGTCGGTCCGATCAACGTCGAGGCGTGGATCGATCTGCCGCAGGTCAAGGCCTTTGTGGTGGCCCATCTGCCCGGCCAGGAGGCGGGCGAGTCGCTGATGAACGTGCTCTTCGGCGACGTCTCGCCCAGCGGCCACCTGCCCTACTCCATCACCAAGGCGCAGACGGACCTGCCGGCCACCATCGCCGATCTGGAGGGGTTTTCGCTGGACCAGATCGACGACGACTTCACCGAGACGCTGTACATCGACTACCGCTACCTCACCGCGAACAACATCACGCCGCGCTACGCCTTTGGCGCCGGTCTCAGCTACACGACCTTCTCCTTCACCGACCTGGCCATCACCGCCGTCACCGAGCTGACCGAGTGGCCGCCGGCGCCCCCGGCCAAGGGGACCACGCCCGCCTACAACACCTCCATCCCGGACTACACCGAAGCCGTGCAGCCGAGCGACTTCACGACCATCTGGCGCTACCTGTACTCCTGGCTGAGCGAGAGCGACGCCAAGTCGGCCTACGAAGCCGGCCAGGACGGCTCGACCTACCCGTACCCAGCAGGCTACAGCGACAACCAGACGGCAGGACCGCCGGCGGGGGGCGGCCAGGGCGGCAACCCAGCCCTGTTCGACACGATGTTCCAAGTCTCCGTCAAAGTCACCAATACAGGGCCGACGTACTCGGGAAAAGCGGTCGTGCAGGCGTACCTTACTTACCCGGCAGGGATCGACTACGATACGCCGCCCATCCAGCTGCGAGACTTTGCCAAAACGGCTACGCTGGCGCCGGGGGAGAGCACGACGGTGACCCTCGAGATCAACCGCAAGGCGTTGAGTGTGTGGGATGTCGAGGCCCAGAACTGGCTCATCCCGGAGGTCGGCGGACGGTACACTGTCTGGATCGGAGAGGCCAGTGACCTGCTTGACCATGCCTGTTATACAGATACTTTGGAGTGTGGTGCTAGTTAGCTGTAGGTTCGTGTGTAGGTTCGTGAATAGTATCTATATCTATCTCCCATCCAGATATCGCATACTATAGCATACTAGAAAGAAATGGATAATCAAGTCTTCTACAGTATTGGTGTATAGAAAAGTCGGCTACTCCTGTCATACCTTGGCTGCCATGATGGCAACATCTTGACCATCCCAACACCGTTGTAAAGGTGCCTGGCAGGTAAGACCTGAGAGCCTGGATATATAACGAGGCCATATACTGCCCGATCCTTTTATATAAGGGATCCAGTGCCAACGACGGTGAAAGACTTCAGCTCGAAGTATCTGCGATAATTGATTATCGAACACCTGTTGTGCCAGGCGATCCATGTCCTTGACTGCACCGGCAAGCTCGCGGCCGTGGATAAAGTCAAAGGGGCGATTGAACGGCAGTCAGACTCCAATATTCCCACTCAATTCGATTTCTCACTCCATTCCAGTTGAATGCGGCTCAGGTCGTTTCCGATCACCTCGGCCGATGGATATTGACCAAGGCATGCTATCAACATAATGTATTATCGGTGCAGCTCAGAACCGAATATAGAAACGCACTCAGCAAAGTCCATGGCCAGATTCCTGTTCCGGTGCCAATGTCCAGCATACGATGCGGATTCCAATTCTCCGCCTAGAATTATGCCGTATATGTGATGGAGGGGATCAAGGCGGTTTGTTCAGCTAATGAGTTCAGGTTCAGTGGGTTGGTTAAGAGCCATTGGAAGTTGAAGAAAGAAAAGATGGTTGATTATCCTGATCAAGATCATCCAGGAAAGAAGGGGAGGTGCTTAACATTTACAGGGGTTCCAGGATTCTACTCTGAAGATACCAATATCCTGGAAAGAATACTTGATGATCCCTGTGAAGCCATATGAGAGGACAGTACTGATAGAGATGGGTCTATGTCCTCAGTCTAAATGATCTCCATCTATATTTATTCCAGATTATTTATCAAGATATGGTATTGGTGGGGCTATATATATCACCTAACTGAATATACTGCTGGAAAGCAGTATATTGAATGCCTTTTTAGTTGAGTGGTTAGGTGCTAGGCTAGGAATTTCTCAAGATACTGTCACCTCATACTAATGCAGTGATACAGCCTTGGTTCAGACCTGTATATCGAGCGCAGTTCTTTCCGGCTAGATATATGGTAGCATGGCTCTACTTCCTGCAAGACAAATTCGGAGCCATGCCACCCTCTCTAGTATCTACAGTCCGGAGAATCATGTGTCTAAGATAAATGACCCTGAGATCTACTGACCAATTTATATACAAAAGCTGCCTAAAGTAGTCATACTACAGTAGACATATCTGGAACGAGTCTATCAGGTCATTGACAAACATTGATACGAATAATAGCAATATCCTGTAGTACTAAGAGACTATTCTAGCTTCGTCTTCTGCCTGTCTTTGCCGTCTTTTCGATCAATCATAACAGTTCTGGGTGATCTTGTCGAGAAAATTGACGCAGCCATCATTCTTGTTGAACCATTTACACTGACCACCGGTACAGGTGAACCCGAACTTGATATAATAGAAATTGGCGCTGTTTGCTTTCCGTTCCCATCCGCCACACTCTGCGTCCGCCTTGCAGGTCTTTCCTTCGACCGAATAGCGACTCATACAAGCTCCTTGATAGCATGCATAACCATCCGTCACGCAGTCTGCAGTTTTCTTGCACACCTGCCCATACCCGGAGGTGATGGGTGCTCCACACACTTTCGGAAACATACTGTCTGCCTCGCCGCGGTTGATCTGACACTTGGCTGGTTCCCTGTTGATGATAAACGAAGAGCAATCGGCGTCCGTATAGCAAGGTGTCGCCGCATTGGGAGCACAAGCATTCTCCCAGCAAAGGTTTGACTCGCATTCGTAAAAAGACGAGCATGCTTCGCGGAGAGGCTTCTTGACCTGGCAGACGTAGTCCGAATCACACCAGGCGACACTGCTGCAATCGCCGGGGCTGGGACACCTCCCTCCGTCGGTTCCATCTGAACGACACTGGTATCTCTCGCAAATCGTGCCTTCGGTACAGCCAAAGCCTTTGTCCAGATCACAGAAGTCTCCGGAGTAGCCTTCACTCATGCATTTACCATCGAGGCAGGCTAGATGGCCTTGGCATGGATCGCTGTACGCGGCGTTGCATGCCTGGCCCTGCTCACCGGGGGCTTGACAGATCGAATACAAAAGTTCGTCATCATCTTGCGCCATGACTTCCTGACAGGATCTGCCATCCCCACAGTCCGAATCCTCATCGCATTCTGTGTGTTGCTGCACATCGATATACCGGCACAGGCCGCGAGTGCACTGGGCCCCGTCGGGACATTGGTTGCCCACGTCTGCCTGGCAGGCGTCGCCCACCTGCACTTTAGCATCGCAAGTCGAGTATAACAGGCCGCCCTGGGCGTCCGTGACCACATGGCAGAATTGGTCATTCTCGCAGTCCGAATCTGATTGGCAAGCCGTGTGTTGGGCGACGTTGATGAAGCGACACAGTCCCGCGGTGCACTGCGCTCCATCCGGACAGGGGTTGCAGTTTGTCTCGCCGAAGCACTGGCTGAGCTCACCAGCAGGGCAGGCATCGCCCACTTGTACCCTGGGCTGGCATAAGCCTGTCCAATACGTTCCACCACTGATATCTGTCTCCACTTGACAGTATTGACTCGCAGAACACGGTTTATAGGGAGTGCAAGGCTGAGACGGGACCTGGGCATGAGCAAGAAGCATCCAGGTAAAGAAGAGAGGTGTAGACAGCCACATGGTGAAACGATACAACCCAGCAGGACATTCAAATTTTGGATGATGTAGTACCAAGACAATGCTCTAGATATATTCCACATGTTCCTCTTGAAATTCTTCCTTGCGCATTCTTCATCCCTAGAATCTGTCTAACTCTAAGTGCATGACAGCAAGGGGGGGGTATGCCTGTAATAATGATGAGATTACCTATAGTGTCAGCTGACTCAGATCCAGTCTATAAACTCGAGTAAGTAATTGTTGAATTTTAAATAAGCTGCTTGGCATTGAAGTTCATGGCACCCAGAAATATAATGTGCAAAGCGTATTCCTGCTATATCAGCAGCTTAGATCTCAGTCTCGAGTTTTCTACATCCACGTAGATCGGCCTGATATTGAATAGGCCCGGACCTGCGTAAATGGCCCAAGGATTTCGAGCGAAATAGTATTCCAACCGAGCTTAACATACATTTATGCAAAGAGGCATGTTTTGTGTTTTTTTTTTATCCTGTACGCCACACAGCCATGGCATCCCAGTCGTGGATGATTCCGCGGGGACTGTCGGAATGTCGTCGAAGATCCAGATGAAAGAATCATCTAGGGGGTCAATACTCGTTGGACAGTGATCTCAACCCAATTTGTTTGATCCCTAGAATATAAGTTTGGTGACTCTGTTTGTGGTCAGGCTGTAGGCTGCCAGCTGTGGTCGTAGACTACCTCAGATTTGGTATTGTAATCCGTGATTGTGGCAGGGTACTTACCCGTCTCTCCAAAATCTATGGTAGGGCTCGACCGGAATGTATCGTTCGCATGAGATAGCTTTTCTCCTTAATCTTAGTGGTCATCAATATATTCCTGCTTTCTGTTGCTTCAAGATGTCTCATTACGCCTTTAGGACCCATTGGAATAGAAGGAAGAAAGGGTCACACAGCGTTGTCCTCGAGTTGTAAACTATCCGTCGGCGAGTAAACAAGGAAACCCCTACAGAAGGAGCCCCATCGTCTCGTCCTTTATAGCGGGGGCATTGCATTCTTGGCTTTAAACTTGGTCAAGGCCTCTTGAGCATGCTTCAAATTCTCAATAGGGTTCCAAGAATTTTGTAAGAGGAAACATCCCCGTTTAACCAAATAGAGGTTGGGATTTCGTATCCGGGTCATGGCCTTTCTGATGAAGGATTTTAGCAGGGATACATGGAAGATTAGGTGCAGTTGATATAAAGTATTCGTCTGCTTTGCAAAGATGTGGGAAACCCTACGAAGGAATCTAAGATGGTAGGGATTATATGTTTTTGCTGTAGAGGAGGATCTCATCGTCATCTAGCTAGCTACATAAATATGATAAAGCAGTGCATGCAGGTCATTTCGGAGAATTTCCGAACCCCGGATCTCCGGAAATGGACGATGTTAGATGAAGATTGTTCTTCATTAGATTAGCCGATCTGACATGTATGACCCATGGTTAAATCCAGTATCTACTCTATGTGCAAGGAAATAACGAGTATGCATTACTCGAGCGAGCCACCAGGAAGCGATAGCTATACGCCTGCACGGTGTGCCTTGACTTCTTCAATGGTGCTCGTCTATGGGCCTACGGGTGTGACGCGTTGTTACATTCATGTCCTCCCAAACTGTCCGTTCGAGGATCAGGATTAGATGCTTGTATTGTCTACATTGATAAGTTGCTGCTCTACTTTGTATTCTACAATTATTCATAGATGGCATGGCCACAGTTGCCGTTTGAAACCGCGTAGTCTTCCGCACTGGTGGTTAGAAGAATCTTGGCATAATCTGCCGACTCGGAGCAGTAGGCAGTGGTGGTGTCGATATTGAAGCAATAGCCGTCGTCGAATAAGGACAAGGCGCAGAGGGAGTTCTCGATACAGGTCACGCAACAGTCGTACGCTGTCGAGCCGGAAGTCACTTTGATCGAAGCATCCTCAATGCCAGAATACTGCACCTGGTAAATGTATAGGCCTGCTAGGGAGCCAAAGTCAGAGGAGAGCGGCGCGCCGGCGATGTTGTTCGTCGCGCAGGCGGCGTAGAAGCTAGTAGTGGTCACACCCGTCGTGATGGTGGACGTGACGATCAGCGTGGTGATCGGGGTCGCTGCGGTGCTGGTCTCCGTGAGGGTTGAGGTGGTGCCGTAGCTCAGCGTCGTCGACACATCCCCAGGCACCACCGTGGAGGTGCTGGTGATTGTCGCAGTGTCTGTAGCAGTCGCGGTAGGCGTGGCAGCCGTGGAGGTGGCAGGTGTAGCAGTGATGGTCGAGGTGGTGGTGGTATGAACGGTGACCTTTGCCACACATTCCACTGCTGTGGCATACTGGTAGTCGTCCACCCACTGGCCGCCGCATGTGTCCTCCTCCTGCTCAAGAGAGCGCTTGTTGGCTGCTCCTGTCGCGGTCACTGTGTCGACGATGGGCGTGAAGCCGGCCGGAGTAGGGATGGTGGCGGTGCTGGTGACACTGGTCTCAATGACGGTCGTCTCCGTGAATGTAACGAGCGTCGGGGTGATGGTAACAGTCGTCGTGGCATACTCGGTAGAGGTCGTCGAGAAGGTGTCTGTGGCCGTCAGAGCGGTGGAAGTGATAGTGTCCGTCTCATAGTCAGTCAACGTCACTGTCGTCGTGTCAGGAGTCACTGTGACTGTGTCCTGGACAGTCGTGTATACCACCACAGGGTTCGTATCGTGGATCGTGCGAGTGATGCTCGTCGTGGGGATGGAAGCGACCGACGTTAAGCCCAGCTCCGAAAAGCAAGTGACAGTAGTAGAAGGAACGTAAATGTAACTGCTGCTGGCCACGGCAGAGGAGGAACCGGCCGAGGCTTGGCCCAGCAGGAGGCCTGCCACAAGGGCCAGAGAGAGAGACATGGTCAGGATTCTGATTATCGGAACAGCTGATCAGGACGAAAGTATGCGATATTATTATTGCAACTTCTCAGGTATCTAAAGAGAATACTGCTCCAGCCCCCCCTATTTGACCTTGTCGGCTATTATCGCCATAATTGACGAGGATGAACCCTTAGAAACCTTAAGGTAATTGGATCGACTCCTGGGTTGACCCACAGGCAGGCCCAGAGTCAACAATACAGAGTACAGAGTACAATTTACAAAGTAGAGAAATTTGGCGACGAAAATCAGGACTTGTCGAGTCTGTGTCTAAATTGGCGTATATCTGCGCCACGCGAGCGTAAAACCTCAATCATTCCTGTTCTCTCTGATCTGTACCACTGACCATTTCTCCCAAGGGCTTGGTAAACAGATCGTCCTGATGCTCTTCCTATCCTGCTTACTTCTACAACAAACACTACGTACCCGCAAGATGAAATACGTTTCGTCCCATTCTGCAAAGCCAAACCTGACTGGTAGAGACTGAATTCTGTTCCAAAAGATTCTCTATTTTAATACGATAAGCAACTTTCCGCATCCTTCGCTCTATCCAATGTAGTTGTCGAGGCCCTGACAGCTCTGGAAGGTGTACTTTCGCCAGTTTGTAAATGTACTCATGGCAGTCTATCGTTTCCTGCGACTCCGTCTAACTGTATTTCACTCAAACATTCATTTCCTGAATTCACTGTATCAAGGCAGTGGACTCACTGGCGTACCTTTACAGACACCAACCCACGCCCTCCTACTATTTAGACATCACCGTAGGCTCTGAGATTGGCTCTTCAAGCACCTCTCGGAGAGGAAGATCACCTATACTAGCTTTGAGAGACTGGTTTTGGACTCCGGCTCGGCAGGTGTGGCTGCTGACTTTATGATACGGACAGACCTCCTCGGGCAGTGTCGAGCAACCAAGAGGGATTTATGCGGCTCGACGACCTGGGTTCGTCTAGGCTAGCCAAGAAAAGCTGTTTAGCAAGATAAACGATAAAAGTGGTGAAGTCCGCACGGCGCAGAGTTGGTATGCACCCATGCTATTACCAGAGAGGGCTAAGAATTAGCACCCACCATAGACCGATGCTCCCTCTTATTATATATTTGCTTTGTCGACTGTTGTTCCATACACTGCCCCCCAGCTCAGCCTAGCGTTCAAGATGTATATACGTTAACTGGGATGCTCGATTTCTAGAGTTCAACTCCACTGTCATAGTAGACGTAGTAAATGAAGGCGGCATAGGCATAAATACCACTACTTCTTCTTCTATCCTCCACAACAAGGGGACAGATTGTGACCTACGTAATTCCTGCTTCTTCAAATCAGGGCATGTATTTGGCTAATTCTAATACTTCCGGTTAGGTCCTGGTCTCCGCCCAAACGATTGAATAAGGAGAAGTGGAAGGTCTTTCGTCCATCCATTGATCTGAAGCAACCACATGACGATCTTTGAGGGGTGGCTGTTGGCCTCTCGTCACCTACCATGCCGTTCACCCTAGTGAGGGTGAGAAAGAACATCCGGCATCACTAAATTTACATCAATGACAACGATCGTGCAGCTCTCATAGCCCTTGGCCAGCGGTCAGGGGGGACCAGTCCGGCGTCCATTCCCGCGAAAGCCTTGAAGATAGTGGCTCCAATAACAATCTACCAGAAAGACGGTAACCGTCGCCCTGTGAACGTCCAGTTCATATCATTGTTGAGCTCGGGGTTTGACTGCCGGTGACTATGAGGACGCGCAGAAGACTACCGCCTCAGACAAGACACCAATGGTCCAACTGCCTCTCTCCGAGGACCATTCTGACGATTTACCAAAGGTCGAGCGGGTGATCCGGGATTTGACTGGCATCTCGGGATTTTGAAGGCTCGACCGGTCGTGTTGCCAAGGAGGTGGAATAGGATCCATGGAAGCACTTCTGCAGCATGTCGGGTGGGTTGAGTCGGTTGGTGCTGACCTTTCCTCTGTCTCGAAGTCTTACAAGAAATTGCCTAGATTTGCTATGTCAAATGTTGTTCTTATGTCCCAATAATGATATTTGGCTGATAGAGGCCATATCTTTTGGAATTTCTTACTTTCTATTCTGTTCTCCGGACAGCACTCCTTGCCTGGCAACACTATTTTCTTCCTTACCCTCTCTCACTTACTATTAATGCTCGTATGGGGCTCTGGTCACCACTTTTCCTTTGCCTCCTCCATCCAGCCATTATCTTTGTCAACACTTACCAGTAGAATAGCAGTAAAAACATGGGAAGATATAGCTTCGTTATTAGTGATGATACCTGCCTAGAAAGCGACTAGGCTGTCATTCTGGCGTTCTGCCTATTCGTATGTTATCTGTTTATCTAGGTTGTTTTCCTCTCTTCTATAATTCATGAAGTACCTTATAGGACAAAACCTTCCATGTGGAATAGTAGGTTTTCCTGATATTCGAGGATCTTTTGCACCTCGATTGGCTGTTGTAGTAAAACACCTCGCTATTGCGGCGCCTGCTGGAGTGTACTCGGTGCCAATAATCACTCCATATTCTCGGCATTCGCATTGAAGAGGAGTTGACTGCAGGTCATATTCCAAGGTTTGTCCTTCGGGTTCGTTCAGGTGATGAGCTAAAAGCTATGCAGTCTATCGAGCTATATACGCAAGCCGTAGGAAAATAGGTGTAGTCATGAGATACGAAGCAGAGGCCTAGGAGAATTTACATCGAAGAGAGACCCCTTGACTTCAGGTTATCGATACTGCATGAATACTTTAATGAGGGGAAAGGCCTCGGTGCTTAGTAGTAGTTGAATATATAAGCATACCTCGATTTTAATACTGGACTATCAATGTAGAGAGTGTCATTCTGACTGTCTCACTATAATTAACTAATAGCAGCAAATATACTCTACAGCGTGCTTAGCCATGGACTCAGTGTTAGGTCCACATCGAACGAGTGCCTCAGGCCCTCGAAGCCCCCGAGATATCGACGACATTTAACCATCATGGATGTGGTTGCCACCAATATCAACTAACCGTGGGTATCACCACATCTTGGTTCTCACCAGAGCCTCTATGATTCATGCAACCGAGATCTAGTGTAAGGATTAGGCCTAGGGGCACCTAACCAACACGGCCAAAAAGACCAGCATTATCCGCAAGATACTCTTGCGGACCCCTAGCCCCCCTATATAGCACTAGTTAGACCACCTAGGCCTAGGATCCTTATATCTAGGCCATATATCACAGGCGAAAAGTCTACGACGCCACTTGGGGGGAGGCAAAGAGACGACGTGATATAGATATGAATATAGACTTAATATCATGAAGAGAGAATTAAGTGATTCGTCTCTGTTGATCCCAACTAATAAGCACATTAATCTCCTCCTAGACTAGAAGGTCCATAGACAATAGTCGCTCTTAGGGCTTACCTCTATTATATCATCCATGGTGCTTCCAGCCACTTACAGCCTTTTGACCCCCTGGGCACATTCAGGACCCTACTGGTATACAAGTTTCAGGTTCACACGGCGATGCACGCATAGAAACATTCGTCCTATACCCTCCCACTGGATGAACACGGTGCTCTGCCCGTCAATGCGTCTTATCTTAACAGTGAGCCATAATACCCCGGCTGAAGCTTACGACGCTCTCACAGAAATACAATGCTCATCACGGCCTTTATTCCGAGTTGAAGCCGATATCACACCCATGCATTTGATGCCATATACTCCACAGCCATAGTTAGCCCGTGATTGTGTGAGGAGACGCTTGGGGGCAGGGTATTACCAGAGAAGACCATTACTGAACCCAGCTGTGCGTCTGTTAAAGTGGTTAGATGATACAGATACTTGTGAGACGCGGTTCTGAGGACCCTGAACCCTAGAATACCCAGATATTTATCGTCAAAGGTCTTTTGCCATGGATCTAACTCTGCTATGGCCTAAATGGTATCAAGTAGATGAGTCCGAGGCACTTTTCCTGTAGCTAAACACAGCCATCAAGTAAACTCATAGCATCAGTGTAGCGTTGTCGGCCTTCGTACCTACTACCAGATACCAGAAGCTGGTCGGGCATCATATTAGAGAATTCAGGCCATTTGAAGAGTCAGTCAGATCATTCAGTCAAGCTCTATATCATTAGATCCTACTAGTACAGACAACACTTCAACTCAAAGTCATACATTTTATTTGAGAATCTCTGGGGATATAAATCTAGTCCCCGTTCTGACACCACCCGCTTGATGCCTGCGGTGATCAGCTTTCCCCACGGGTCGCGAACAGCATTAAAATGCCTACCGCGTGGCCGGACATCCCGGTCACGGCAGATATCAATTTGATTGAGATGACTCACCTCATTCGAGTTTTCTGCCGCTCTGCAGAGGAATACGGGAGAAACAACCCAGACAAGAGACCGTCGATGGACTAGGTCCTTGCCATGATATCTACTTTTGATCGTCTAGCCGCTAAAGTCATGAGAGAGATACCAACCACCCATGATTTTAATAGGCTTCTGCTAGAAATACTCAGCCTAAGGGCTAAGAATGCGGATACTTTATCATCCGCTCCTCTGGACTCTACGGTCCCTCGACAGTTGTCACCTCCTCTTCCAGCCCCGGCCCCTCGCTCACCTCCCCGACCAGCCCCAGCGCTACCTCTGGCACGTGTCGCCCCGAGCGTCATGCCAGAAACTAATCTTCACCGAGTTTGCATCCGTTGGGATCTCAAAACGCCGCCGTACTTTGGCTGTCGCGCAACGGATGTGCGGAGAGAGGTCCAGGAGGCACTGGAAAAGGCAGGGGAACCAGTGGCAGGGATCCAGGTGGCCGCGGTAGAGGTCCTGCACAGCGGAGATGTTGACATATTCATGCAGCTATAGGCTCACTGTGAGCTGTTGCTTAGCCACGATAGAGCCTGGCTCTCAAATCTACAGAGATCTGAGGAAGCCCGCATCGTGATCAACGCATACGCCATCCTAGTGCACGGCGTTTGCCGGAGCTGGTTCCCCCAAGGAGACACAGTCCAAGAAATGGTCACTAAAGAGCTACTGGCGGGCAATTCAATAAGGATTCCAGAGGCTCATATCCTGTACGCGGGATGGGCTAGTGAAAAAAAAATCCCAGCCAGGAAGGCGAAGAGTTCCCTAATCATCAGCTTTCACCGTGCGGTGGATGCGGATGCCCTCCTCCGTGCCTCAGTCTATCTCAACGGGCGCCGACACAGGACGGAGCTCTTTGACCCAAGCTGTCAAGTGTTCCAATGCATACAATGCTTTGCTTTCGGCCATGTCAAGCGTGTCTGCATTTCCCCAATCCGGTGCCCCTTCTGTGCTGAAGAAAACGACAAGACTAGATGCCCAATAAAACATCAGAAGGACCGACACACATGCGCCAACTGCCATGGACCACATGCCGCCACCAACCAGAGGTGTCCGATACGACAAAGAGCCAAGGAAGAAGCTAATAAGGCCATGCAAGACAAACCACGATACTTCGAGGAACTGGAAAGTCCACGTCAGGAGCAACCCCAACAGGGATCTTCCCCGTCTTGGAATGCCAGGAACTCCGAGAATCAGGAGTGTACTAGATCAACACGGCCGGGGGTATACCCCGAAAGCTCACCGGAACCCGACGCACTGTCCGGACCAGAGATTTCTGCGGCTGAAAGCTCTGACGCGGTCGCCCAGTCACAGAGGGGGCTTCCGAACCTAAACATAGACATGAAGCATCCAAAGGCCATCCAATCCTCCGCTACAGACTCAGAGAGGATGACGCTCAAACGAAGGAGAGGTCGACCCGGCAGATCCCGCAATAAACGCCAGAAGACCGAAGCCGCTCCTACTCTAAACAGACCTGCAATCAGTTAAAGGTGCTATGGAACATATATGGTTTATTTGCAATCAAGCGGCATCTTTCCGGGACACTCAAAGGGGGAATACAGTTAGGATCTAGGCTCTTGGTAGAGAATCGGTTTTCAGCTTATAAATAGTCTTCGCAGCTCTTCATTTCAGATAGCACACTTTTCAACGTATTAAGCTTTGGGCATATCCTTGTTGACCTATCATATACCACTCCAAGCCCAATACAATCGTTATCGAACTGGTGGCCTGACAGATGGGGCTCGAGAACTCACGCTGTGGCTAGCTACAGCGGAAATAGCGAGCATTATCCTGTAGACAGATCCCCCGCAATCCCACCCAGAGATCTGGTCAGTCGTACACCTACTCAGCGAGCACCATGCTTCCAGCTAGGATACGCGGCTCTACTAGATCCCAGCCCATATCGGTGTACCTGTGAATGGTTATACCATGGTCAAGCGTGCTCCTAACCAGTGCCCTTGCGAGTGAGACACCAATAACACCTGGACACCAGCCCTCACAGGCCTTACCATCGTAACACTCCGCTCTGTAGCGTAGCGCTAGATTAAGGAGAACACCACCCAACCATGGAAGGACAGATAAGCTCCTTCTTTGCTAAGGCCTGCCTGCGGCTCTGAGAGGCGTTTTTTCTAAGCCCACGCCAGTAAGATCGAGTTTAACGGACAACTGGAGAAAGCATACCGCACCAACTCGGACCAATACCCGGCTTGCTGAACCGACCCGGAGACGGTCCGCCACGTTATCCTCACTGCCCCGAGCACGACCACCTACAAGAAAAGGTATGTCAATCGAACAGCCAGGCCCAAGGAAGGCACCTGGCTAAGGCGCTTGACAGCGTCAAGCATACGGACAAAGCCGCTTGCCTCCTGGGGTCCCGATAGACAGCAAGTGGATAACCTATCTGCTCCCTGTGACGGCGCGTCAATAATAAAATGATATATTGGTGGCATCTAGGCTAAGACATTCAGATGAAGGGAAAAGAGGAAGAAGAAGAGAAATCAGATGCGGAGCACTAGTCCTAAAGTGGATGGTGGGCAATACCACGCCTCTTATTCACCACACCTACCTAAGACACCTCTGCCCTGTTGTCTTAAAGAACCGCCGTGATCACCTCGCCATCACCACCACACTCCCGCTATCACCACCAACAACTGACTCAGACCCAGACGGTCTAGTTTCAGCACATTAAGAAGCATCTAATCGCCTGAGCGGTTGCGACGCGTTGGGACAAGGTGGTGACCACACAAATCGCCGCTATATCTCCTCACTATTGCTAATGTATTCAGAACTTGGACGATGCTAGAAAAGTCTGTCTATGCCTAGGTGCCTCCGGATTTCCATGCCCTGATGCCCATTAGACTATACGCCCCGTCCTTCATGTCGCCGAAGTCCTCACATCCGAACGAGGCCCAAACGAGCAACTGCACGAAGCACGCCGCACCCCCCGAAGGTTCCCCAGAAGCTAGCGTACCGCAGAAGCCCACCCGAATGCCTTCTGCCCACTCCCGAGAACGCCCGCGGCACACCTACAGACCGGCATCAAGACACAATAAAAGAACTTCACCACTACACGGCATGGAGGAAGCCACATACCAGTCAGTTAGTGAGTAAACAACACAGTTGCCTATTTCTACATCAAGACAGCACGTGAGCAGGCCAGTCAGCGCAGCACCAGCACTAGACACTGTGGTTATCACTTATAAGCATGGAGTCACCAAAACGTCTTTCTGCAACAGATATGGGGGGGGCATAATAGGGTACATGAGAGATGGCATATGATCTGGATAACTGGCTAAGAGATGGCTCTGAAGCAGGAACCTTGGCATTGGTGGAGTGGAACGCCCAGTCCGACTGGCTATAGGCTATAGCAGCGTGTGGCTACGGGCTCACCACCGTCAAGCAATTGGCAATAGCGTCCATGTACGCTCACTGGCAGGTTCTGGGGCATCCAGCGTTAGGCATGCCACTCCTGAACACCCCGGTTCGCGGTCGATTATGGGCTTACAGCGTCAGGCTTCCGGCCATAGCGGTCCTTGGTGCATTGGTTCGTGCGCGTGCTGGCATCGGGCATCGCCGCAAAATTGAACTGCGCGGCGCCGGGCAACCGGTCACAAATCAAAAAGGTTTCGTCACCTGGCTGCGAGGAAATGCCGTAGATATAGGGTATTGGCTATCAGGATCAACTGTTGAGATACAGAAGGATTGCCAACTGACAAGACACGCTTGATTCTGTGAGCGTCAAAGAACGTCCTAATGCTTTGAAGTTTATATGCATTTGTCCGCTCTAAAGCATTCAGTATGGAACTGCTGCCTAAAAAAGAAGCCTAAAAAACTACCACAGTTCCCATCTTCTTGTAAATAGCTAGGGATATCTCCAATGCCAATATGCCACCTGGCATCGTTAGATCGGGATTTTCCTGGAGTTAGTGGCGTATATATATATATATATATTCGTATCCTATTTCGAGCCACCGCCGCCTGAGAGGTCTGCAGCGTCGATGCCTGCAGCATTACCGGCCACCCCGACACCTTTGTCCCTAGAACCCTTCAGGCACAATATTTAGCAGCTGTACGTCTGTCAATTACGGCTTGCACGGTTACCACTTACCCAGAAGGTTTTGGTCGTACGGTTCGACGCCAAGATAGGTCTCAGAAACGCCATGGCGCCGCTTCCCTAATACCAACGAATTAACGGCTACACTATCCTCACCATTCCGAAGCTGTGGGTGGAACCGCTCACACATACGACACAGTGCCCCTCAGAAGGGACAGAAGTCAATATTCGCTCTGGTATGGCTTGTGACGGCGGCGGCGAGGTGGTTCCCCAGAGGAACGGATGCCTTAGGCAGGGTGGCGAATGGCGAGCGGTACGAGGCGCCATCCCCTTTTCGGACTAGTTGGTTCTGGGATAGGGATATCTGACGCGTCTCGCGTCCGATCTCTCTCTCTTTCCTTCTTTCCCTCATCGTTCGTTTATTTTCGTTTAGAAGCCATCTATCAAACGCCCTACCCTAAAGTCTGACTGAGGCACTACGCAACGTTATGCATACATGATACAGGTAACGCGGCTCACCTCTTCAATGATATAGGAGGCCTGATGGATCTGCTCCAATTGCTGGCCCTGACGTCCCGGAGGTCCTCTCGCGACTGGAAGGCCTAGCCTTGGAACATGAAGAAGGGCCAGATCACTTGCATAATAGTGAAGTCTAGAGAAAAGGTGTATGTCTCCTACACTTGCCCTAAACAAGGCCCACGGGAACCGCCGCACACACCTTGCAAACATCCCCTAATACCTCTATGCCACTGCTCACTAGAGAGTCAGCCTATGGCACAGCTGCACGCTGATATCACCGCTCAACATAAATGGTCTGGCGTTCCATGGCATGGGGAAGCACATATGCTAGTTGGTGAATCAACGGCATGGGAAGTCAGTCATGCCACGGCCGGCGTCAAGAGCTACGGGTGCGCTTTAGCGATACCAAAGGGTCAGGGGGTGGCGGCTAAAGGCGAAGCAAGATAAATCCAATCTTTTTGATAGCGATCTGTTGAAATCCTGTCTATGAGCCCGCTAAGGGAGGCTAGGGGTGTTTATGCACACGGACGATGCTAGGACCAAGGCAAGGGTGAGGAAACATAGACTTGGGCATATACAGGTGTCAGTCAGGGGAACGGCGGTTACAGGGGACTAATAGGGAGCAGGTGAAATATCCAAGCGGCAACGCTATAGGCTATTAGGCATCGGGCATTAGGACAGGACTAAGGCAAACATATCTCGGCCATGAAAAGGGAGGGAAAGGGTAGGATGGGGGACAGAAAGAGGACGGCACAGAACCTTAGGGTCAGGCTACAAAAGAGTGGGGCGGGCGGCGGGGTCTTGGCGGCGGCGGAGCGGAGCTCCCGGACGGACTGGCGGAACTTCACCGTAGGGTTGTTCCAGCCTGCCCTGGTGTCGTGCAAACGCTCCCGGGTCCGAAGTCTGCTGGGGGGGGGCCTCAACTGGACCTTTACCGGGACGCCCCTGGCCAACTGGTCAACCCCCCCGGGGCCCGGACGGTTTAGGGGGGGCTTTAACTGGACCTTTACCCGGACGCCCCCGGCCAACTGGTCACCCCCCCCGGGGCCCGGACGG